GTTGCCTGATTCTTGTTCCATTTCGTGTTGAGGGCCGGCGTAGGGGGGCCCCTTCGTTTCTTCCTGTGGGCCTCCCATTCGTCCCTCCACCTTTCCTCGTACGCTTCCTGTATTGCTCCTCGTCTTAAAAGCTTGTACAAGTTGTCTGACTGCCCTTCGTACCTCGGGGCTAGTGCTGTGGCCTTAACCGCGAGCCTCTTCAGTACGTCACGCCGGCTCGGCTCGTATTTAGGCGTTTTCCTAGGCTTATAGTGTCTCCTAATAGTGTCTCTGATAGTGCGGCACGTGGTCTCAATATGCTCTCTAGCCTGGCCCGCGCGCGTGCGGTCCGCGTACGCCACCGCGAGTTCCTCTAGCTTAAGCCTTAGGGGGGGGCAAGAGGTCTTGTGTTCAAGCGTCTTGATGTCTGTTGTCTTGTACGCCCCTGCGATAGCACGGAGGCAGTGGTTCTGGGCCGTTTCAAGTTGTTTAATCTTTGCTTTGCTAATTTATTCCTTTATGCCTGGCGTTGGAAACCAGGTGGTGCACCCATACGTAAGGACCGGCCTAATAACTGCTGAGTATATATGCCGTGCTTTTTGGAAGCTTGCGCCCCATGTTGATGCCGTTAGCCGTGTAAGGGCTCCTATCTGTGTTATAGCCTTTTCCTTTGTAATGCGTATATGCGGGCCCCATTTAAGTTTAGAGTCCACCTGGACTCCAAGCACGCGGAGCTCTGTAATTGGGCCCTCTGTAAAGCCCCGAATATTTACTATAGCCTTTACATTTACCGCATTTGAACGGCGCCTTGTAAAGTGTATAAGGTGATACTTATCCGGGGCAAACACTACGCCGTGCTTCTTCGCCCACTCCATGCACCGTACATGCGCACTTTTGATTGCCCTGCAGTTTTCTTCCGTGCTTCTGCTGAATGTGAGGATGTTGGTGTTGTCTACAAACCCGTAGGCTGTTGTATTGCCTTCTTATAGTGCCGGCAGGAGCGTGCTTGCAAAGAATAAGAAGAGGATCGGCGAGAGTGAGGATCCTTGTGGTATGCCTGTGTTAACCGGGATAGTCTTGGCGATGTATCTTCCAATAGAGAGTCTTATAGTTCGGTCCTGTAGGAACAATTCTGTGAATTGGACCATCCATTCCGGTACACGTTGGACCCGTAGGTTGTGTATTATTCTCTCGTAAGATACTCTATCAAAGGCCCCCAAGATGTCCAGGCTAAGGAGGGAGGCAACAAGGTGAGAGTTGCCCTTCCATACAGTTTGTATTTGTTCCGTGAGGAGTTCCAGTGCTGTCTGCGTAGATCGTTCGGGCCTTGCGCCCATTTGGCTCGGTGGGAGCATGCCTTTCTCCTCTGCTATCTTAGATAGTTTTCGTGCTACAATGCGTTCGAGCAGCTTGCCTACTGTTTCCAGCAGCGCAATTGGCCTGTACGACTTCGCTGTGTTGTAGGACGCTTTCTAAGGCTTGCGTAGCACTACGGTGATTGATTCTTTGTACGGCCGTGGGTGGTGCCCCATACGCACGCACCTGGTGAAGAACCTGGCCAGCGTTGGTGCTAGCTGCGTTTCGCATTTCTTAAGGATCCTGTTAGTTATCTTTGTAATGCCCGGGGCCTTGTCCGGGGCTATTCCCATCAGCGCGGAGAGGACGTCTTCCACCGTAACGTCTTGTGAGGACTCGTACGGCTCTGGGTATTGGTATCCTTCAATGTCGGAGAGGTCTGCCTCCACGGGGGGTGGGAAGAACTGTTCCGCAAGTATTTGGGCCTTGGTCTCGTTGTCTGTGTAGAGCGTTGTGTTGTTGGGCCGTGAAAGAGGGGGGAATTGAGGCGGTGGCCGTGGTTCCTTTCCAACAGTTCTGCCCTATTTGGCTAGCTTCCATACGCCTTTCGGATCCGACGTGATCTTGTCTACTGTGCGGCGCCATGCTTTTGTGCTCTCTTTGCGTATAGCCCTCTTCTTTCTGTTGCACTGTACTCTGTACAAAATCCAGTCCTCTACTGTTCTTAACAAGCGCCAGGTCCTATAGGCCCGCCTCGTCTCCCGCACTTCCTCGGTGCACTCTGTTGACCACGCAGGTGATGCTTGTTTCGACGGCTTTGCGAGTGGTATGGTTTCGTCTATTATAGCTTATATACACTCATGTAGGCGGTGTGCAAACATATTAAGATCTTCCTCCGTCTCCTGCGGGTCGTTCCGAGTTTCTAGCTCGTCTAGCCGTATTGCTAGGTTCTCTCGTACTTCTTTCCATGCTACATCCTTCCACAGCCTACGCTGCGGGGGTTCGGCTGCCTTTGGTGGTGAGACATCGAACTCCGTGTATATAGGCCGGTGATCAGAGTCGCAGTTCCATTCCTCTCGGACCGTGGAGGAAATTATTTGTTCTGTTAGCCACCCTGTTGTGAACGTAAGGTCAATTGTAGACCACGATGTTCCTCTTGCCCATGTCTCTAGCCCTTCCTCCGTGGCTAGGTCCATGCCTGCTTCGCGCGTGATGCGGAGGAGCTCCTCTGCTTACTCCTCGATTTGCACAACTCGAACTCCTCCCTATAGCGGATGGTGTAGGTTCATGTCTCCGACAAGGATATGTTCCGCTTCGGTATTGTTCAGCAGTAGGGGTAGTTCCTGTATAATACTGTTGGGGTTCGGGTTGTAGATGTTGTGAATATGGATCCTCTCTCCCCCTGCGCAAAGGGAGAGGGTGTTAAGATCTGGTGAGTGGTGCACAACCGTCCACTCGTTAATGTCTAGTTGTTTATTGACGTATGTGCAGGCTCTTGTGTGTTCCTCTCCTGCGTGCAGTAGATGGTATAACTTTGTTATATGCGTTGTATGCACTGTGTGCCCCTGCCCCTGCCCGCGTGGGTTCCTCCACGGTTCTTGTATGGCTAGTACCATAGGTTGCGGGCTGGCGTTCTCCGCCTTTTCAAGGAACTCCTTCTGAGTTGTTGAGTTCTTGTGGACGTTATACTGTATAATAGTGAGGTTGTTCGGTCGTTCTAATATTGGCTCATCTCGGTGTCCTCTTATTGTTTCTTGGCTTGCCCGTTGTCTACCTGGGTCCTTTGCTCAGCGTGGATCTGTTGGTTGGCTAGGTTGTTTTGTGATAATGGTATTTGAACCTCTCCGCTTAATGTTAGCCAATCGCCTCCGCCGTACATGGTTTGTGTAGCTAGCTGTGATGATGCTTCCGGCAGCGTAGCTAATCGGTTGGGTCGCGTAAATTGGGCGGGCTGCGTTCCACTTCCGATTCCAAATGCCTCGTTGATGGCGGGCTGGTCCTTGTCCGCTGTGAGCACCTTCTTCGGCCGCCCAGGTCCGGGTCTCTTCGAGGGTGCAGGTACAGTGGAAGCCGTGGATGTCATAGAGTCCATAGAGGAGGGCTCCTCTGCTTGTGTCTCGAACTCCCCTGTATGTCGCACCCTCTTCTTTGGAGCTATCTTCCTTGCGTGCTGTTGTTTGTCGTGTGACTGCGCTTGGAACATATATGGTTCGTTGCGCTCTGCGGGGTATTGGCGTGGTGTTGTCCATTTCTTGTTAAGGGCCCTTTGCTGGGCCCCCTTTCGAACAGTGCATTCGGCACTGTATGACGGGTGGTTTCTGTTGCAGTTTGCGCATTTCTTGATGGTCTTGTCCGGGCACACTCTCGTGTTGTGCTCGCCTGCGCACACTGCGCATTTGACGTTCTTTTTGCAGTACCTCGCGACGTGCCCGTAGCCCTGGCAGTTGAAGCACTGCGTGGCTGCAAATCCTGCCTCGTACCTTGAGGCGTCGAGTACATAGCCTCCCCAAGCGATGCCGTTGTTGATGGCGTTGTTCGCCATTGCTTCTGTTCGTACGCCTACGATGGCCGAGCTTGCACGCCGTGCTGGGTTTGCCCGCGCCGCGGCAATAGCTGCCTTGTTCTTCCATGTGATCTTGTCGATTGTGAGTCCTGGGTTATGGGTTGCGTTGTTTTCCATTACATCCTTCCGTAGGCTCGGGTCTCTCCTACTACTTACTTAAAATGGTTCATCCCGTCTCGATTTCTAAGAAAGATTAGCCCTTGCGGCCGCCGAGATGAATTCAAAAGAAGCGACCTTTCATTAGCGCGCCTTCGCAGGGCGCCGTATTCTTTGATAACTACAAAACGAGATACCGCAAAGGCAGAGCTATCACCGTTTATGCAGCTGTGTGGCACGCTTTGACAATGATCTCGACCTAATTAAAGTGGCTGAATGGAAAAGAACAGATTTCAGGTGATGCAGACGCCTTACCTAATCCGCAGGCCTAAAGCTCGATCTCGAGAGCAACAAGACTTTTGAGTGAAGAGATCTGCACGCAGATCCATCTACCACGGAGATGCGTCCGTGCCGTTGTCCATCACGATGTGGGGATGAGCTTGGTGCGAGTATTTTGGATGCATAATCTCAAATGAAAAATCTGTTGATTGAGTACTTTGAATTGCCCATTTTCCCTTTCCTTCGTTCCTAATGCTATGCTCCTTGCTCCTCAAATAGTAGTACAAATCCAGTATCCTCGTAGCAAACAACTATGATAAGGGTATATCGTGACACAAAACTCCAGACAAATCGCTGAGGGACCACCCCCTATGCCGGCCAATCCTAAAACCGTTGGAGGAAAAAAGGTAACACAGTAAATGCTGAGAGATGTGGAAAAAAGAGCTGCGAGCAATAGAAAATCAGTCAAACTTCGCCGCCTTCCCCGGATTCAGCATCGCAAAATTATCGCTCGTCCGCGCGCGCTTCAAGTTTTTAGAAAGCAGGTGGTCTCCACTACCCCCAGCAGCAGCCTGCGCAGCGTTCTCAGCGGCATCAGCCGCAGCCCGGGATTCAGGACTGTTGTAACCGCTCCCGCCAGCGCCAGTCGCAGCAGAGCTGCCCGCGGGGATGTCTTCGGCGAGGCGCTCGGCCATGTTGGAGTCGTACTCGCGCTCACTCGCGTGGATGGCAGTAGGATCGATGGCGCGAGCCGTGGCGAGGAGGTCTACGCTGTCAGATTCATCGTCGTCCTCGGGATCCCACGATTGTTCGCTGCCGTCATGTAGGGGCGAGATGTTCAGGAGCTGAGGCACGGTGTACCTGCGTGGTTCGACGCTCATATGGCTCGACATGCCCGAAGCGGCGGAGGACACGTCTGATTCGGCGTCCGAGTCGGCGTCGCCGGAAGAAGAGTCGAAGGGGAGCATTGACGGGGGAGGGAGAGCAGAGTTGGGTAGCTCTTGGTGGGATGCGGATATAATTTCTGAGGCTATGATGGATTGCGCGGCATTTCTAGGGTCCTTTGAAGACGACGTGGCATCTCGCTTCAAAACCTCGAGGATCTTGTGTGGGTATGGCTTCGACTTCGATACGGACCGACGAACTGTTACTAGGTCGTGTGGGTGGTTTACGCGCTTCTTGCTAAGCTGAACGTCAATGGCAAAATTGTCAACCGATTGGACTCCTCCCAACCCAGACGCTTCAAAGTTGATACGGTTTGGGCTTGCCATTGCATCGTCGTCGGCTTCGGATCTTTCAGACTCAAACTTGATTCCACTCTCGCCAGATGTTGAGTGGTCGATGTCCATCTGCTCCTCAAGCTGCGATGGATCGGCCAACGGACCCTTACTGTCGTGAAGCTCCGCATCACGTTCTGCGCTCCATTTTTTGGTAGTATGAGTACCGAGAGGGCGTGACGTGATGCTCTCGTAGGACGTTGGATTGGTACGAGTAGCCCCACGCCAGTCGCCGCTCAGATCGGTGCAAAATCTAGCATTGTTGTAGAAAATGATCGGTCCCGTGTCACGTCGCTTGCGCGAAGGGCTGGCTCCGGAGAAATTGAGGCCAGATGAGTTCCCAGTTGCGTTAGCCGGCATTGCAGAGTATTCCGAAGAGTCAACATCGTAATTGTACTCATCATCGCCTTCTGAGCTCGGTTGATGGAAAAATAATGGCGTGTAAGCCAGCTTGTTCTTCTCCCGTTCTTTCTCCTGCCTAGCAAGCTTTCGAGCGTGGTGTGCAGGATCCATGCTTGCTCCGCTGTGTGTGCGGCCGGTTTTGGCTTGCTTTCTTTCTCGTCTTTGCATCTCGTCACTATCATCTGGCGAAGCGCTTGATAGTTGCTCCGATGAGCTATCACTGCTGTTGCGAGTGACATCGTGTCCACCTCTCCATCGTATCTTACGACCATCGTGAGACAGTTCAAATTTGTTACTATAATCAGCAACAGCATTCTTGACAAAATCCGAGGTGACACTGATTGTGTGAAGTTGAGCCATGTTTATTAGAAGGTTAAGGTATATCCAGCCGTGGCCATCTTGTGGAGCGTCGCCGGAAACCATATCTGGTGGCGTGAAACCCAAGTGACGGATATAATCCATGTTTTCCGAAGGGACCTGAGCTCGATAGGGGTCTAGATCCAAAGGCCTTGTAGGCCGTTGGTCTGGCGATCCGGAACTCGACGAGTTTGGTTCTGCTAATTCCTTGGACGACGAAGGCTGCCTAGCTACGTCCGGTGATGTGTCCTCTGATGCTCTCATATCATCGTCTTGAGGCATTATGCGAGCTTCTCGAATCCCTTCCTTTCCTGAAAGTTGACCACTAAGCTCTCGTGCTGCTCGGTCCGCTCTCGCGGCTGACTGGGCAACTTCTTGCTGTTGCACGGGATGCGGATGATCTCCCGGCGCAGAAAGCTTGCCAGCAAATATTTGTTCTAGCCGTCGGACTACGAGCTTCTTTTTCGCCTTCTCTGTCAGATGGAGGGGCTTTCCAATAAGACCAGCGGGTATGTCATGAAGGTATGATTGGACGTTATGGTGCTGTTGGTTGAGCGGTGATTTCACAGGCTTCTTAAAGTTAGCGAGAGTATTGCTAGAGGGTACCGATACCGAGTTTTGACCAGACGCGGACATGGAAGCATATCCGGATTCTGCAAAACGGGTAGAGGTGAGAGAGGAGGTCGCATTCTTCAAGGCTGTTGGAGGGAACACGGACGGGACTGAATTGTTCGATGGGCTGTCGCTAAGTCCCATGGCGAACTGTCGCAGAGTCTCCTCCAGCTCCTTCTTTTTATCATCTGGGAGGCCATGGAACCGGACTTCGAAGAGCTTGTCGTTCTGTAGATGAGCGTCGTACAGTTTCTCATATTTTCTCAGCTTTTGCCTCAGCTTTTTGTTCACAATTGTGAGATCGTCGATGACGCTGCGGTAATCGTCACTGCCACTGCTTTCTGCTGGGAGCTGCGCACCACTAGGGCGGTACGGCATGGATGCGGAGTGCATGTTGAGGGCGTTTGCTTGCTGCTCCAGCATCTCGGGAGGGGTCTCGGACGACGAGGAGTTGTGTAGAAAAAATGGCGGCTCATCTTCGACATGTCAGCGGGCGTGTCTAAGTTGAACAGATCAACACTCACTGTCGGCAACAGACAAATCGTGCGTCACATTGTTGTTCGATCTCTCAAACCACTTCCCAGCATCACTGCTCTCCCCCGAGCTTGGCTTGTGGTTGTACAGGGCTGGCGATATGCTGGATGGTGGGTTCGCTCGATCGCTTCGGGGCACTGTCGGAGACGGAGGGGAGGGTTGACCGGCGGGGACACGACTGAGTTGCACGTTGGACCATTCTAGCGGGGGTGTATGTCGCAGCGATACAGACTTGTGAGCGGGTGGTCGTCGGGGATGGGGGCTGGCGGGCTGGCTCGAGCCGGGCCCAATTGGCACAGCGTCGGCTGGATTGCGCGAGTCCATGCTGTGGTTGTGGTGGTGGTGGTGGGTCGGTACTATGAGCCGGTCGCCATGAAGCCTGGTGTGGTTTCGTCTGATCTAGGACCAGGAACGAGGTGGATGAATAATTCACGGTAGAGGCAGCGGGAACGACGTCGGAAGGGGTACAAGATGGAAGCAATAGAAGACTGGATATATGTTCAGGAGGGTATATAGCTTCTAGCCAGCTTTCCAAATGGTCAAGGGTGCACTGTTAGTGGTCACAGCGGAGAAAGGGTGGCAAGAGTTTGCAGCGCGACGAAGATGAGCGGCGGTGGTGAGGGCGGAGACGGAGAGCATACCGGTCGTAGGGGGTTATTTGAGCCCGTGGGCAGGGTTGACAGGCATGCTGAAGCCCTGGCGGGATCTGGGGCCTGGCGGTCGATGGGGGGAGCATTTTGGTGGATTTGGCTCTCCAGCCGCGATCTGGAGAACGGGCTTCGAGGTCGTGAGGATCGGCTGTGCGAGGGTCAGCGCACCTGCGTCAAGTCGATTGTGGCGCCAGCTCGGTCGAGACCCAGCGCCGTTGCCAGGCCAGGTTGCTCATCGACGATGCGGCCGTCAGCGCGTCGATGCCCGCGATCTCCTCCACCGCGATGCGTGGCCACACTGTGGTTTGTACGGCTTCAACGTCCCATCGGCGCCATCTTTCATCAGTCAAGCACGGCACTCTGTCTCCGGACTTCAGCCCTGCAGCATCAACGCTCGGCTGCAACCGCACAAGCGCCCCTAAAGCAGCGCGATCGGCCCTGCGAGCCGACTGGCGCACCCTTTGCGGCCCGCGAGGCTGGTGCAGCGCGTCCAATCAGCACGGCGGGGCCAGCTGCTTCACGACGTATGAGGTCATCGCCCCAGAAAGGACTCCGGCCAAGGCTTCATCTGCTCGTTGTGCGCGTTGTGCCCGTGGTGCCCGTGCCGTCGAAGGCCGCCGTGGGCCCTGATACTCGCGTCAGGGAAGCCGGGAGATGCGCGTCCCTGCACAGATCGAGAAACACGAGGCCATCGGCACACACCGCCATCCGTGAGGGGCCTGCGCGTGCCCGCTGTGCAGAGAAACTTCGCGAAAGACGCCGCCATGACTTGCGCATACCGCCCCAGCCTGCCTCTTTGGTGCTCAACGATGCGGCTGCACACGCTCTGCCATTGGTGAGGGTGCTGAGGGGTCTCCTAGCGGCGCACAGCATCGTTCGATTGCGGATGAATTCGCTTTACTGGCCCTGACTCTGCCGGAGATGCTCCTGGCCGTTGGCAGAGTTTCACGTCTAGTGCTCGTTCGGAGTCTTTCCGAGGTCCTTCGTCCCAATCCACACAAGGACACAACTTCTTCATCTGACATACAGGAGGCATCTCCGAGCAGCCGTGCACAGCACATACCAGACGCCCATCAGGGCACCAGATCAACACCTTCGACCGGCATCAGGGTGCAGCATCCCAGGGCCTCGCGCCATTTTCCTTTATAGCGTCTTCACATCATCAATCGCCTTCTTCATCCTCTTACCACCTGATACAATCATCTCTCCGTCTCTCCAGGAACCTTCTCCGAATTTCATGTCCCCGTGCCACTTGGCGCCTTGCTTTCATCGCCGATCCAACTTCATCTTATCCTACTGTGGTACAACCACACAACAGCTTCACTGGTGTGCTGGTAGCCAGGAGTTGACTCCGGCTATCATTGTGGTATCATTGTGGTGTCACTTCACGGCGGCAAGGACAGCTCTGTCGACAACCAAGTGCAGCGTGCAGCTACACATAGGATCATTCTCACGTTCAACGTGGCCACATGGGGGTACATGGTGATATCCATCCCGAAATAGACTGGCGGGTGGTGTCTGCTTTCACATCGCCGATTCAACCTATCCACACACCTCATCGCCGATTCCATCTCAAATTCTAACACCGCCACGAGGGCACACGCCACCAAGCTTGGTGGACGAAGCGTAGCGGGTTGGCATGACTCCACAGTGTTTTGGAAAGACCATCGGATTTGATGAACACCATCGAGAGGCATGCTCGCTGCATCGGGGCAGAAAGGGGTCGATCGAGAAAACGACACCACTGAAATATATACTTACGAAATAGAATACGTACGGTATTCAATAGCCTTGAGCTCTTCCTCTCAGGGAAGCCCAGTGGCAGGCTGACTAAAGCTGCGAAGGGCTTCCACCGTCCTCACAACCACTTTGCGTGGCTACTACCAACAATAGGACAATCGAATAGTGATGACAGGAATGGCAGAGTGACACGCAGCTCCAAGTCGCGCCACGAATAGTGACTCGCCTCACCACATTGTCCATGTTGCAAGAACTTTGAATCTAGGTGGAAGGTATCATACAGTTCTAGGACAGAGATGACCTTGAGGGTAATAGACAGGACGAATGTCAAGATTATGATTGCGAAGAATCCTTCGCTGCATGAGTGAAAGAAACCCCTTTTAAGTAGAAGCAGACATATCTGTAAAAGAAGCACCTAGACCTACCACAGTCCTAGAGCGATGCTACTCACAGTGAGAACGCGAACATATGTTCGGCTTGAGACATAACTTCAACACAGCTTCCAAACGCCTTCTCGATGCTAAAGCTTGCCTATCCCATTAGATCACCATTTTTCCCTACAGTATAATCTTACAGCCACTCTTACACATTTGCCCCCTCCCACATCGCAGACGACGTCTCTTCCCACTCATATCCTCACCCCCTTACTCCTCAACACATTCACCACACTGTGCCCCGTGTAGCCCACCCACTCGCCCACCCCGCCCAAGAAACCCCCAACTCTCATCACATCCTCTAACCGCGCATCCAGAAACCGCTCGGTATCCTTGAACCCCGCCGACTGGTCCTGCGTCATAAACACCTCGGTCGCCGAGTAGACCGTCGCCAGGCTCGCGCGCTTCGTGTACCAGCTCGAATCCACCGCCGTGTCGCCAGCCAAGAACCACATCTCGTCGGCCAGCCGCGCGAGCTCGGCGAGGGAGGCCGGGACGAGGGTGGGTTGGACCATTAGGGCTAGTGCCTACGCAACCCCAAGCACATTCGAATTAGCTGACCGTCCGTCCAATTGATGAAGGTTGCTATTACTACTACTGAAAAAGGAAAGTTTCAAAAGTGAAAGTACTTCGTAGAAGAGGGAATTGGGACGTACCTCCCCCCACCGCCCCACAACCCCGACCTCCTCATTCGCCCGCAGCCTTGCCAGCGCCAGCGTCCTGACTTTCTTGCCCACTCCTATCCTCTCCCCAGCAGGGAACTGCACGGCGTCTTTCAGCGCCAGCCGCTGCGTCACGAGGTGGTAATTCACCAGATCGAACGCCCCCCGCGGGAATAGGTTCGTCGACGCATCGAGATAGCCCGCGTCGCGCGCGCCGAGCCGTAGGGCGGTGGATGTGAAGCCGTTCGCGGGGACGTGGGAGAGGGCGGCGGAGAGGATGGCGGATTCGGCTGGGGTGAAGGGTGCTGGGGGCGGGGAGTCGTGGGCGCGGTAGTGGCGGGCGGTGATGGGTTTGGAGAGCGGGCGGAGGGATGAGCGGATTAGGGTCCGGGTTAGGCGGGTTGGGGTAGCCATGGTTGGTGGTGATGGATAGGGTTGAGGGGAGAGGGCTCGGTGGTCTTGCGGAGTTGAAGATGCAGGCGGAGATATGGCGCTAGGCCTATTTGGGACGATGGCGGTATCGTTGAGTAGGAGGGATGTTTGTTGGGGGAAGGTCGAAACGGACTTTTGTGTATAGTTGAAAAAGCTTCGTACTTCTATAATAGTCTGTATAAGAGCCTTGATTGATCTCGATATATATAATTGAGCAATTGATTAGTGATATTGGAGATTAGTGAAATTAGAAGCCATGCTACAAACATATGAGTATAGGGTTATGTATCGGTTAAGAAATTGTCTTAACAGCCCCTCCATACCACCTATATCAGTGCTATTGAAGTTCAGTAAAAGATGGAGATGTGTTCCTAAGTGGCCCTTTACTCATATACTCAATTCCAACATCAAGCCGCAAAGTTCGCACAATCCTCCATGAGCAACCCTCCTTGGGAACCCACTGCACCCGACCCCTCAACACCATAGCTCTATGCTCTAATAGAAGAGCCGTATTGCCCCCTACACCCTCTCCGACCATCTACATCCTCGACAACGTTCTCCGATCCTTCTCAACCACCTTGTGCGCATTCTTGGACGCTTTGTCCGGCTTCTTGTCCACCTTGCTCACTTTGACCTGGTGCGCAGGCTTCTCCAGACCTTTCAAAGCCCCACCCAGGGCGCCTTGGCGTACTGTGTTGACTGTGAGACCCAGACCACCGGTGTATGCGCAGTTGAGCGATCGACTTGAGCCCTTATCAGAGGTCTTCTCGGCGTTTACGACTGGCTGATCGGTGAGAGTGCTATGGTCGTTGAAGACAGTAACTCCGGTCGCAGAAGCCGTCTTGACACGAGCATTCGCCACTCCACTCACCGTATCACTAGCACAATCGAATACGTTCGCGCCCGCAATGGGTGGAAAGCACGTCTCAACCGCCGGGTCAACGAGCACCGTCAGGCCTCGATTCAATTTCCTCGCCGTCTCGACACCCTTCCCCATTTCCATCTCCTTTCCCTTCTGCTTCGCCGCCTCCTCCCTCAGCGCTTTCAGCCAGTCCGGACAGCTGTCAACATTGACTCCGATCACCTCAGCCCAGACCCTGCACTCCTCGTCACGCCTACAGTCCTCGCACAGGGCAATGGGAGTGTCACCGGCGAGAATGACGTCGTGAGTACCTAGTTCCGCTCTTGTGGGGAGAGGAGCCGTGTACGGGAAGCGCGAGCAGTGCGTTAGGAGGGGTGCGAGGGCGGCCGGACAGAGGGTTATGGTGTCGGCGGTGTGGTGGCAGGCATAAGTCGTGCGGTGGTTGCGACACATGGCGTTCGTTGGCCGGTATCGGTGTTAGAGGTGGTACAGAGTCGTATATCGTGGTATATATAAGTAGATATATAGCAAGTAGATATATATCAGGTATTTGGGTGTAGATGTGTTAGCTGGGTATATATATCGCTGTATTTCGAGGCTTGAGGGTTTGAGTGAGTCTTCATAGCTCTGGCGGAGGAATCCCGCAGGACCCAGCCACCATGACCAGCTGCACTACGTATGTACGGGTATTTGCGGACTGAATAGCTCGTGGATGCATTTTTGTACATTGACGGAGCATCAGACCCGTCATCTGATCGCGGGAGTGGGTGCTCGGCTAAAGGAGGCGTAAGTTGACGCGGAGGGGGGGTTGACGTGGGTTTACGACGGTTTACGAGCAGGTGATGCTGCGATAGGGGGATGAAATGCATGAAAGAAATGTCAACAAGTCGAACTAGAAAATGTTGATCATCTTATTTCTTTCGAACGTAGAAACTTTAGGGACAGTAGTAATGTTCGTACTATCAAGTTCGAGGTCACTTGAGTTTGAAGTGATAGTAGTCGTAGACATTTGGGTAGATGATATAGATGTGTTTTCACTAGAGAAGGCTAGTAGACCGGAGGCCATGAGACCTAGCCTTGAACAGCCCATAGCTAGCTCCAATATCATAAATGCATATGTTAGGAATGAGTGGCTTAGATTGGAGACAAAACCGATAGTCTTTCTGTGCGATAGCTGAAGTAGAAGGAGTAGTCTCAGCATGCTTCAGATACCTTAGTCTCACTTAGGATTATAGGAGCAGTGTACTGGATGATGACTGAGGTTGGATGATAACAGGCTGAGTAGAAACTACTTCATGCACGTAAGAAGACTAAAGAATTCGGGATTAAAGAGACTCTTACCGCAGACTTGCTAAAAGAAGACAACGACGTCAGTTTCCTCCTGTGACCCAAATTGTGCCGGACTGTAAAATCATCCGACCTTCCAGCCATCTTCCTATCATGTGCATCTCAGACTCCGAGTTTCGAGACACGTGTCAACGACTCGACTACCAGCGCAATGGTCTGACGAATATCTACCCTCAATTCCACGCTGTGCATACCCCACAACGCCCCGGCGCCACCGGACGCGGTGTTGGCATCTAGTTCCAGGCAGGCAAGCATTAAGGGTAATTTAATTCTCAAACGAGCCGAGAATAATAAGCAGGTATCCCTTAACCCGTTGATGTGCAACGCCAAGGCGGCCCGTGCAGGAACACCGTACTGAGGTATGCGCAGAGGCACAAGCGTAGATAGTAAACAGCTGTAAACACGCCAATAATCAACCCAAATTGATCCTTCAAAATGCCTCGAACCTCCAATGACATCGACTATGTGAAATGGAAGGATCCTCGTTCAAAAACGTCAAAAAAGCCACCACCAAAGCCCTGGCCGCTGCCTCAATTCACCCCCCTCCGCATCGACGACTATTTCGACCCGGGCGAAGCAGCTGTGCCCTCCAGTCTTGATCGGCATAATCCTATAGCTATTTTCAAGCTATTCTTCACCGACGAAATGATAGATAAGATGGTGGAGTGGACAAACGAGTATGCAGAGGCGCACCCACCCGAGCTCACGCCAAAGGGCCGGCCCAGACAGTGGAAACCTACAAGGAGGCACGAGCTCTACGCCTATTTTGGAGTCGTGATACATATGGGAGTGACCGTGGAGCCCTCTGTTAAGGACTATTGGGGTCCAGTAGACCGTGGAGCTCGCCATAAGGTGGCGAGCTATATATCAAAGGACCGGTTTGAGCAGCTTGAGCGCTATATTTGATGCTCGCCCGTGCCTAAGGATGGCTTCCAGTCGACTTTTGACCGCGTAGATGAGCTCTTAGAGCACCTGCGAGCACTCTGCCGCACATACTGGAGCCCCGGGCCTCACCTAGCTATCGATGAGACGATTCAACGCTTTATGGGCAGGGCCAGCGAGATTGTCAACATACCAACAAAGCCGACGCCAGAGGGCTTTAAGATATGGGTCCTAGCTAACCAGGGCTACGTTCTTAATTGGCTATGGCATGCGAAGGGCAACCAGAAGGGGCCCGTAGACCTTGACACGAGCTTCCTTGATGAGGGCTTCACAAAGACACAAGCTGTCGTCCTGGACCTGCTAACACAGCGCAATCCTGTGACCAACGCTGTCCTATACCCGCCTGGAAAGCACGTTGTTTGGCTGGATAATCTCTTTACCAGCGTGAAGCTATTCGAACGGCTCCGTGAGCTTGGAATTGGGGCTGCCGGAACAGCTCGAACAACCAAGACAAGACGGGAGGAAATGGGCGAGGAGGAACACAATATTGAGGTAGTTGAGGGCCCATAAGCAGTACACAATCACAGACAAAGGCTAAGAAGAAGGTGGCTGCGGAGAGCGTCTTAGCACATCTTGTAGACCTTAAGTTAAGCCATAATAGCCAAATTCCGTGGGGTACGCTATATGCAGAGTTATCAGAGAGTTATGAGGTGATAGAGTTCGCCTGGAAGGACGCCACCATGGTGTTATTCCTATCTACAGTCTATAATGGTGGGTGTCGCGTCCTCAACACTATGCCGCAGAGCCGCTGACGTTATACATCGCCAGGTCAAAACTACGTTGCGAAGCTTCGACAACGGCCGGTTACAACTGCTAAGGGCTATAAACAGACCGTCCAGGTGTTTGGCAACAAGCCCAGGGCTATGCTAGATATTCCGGAGTTTATCGAGGAGTATAATCTATGGATGTGCGGCGTCGACATTGCGGACCAGCTACGCAGCTATTACAATACAAATCGTGTCCATAGAAAGACGTGGAAGCCATTATTCTCTTTTCTATTGGATACAGTAGTGGGCAACAGCTATATGCTCTCTTCGTACAAGCAGCCGCCCGGCGAGCGAGCCCTCCGACAAGATTCTCACCTACAATTCTGTCGAGACCTCCGAGACGCCCTCCTCCATGCCTCTATTCGCCCACGCCAGCCAAAGACCTCACAAAAAAGAAAGACAATGATGGAGGTGACGTGGCTGCCGGTCAAGGAGCATCAGCACGTCAAACTATGGAGGAAACAGGCCTTCTGCTCGGCATGCGCACGTGCTCGGCGCACAACCTCAACACCACACCGGGCAGCTCGTAAGCCGCTTGCAGACCTCTCAGAAAACACTACAAGGAAGGCACGGAGTGATAGTAACGGCTGGAAGCGGCCGTATAGGACGCCTAGGACTTTATATGGGTGTTCTGTGTGCAGGATTCCTCTCTGCACTCGGAAGGAGTGCTGGGCCGAGCATCTCGCAATCCTCAACTCCAAGGACTAGGCGTGTAGATAGCTATATACATAGAAATCACGAATTCGAATAGCCTCATGCGCACGGCAGTTCTCATCACGGAGGGCTAAGAGCTGGCTTCTGATTGGTTAAATCCTTATCGATAACGTAGGACGCAAACCAACGGGTAAAGGGATAATGACAGGCTTAGGGCTATGCTCTATGCCGTATGTCGTTATGTTCGAAGACTCTCGGATCGAGAGAATGACTTGCCGTGAAGGAGTTGCTCTGGCTTGCTGAGCAGTCGTCCTGGCTCGACTTGAACCTCTCTAGGGTGATAAATACTGACTGAGTAGCCGAACTGTTTCGAGACTGAGCACCAGTTTTGTTGACGCCTCGGTAGCATGATGTTTCGTCCCATTCGCTACGAGACTCTTCACAGTCGGGAGCCGGGCATTGCGCCAGTTTCAACCTCGTAGCCACTGCGACGCCATTTATCGCTGAGCTAACCAGAAGAACCCCTCGGAGATATCGTCGTCTTCGCGTGCATCCAGACTCGTCGTATTTGAAGCAGTGTAGGTTTTCAACGCTTCGGCTGGGTTTCGAAAGGCCGGCCCCCCTGTCCTCGCCTCCGCCAATCGCCTCTGAGGCAACTACACTCCTCGCTCTAGCCCTCTTCTTGTACATCCACCGGCTGCAAAACGCCTCTAATCGAGCCGCCGACGGCGATCGAACAATGGTGAGAGTCACTCATTCAGGAGCCGCCCTCATGCAGCCAACCTCCCAACCTCCGTCAAACACGCATCAATCAGGCGGGTCCGACATCAGCCTGGAAACTGCGTCATGGACAACAGTCGGAGCATAACTTTATAAAAGAAAGGCATCACTATGCCTCCTCTTCATTTTTGTATCCATCTGCATCTTTGCGTCTAAAAGTCCTTCGTTAAGTCTTCGGGCTCTTCCTTCTTTTCGGTCCCTACAATCTCTTCTATTCATCGTTCCCGGAGAAACGATTACGGCCGGTCCTTACTTTCAGTATATAAATCACTTTATTTCCTAACTTACATTCCTTCAACGTAACAAAACCTGTCTTTGGATTATCATCACGAGGCCTACGAAAATGAAGTATCAGATCCTCTACAGTCTTCCGCTGCTACTTGGTGCGGTCGTTGCCAGGCCGGTGGGACTCGAGGGAATCGTTATGAAGCGAGAGGTGCCTCAGGAGCACTCTCACAACGCACAGGTCGCGAGTGTCAATACAAACCTCAAGTTGAACAATCCGGACAACATCGTAGATGCCATCTTCGGTCTTCTGGGTAATGCTGCTGGGGCTGCTGGACAGGGCGATATCACTGATACTGGTGTGCTATGACTTCCTACCCACCCACGCTCTTCGTATTAACACTTTTTTCAACCAGACTGCCTCCAACAAGCAACCGCCGACCAGGCCTTCACTAACGCTAAAGCCGCCGGCGACGTCCAAGGCATGACCGATGCCCTTATCTACCGCGGCCTCGAACGCAATACTGGCAGTGTCGGCCTCGCCAGCGTCCTCTGCACCTCCGTCAAAGCAGTTAATCCCGAAATCGCCGCCATCTCCCAGCATCAAGATCCGGCCTCCACTGGCGCCGCCGCAACCAACAAGGCTATCACCCTCGAAATCGCTAAGCAGATCGCCTCTATCGGCGGCAACCCCCAGGACGCTCTCAAGGCCGGCACGTTTGCTCCAGGAAAGATCGGTGACCCCACTGCCGCAGGCAACACCTGCGATACCGCCGACGACACCGCCGGTTGCATTTTTAGCCAAAACCTTATCGTCGAAGACGCAACGGCCGATGAGATAACTGCGGCCGTTGCGGGTATCGCTGCTGGTGGCGCCGCGCCGGCCGCTGCGGCCAACAGCACCGCGGCGTGTCCTACCACCCCATCTGCCAATGAGACTGCCCCCGCTGCCGCAGCATCAGCATCAGCAGCTCCCGCTGCACCTGCAGCTACGACGGGAGCCTCCAAACTCGATTTTGGCTCATGCTCTAACCCGACTATCGTGTTTGGCCCCGGATTTGACGGCCGTAAGGAAGACTCGTTCGAGCCGGCTGATACCGCGACTTTCACGCATGGGTCGGCGTTGAATATTGGGGTCATATCGGACTTTATTTGCCAGCAACTGGATACAAAATGTAAGGCTGGACAGGACGCTCTTGATGCTTGCACGCAGACTCAGACTGCTTCGGCGGCGACGACGGGGCAGGCGGCGGCGGATGCGTTCAATGCTGCGCTGGGCTTTGGGGCTGCGAAGGCGAAGCGCGTGGCGAGGGCTCCGACGATGGTTCAAGCGAGCCGTCTTCGTATTTGAGGGATTAAGTAGGTAGAAGGGTGGATTGAGGGGTATGCTGCAGAGAGCGCGGTTGGAATTTGAACGGGATCGATCTAAGGGAATTTGGAAGGAGGACAAAGGAAGTAAAATGGTTGCGACTATCTTAACTTCGGATATGTGATGCTCGTACTATGTACGACTATTGGAACAATTGATACATGAATGATTCTTATGAGATATGAAGGCTCAATACGTGGTTAGAGTGGTGCTAAATATGCATATAATCAAGGAAATCCCTTTCTTCCGGCTCTGCTCCTGAGAGACCAAATTTTGCCAAGTTACAGTAGATACTCGTACTGTCTGTGGGGCTCCAACGCACTAATAGAAACCGGAGGCAGCGGATACACTTCTAATCCTCGTAAACCCTGTTAACGCGGTCTTGTGTAGCCTCATGAGTTTACTAGTTGTCCAAAATGCCGAACTTCACCCTTAATCGGAATGCTCAAAATACTATGAAGCTTCTCACGCAGCGGTAAACAAGTGTACGGATTTTTATGACGAGGCATTGTAAATATGGAAACGGGATCTAAAGCTACTTGGCATCGTATTCACCATCCTTGTCGTGTCCATCGTCTTCGTCATCAAAACCATCGGTGCCCTTCAAGAAAGGTCCGAAATACCTCTCTTCATCCTCGGACAACACAAGACCCAGCTCCTTGATCCTTGCAACGGCATTTTTCCTCTCTTCTATATTACTATGATAGAACTCCTCAACCTGCCAACCTGGTGGTGGCTCTACATCCACATACACTAGCCTCGAATACTTGTCTTCAGCTTGCTCCACCGCCTCATCTACTCGCCTTGTAACCTCACCCACAAACTCGTCATAACTCGCAAAATCCAAGGGGTTCACCACTACGTTTTTGAATTCGCGGTCACGGAACGTATGCAGGCGACCGGTGTCAAAGAAGCTCTTGATCCGCTGATATTCCTCGAGTCTCGAATTTGCGCCATTCCACCGCATGTGGAGCCACCGTCGATCTCTATCATTGTCGGTATCAAGCTTCGCGATCTCAGCATTTAGCCCTTCAATCTCGGCTACCGCTTCTGAAACATCGAACTTCTTCAATGCCTCCTCGGAGAAGCTGCAATAGCTCGTGCAGGCGATGATGTGCTTAGTCATGAAATCCGTGAAGATGAAGCCGTACTCGTTTGGACAAAGCTTGTTATCGAAGGGCTCGTAGAAACCTGTCATTGCAAACTCGTAATCTCCTGTTTCCTGGTTGTGCTCCCAGTCTTCTTTCATGTTTAGCCAATCTTTTAGGGACTCTTGCACGGCTTCTGGTTCCTCGGCGAGGAAGGCGTCGTTGGTTGTGATAAGGGGGAAGACGTTGGTCCAGCGGGTCATGCAGTATTCTTGCCCGTTGGAGAGGCGGAGAGCCCAGGCGACTGCACCGCCCTTGTTGATTCCGGTGGCGCTGAAGGAACGAAAGGGAGAGTTGTGGAGACAGGAAACAGGCTTTTTGAAGCGCGTGAACGCCAATCGGCGCGTAGTGTACGTGAGGAGTTTAGGATATGGTGCCATAACTATAAGTCGTAAAGATGTTCCTGTGAAGACAGAGGGCGAAGTGCATGTATAAAGGTACGTACTGAACGCTCACCGGAAACACGCACTGTTGAAACAGGGGTAAAGACATTAAGAAAACCTTATAGTATAGAGAATACTTAGAAAGCAAGCAAGGGATCCCAAATACACAAGAGAGATCGCAGAGGGTAGAAGGGACTTTTCGTCTCTTCTGTGGTCATCAAACAGACGTCGTGGGTGTCGAGGACCCTGAAAGTGGAGATGTAGTAGGACCTCTGATTGGTTCAAAACGGGAGCCATGAAAGCATACTTCGGTTGCTATGAAGACAACCACGGTTCTTGAAGAGTTAGGTATGTATGGATCACATATTCAAGCAGGGTAGGCCAACGTCTCTAGATGTGTTTGACGCCACATTCTTGCCTCGTTCACGGAGTTGAACGAAGACAGGAAGGTGACGCCCGTGACCTCGATCCGCATGGACATCTCGGCGGCCGATGCAGGACAAGTCCGTGAATTAATTATTAAGTCCAAACGCGCCCGAGTCCATGTCGTTTCAACAAGACACGTCTGAGGCTCGCAACCTGCCCTCGCCGTTGCCATCAACAAACATAATATTCACCAGACGCCTCCGCCGCCGCTGATCGTCCGCCAAGAGCCATAGCCAACTCCAGGGGTTGGTTCAACTCGATTTTCTATTCTTAGCTGCTGGCAACGTCGCAAAACGCCTCCAAACTGTAGTGTTCGGAATTCACCATTGCACCACGACCAGTCGACGATACCATTATGTCTGCGACAACTGCAGCAAAGAAACCACCAGCGCCGGGTCGTGCCAACACCCCGACGACCCCAGGGGCCCCAAATCGGAGTCCGTCCCGCGCTTCTACACCTGCAGCGTCGAGCAACGGTGTCGCTCGCACGAGATCGATCCGGAGTGGCAATGGCACGCCCTTGTCTGCTCGCGCATCCGTCAAGAAGCCCGGCGCTCCGTCGGGTCTGAGCCAGACCGCTTCCACAGTATCGCAGGACGGTGCTGACGAGGAGGCTCGCGAGGAGACCGCGGCGCTCATCCATGAGTTGAAGGAGCGCCTCCAGAAGGCGGAGACGGCGTCTGAAGAGTACCAGAAGCAGATTGAGGTCTTACATGCGCGGCTGGACGATGCGGTGAAGGACCAGGCTCGGCTCGAGGAGCAAGTGCATGAGGAAGAAGAGAAAGTGGAGGGGTTGGAGAATGGGAAGCGGGAGTCTATAAGGCAGCAGCGGGAGCTAGAAGCCATATACGAGGCTGAGCGGGTGGCTTCCATGAAGGAAAAGGAAGACGCACAATCGAGGGAGGAAGCGTTGCACGAGACTATCCAACGGCTAAAGGAAGCGGTTGCCATGAAAGATTTACGTTCTGGCGACGGAGAAGAAGGCCGCCTTTCGAGAACATGTAAGGATTCATGTTTGATTTGAGGTTCTAGGTGAAGCCTATCACTGACTTTTTAGCAGCGAGCTTCCGAAGCAATTCTCGAAACAGCTCTTCTCACCATCTAGAGAGCAGCGGCCAATTTGCCCCTCCAGCGTCACTCCAGCGAAGCAACTCCAAGAACAACTCCAAGCTCATACACCAGAAGGACAAGGTCATAGAAGGACTCAGGCTGGAACTTGCGGAGGTTCAGATTAAGCTAGTAGAGATGGAGAATCAGGGTGGAGGGCGTATGCAAGAGCTTGAGAGGACTCTCCTGGAGACTCGCATGACCAATGCTCGCCTCATGGAAGACAATGAAAGCTTTCAGCTTTTACTAAGCGAGAAGACTCTGAACGGCGATTTCACCAGGGACTTCATGCGTCCAGCTACCATCGAAGATCGCGCTCCATCACGGAACGGCCCTTCAACTAGTCTTGCGGACGAGTTAGAATCGGCAGATGGCGCAGAGGCCGAGGTCATCCGTCGCCTCGAATCAGAAGTCAACAGCGCAAAGGACCAGAACAAGGCTCTGACGCTCTATATCAATAAGATCATCGAACGACTGCTCCAGCATCAAGGCTTCGAGTCAATTCTTAACAACACCGATCTTGAGCCTGATACGGGAGCTGGAGCCATCAATACGAACAAGGAGCTTCCGCCACCTCCTCCACCCAAGGAGGAGGCTCCAACACTCCTTCAACGAGCCAAATCTGTTGCCATTGGAGCCGGGCGAGCACGACCACGACCCGTCAGCCACATGCCTCCGCCGAGTGCCCCTACTGTTACAGAGGACCCAATGACAGCGCCCAGCATCCCTCTCCAGCGGTCTCAGAGCTATAGAATGAGCAGCGGGAGCTATCACCGCCGCAGCAACTCGGATTGGGGCAACTCAGCAGCGTCTGTCGTCAATAATATGCACCGTGCCCCACCACCAGTATCCGGCCAAATCAGCCCCGGCATCGCGTCTCCTCGAAACTCGTTCTTCGGGTTCCCAGCAGCCGCCCCTCAAAACCAGAACGCCGCAGCAGCAGCTCGCATTCCTTCAGGCCCTCAGAGTCGTGGTAGCATTGACGAGTCACGGGCCAGCAACAACACCCTTGACAATATCAGCAATGCCGACTCGGGCATCAACATTGATACGCCATCTCCACCTCGTAGCGTTGCGAGCTCCTTCGATCGCCAAGCGGGAGGCGTCATGACAGGAAACAAGATGCGTCCGCTTCGGCTCGTACAAGAAACCGCCGAAGAAGAGGAAGCGCAGCGCCAAAAGCTCAAGGCAAACCGGACCAGCTGGATCGGTGGCTGGTTCAACAAAGGGGGCGTCTCACCAGGCGACGAGAATGTTGGAAACCCTAATCAGTAAATGATATTGCGGCTCATGGAACGTAGCGATTCTGCTTTACTTTCTAGACTGTGTTTCTACATGTTTGGACTCTGATGTCTGCCATAATGTTGGTTGGGTGCGATATGCCGGCTGGACAGGCGTTTCGGATTGCACATGTGGTTATGGGAGTGGGACAGGTGTCGGCGGTGCATTTTGCTCTGATGTTCTCCCCTTCAGACTGCAGAGACTGTAGACATGCGATGAGCGCCTGTGGTGGCACACTGTCACTTATATCAATGCTATCGATTTCATCTGACCTTTACGCCCTAAGTTTGCTATCAAAGTTCGACGTGGCGAATCTGCTCAGGAACCAGTGTCGTTCAGACACCAAAAGGCACAATGAATACAGCGTCCCAACAGCGACCCGGAAATAAGAATTGGAGGTGGTCCGATCTCAGTGGTCGTGCCAACTGTCAATAGCGTCCACTAGAGATCTGCATTGCCCAATGGAGCGAGCGGCTGGCGCGTCGTCGTGTTTACGCGCTTCGAAGTCTTTGTTGTCGAGCAACTATCTGTTGACGATTCGCAGTCACACCATCGTCGAAAGAACTGTTAGGAGTACTTCAATGTATTAATAGCAATGCTAGAAGAGGTGACCATGTACATAGTACAATCGTTGTGAAGCATGCGGCCCCCGTGCCGATCCAAGTGAAACCTTGCTTGGCGTCTTGTGCCTTCACCGTCCCGCACCTACTCGAGTCTCCGTGCGCTTCCCCAGCCTTCTCCAACTCTCACACCACACTGTTTCTCCCTCGAGCTTCGCCCGACCCGCTATCTCTCTGCGACATGCCTGGATGATTTCTCCATCATGTCGTCCTCGACTGCCCCTTCAACGTCGGGAACTTCGTCATCGGTGAATCCGGGGGTCCTCCGCCGTTCCTTCACCGTCCCCGCCAAGGTTACGGATCGGCCGAAGCCTACTACCTCCAACTCGGATAGCGATGCTGGCATAGAAACGCTATTCACGCATACATTCGCGAAGATCGTGTCCTTTTCAACTGCTCTGGATCCCTCTAGGCCGCCCACCGCTAATGGAAGGCGACCGAGTGTGAATGTGCAGCTAGATGCGGACACTCCAGGATTAGGATCTATCCCTTGGGAATCAGTGACCGAGAGGACTCTTGCAGCTGGTATGCTTCAGCTTCAGCTTCCTTGGCTAGGTCTTGGCTAACAGGTGCAATTCAGGCCCTGTACGAATCTACCGCGTGACCGCATCCAACGTATCCTTCCTCAACTCCGGACGACTACTCCATACCATATTTCCGAAATCCCAATGCTGGTGCGTGGACGGCGAGTGCAAATTTGTTCTTAGAGTACGGCAGGATTCGTACTACCGGATTGAACTACCTTGTGCTACCGACGAAGACAAGGCGAAGATAGAGGACTTCAAGACCGTGCTAGCAAAGGTTCTGCAATATGAGAAGACCGCCAGTCCTTTCAAGATAGGTCTCGAAGTCGGAATTCCTGAGCAGCCTGAGCCGCCAATTCCTAAACGGCTACGGAGGCCTTCGGAGAAGGCTAAGAAGTGGTTATTCGACAAGAGCTGGGTTCCGGAAGATGGTCCGAAGCCTCTTGTAGACGCATCGGACTCTGCTATATCTTCTTCGTATGATGACGATGATCGAGAGAGCGTACAGACGATTGAGGAAAAGGAGGAGAGCTCCAAGTCACCGCTACCACGAACAGAGAATGATCCTCCCTTATCGGCCATGAGGAATTTGGGGCTCACACCCCCTCCGTCTCTGCGGCAGCGGGCGAAGACCTTCATGATTTCCAGGTCGATCACAGCTCCCCCGCGATTCGGCTTAGGACAGTCGTCACCGTTGGCAGCGAGGAAAGTAGTAGGGCATCTAGCAATCCCAGAGTCAGAGGCTGAACACGCGGAGAATGTTGAGGAAGCAATCAGTCGTACTTCAAGTGTCGACTCGTTTTATTCTTTAGCAAAGACTCAATCTCGCACACCAACACCCCCATTCGAGGACGCTACATCTATCATAGAGAGCAACTCATGGGCTCAGCGTGAGGAGCAAGTAGAACATAAGCCGCATTGGCGGAGAGGTCGTCATCGTCGCCGGATATCAGATCTCACTGTGACGGCTCACTCCAGGACCCGCTCGGAAGAGCGTCTGCCCTCCACGCCTACAGACGGTGGTGAAACCAAGTCTGCGCCATCGACTCCTCCACTCATGAGCGATTCCGACGACAGCTTCGAGCCACCATTGCCAGATGTGCCGACACCGCCTGACGCCATCAGGCTGAAGAAGCTGACGGGCGCCTCACAGCGGCGAGCTTACTCTCCCATGCCACATCCGCAGAACCTCTTCAACCCTCCATCACATGCCCCTCAGCAGCAGTTCACGGCTGCATTAGTGCAGAAAACCTGCCAACTTCTCCTCGGGCCGCCAGCACATCTGGTGGCGCTAATGCTCCGAATTGCAGCGCATATCTCGAACGGAGCGTTTGGGTTCGGCACGTACCGCGTGCATCAAGAGACAGAGCGAATTCCCTGCTCGTGGGAATCGAGCGACGACGGCGACGAGTGGGCCGAGGATGACTTCGGCATCCCACTGGGTCATCTAGAGCCGTCCGGGCTGAGGAGAAGAGAGCCGTCGTCACATGGTAGCTGGGAAGTTGACTGATATTATTTACTTCGGAGTTCGTTATGCTAATTGTGATACCACTGGCGCAGCAGCATCTATCATCACTATCTTGGCTAGGTCTAGTTTATTGGGAACGGGATGGATGGGGCCGTCTTCATGGTGTTGGCATGGGAAGGGATTCGCGGACGCAGCGTTGTCTTGCTTCGTGCTTTCTGGGATGATGCTGAGTATGGAAACTCTACAGGATAGACATTCTCTTGGCGACACGATATCTTGGGCATGCTTGTTACGGCCGCATCATTACCTTCACGCAGATAGGACTTCAATCCGCATCTATCTAATTGGACTTTGCCCAACACCCCTCTGCAGACATGTAGTGACGATGAGCCAATCCCGACGCCGATTCCTCCCGAGAGGCTTCCGCTTCCCTATGCAAGTCATGCTCTCCCTGCGTGAACCCCATCACCCTCAAGGTTTGTGCAGATGATTAGGACGGGTCCCCAAAATCCGGCGGGGTCAGCCAGCAACCTGCAAGGCAGAAAGGCAATATGTCTCGTCGAGGCCATCGAGCACATGCTCCTTCCTTCTTTGTTGGCTGTAGGTAGTGTGGACGGTTCTGATGTTCACTGGCGGTGAGGGGTCGTTGATACGAGGAGCTAGACGCAGGGCTGTGTCAAAAGCGCAGAACGGGCGATCCCACCATGTCAGCGCTGGCAGCACTTGGCGCGTTGCATCAGCGCTGAAGGGATGGAGCTTTGCGCGGTGCAAGCCGTAGGAAACGGTGTGGTCTTGTTTCCTTGGTTCTGGGGATGATGGGGTTATGGGAGAAGTGGTGATGGTTGGGGACGTGATGGGTGGTGGTGTGATTCCCAGCCCTCTCTTTATGCGCTGGTCAACACGAGTTGGTATACTATTTTCGGAGTATACGGTATTGGCCTATTCAGTATTCGATATCGATCTATCCGTTATGATGCTCGGTCACGCTGACTTCTCGCCTCTTCGAAGGCGATCTCCCGCTGCATTCTCTGACAGCCCACCTGAAGCGCAGCTGAAGCGCGCAACATCGCCCCAGCAAGCTTACTGTCGCCGCTACCGCCAGGATCGGTCGCCGATGTGCTGCATGCCCAGATGGGTGGCTGGATTCGGGCAGGGGACTAGACCAGTTCCCGAAAAGAATCAAGGTTTGGTGGTGGTGACGAGAGAGTACCAGCCTTCTCCCAGCCCGCTTTTTTTTCTTCCCCTTCTTTTCAGCCCAGCCGGCGTTGCCGTTGGCTGCTAGGCCCACTGATCACCGCCAGGTTGGGAGGGACAGTACGCAGGTCTACCGATGTTTGGACGAAATAGAGGAGGTGAGGAAGGGGGTTTTGTGGCGTGGCTGGGACGTATATAGAAGATGTGACCCGCCCCCGCGACGCCGTGGTGTGAGGATATTCGACGGACTCGTGAACTTTCTTGTCTTTCTCCCATATCGCCGTTATTGTTTCACACGGATTGAACGTCAATTACGATATCTGGTTCATTTGAAACATTCTTCAGGTGCTGAGTGTCGTCTCACATCAATCATCAATCATCATGGAATACTCCTACATGTCTACAACATCACCACACCCCCTCCCCCCAATCCCCCCCTCCGACCTCTCCGCCAACCTCGTCCCCCGCCCGCTTTTCACACCTAGGACTCGCTCCTCCAAACGTCCACACCCACCCCTCTCCATCGCCGTCGCTGTCATCGACGCCTCAGGCCGGCGCGCCACCCATTCCTCTCCCACCTCAACCTCCTCATCTAGTGTCAGCTCCAGCCCATCCACTTCCCCACCGTCCTTCAACTTCGATTACTTCACCTCCCCATCATCCGAAGGCCCACCGCCCTATACCGCACTATCCCCATCATGGAGTCAACCACCACCACCGTACCAGTACCAGTTCCAAAGTTCCTGGCCATCGAGTCCTACCTCGAGCACTTTCTCCTCCTCCAGCTTCTCTTCTAGTGTGCGGTCGACATTCAGTGGCCCGCATCTCCTGCGGCGGAAACCGAGTCCCAAGCAGCTGAGCCTTCGCGCGCTGCGGGCGAAAGAGAGCGATGCGTGTCTGCAGCGGATCTACGAGAGGCAGACGATGGCGTATTTGGATGGGACGGTGTTTGGGAGTGTGCCAAGGCGGAGTGGGTTGAGAAGAGGGATTATGCAGGGTGATTGAAGAGTTCAATTTGATCCTGAAAAACGAAGGAGGAGTCGTGATTTGGTGAGTCTGATGGATGGAGGATGAAGCTCACGTGATTGAATTCTTGCACATGCACTTAGATAATCTCACCACAGCACCCGCATGGCAGAGATAGGGGGAATGGTGCTTCGTAGAGCTCACTCTGCGGTTTTAAGCATTGTGGATGCTGCTTTGGCGTCCGCCGATATACACTCACGCAACCCCCTACCCTCCCCCTAATTCCTCCCCAAAAATCCCGTCCAGGCAGACCTCTGCTAACATTATCCAGGACCACATCCTCACATCACTACCCTATCTACTCAATCACTCCAGGTATGGCTGCGCACCGGGGGCCTCGCGCCGCGGACACGACATCACCGCAGCCGCAGGACGGCAACGCAACGAAGCTTTCGGACCTAACTACCTACGAATCTTATGTCTAGTCTACCGAAACGATATGGAAAGAGGAAGAAAGGTGGCGGGAATGATTCCTGCATTGCGGGCAGTGCTAGCGTACGCACATGGCTGGAAAATGCCTATTTGAATGAGGCCCATGTTATTCACGGAAGCGGCCATAGTCAGTTAACGAACTGAACGGTTCATGTTTCATGTTTATGTAAGGACGGAGTTCACGGGGAGATTGATGCCACGAACGATGAATTCAAGATAGAGATACGCCTATCCGACTCTATGACTTGTGTTCTTAGTGGCCACTTTACCCCACCCCTCAGAGGGCTTTCTTGTTCGACCTTCTGGTTATATAGCAGGCTAACATTTTGGTGACGTGATGTGCCGAATACGTGTACCTTCTCGGTCTATGCTCCCATAGAAGAGGTCTACATCTTCATCAGAACTTGCACCATTTGTGATCACACTCCCGCCCGTCTTTCTTACATATTCTCGACGCAGTGTACAAACCCCTGCCGGCTATGTAGACCTTCTTGCTCTATGTTTTGACGGAACGGGCATACAAGCACCCATAATGCCCCAACGGTGCAAATGTACTCCACAATCGGAGCACCGTAGAGATAGACGCGTCTGCTCTTCGCCGCGGCATATCACGCCACGTATACGACACACAGTCATGAAGAACAAAATAGAAGTAGTACGCTCTTTCACTAGAAAATCACACGCAACGGTTTCAGTTGATTGAATATATTTGGATTTTTTGTATTCGAATACAATATCCTCCCCGCTCCGCTCCGGCACGCTCGCCACTGGCGCAACGCACATGCAACGCTATTCAAATTAACAGTGTTCTATGGGTAAAAGTTTCGCAAGGTTCGCAAATTTTCCAAAAACAAAAGAAGCCGTCCGTTTCATTGGGGGGGGGGGTGAGTGATGTAGATATTCCGTTCTTCTCGGAAATCATCCAAAAACCACCGACTGAAGCCCAAAGCCAAACCAAACCAAACCAGGTAGTCGCTAACCAAAAACAGCACAAAAAGAAAGGGTCTTGTCGTAACCCTATAAGCATGTACAAAGTGAAGCTCTTGTTAATAGTTTTCTCCTCTCTCTCTCTTTTATACAATCGCTGCTACAAGGTTACAGCGCTGGCCGTACAATAAAAGAAAGGGAGGCGTTTAGTATGCTGGCCGTCCTCCATAAGTCCCCGGTGCGCCCAAGTCGATGTCCGGTAGCCGCGGTGCCCGACCACTAGGCGGCGACACGCTGCGTCCACGACTCTCGCTCCGGCTGTGGCTTATGCTCCGGCCATGGCTGGTGCTGCGGCCGCCGAAGCTCGCCGAGTCGGTCAGCAATGGGTTTTGGTCTTCTGTTTGACCGAATGCGCGGCGACCGCTGTAGCCTGTGGTTTGCTCGTTTAGGGGCACCTGCTCGTAAGGGCCAAGCGGGTTGGCGGAGACCATGGGGCCACGGACGTCGGTGCTCTTGTAGCCGGTGGGGTCCATGAGGAGGGAGTTGCGAGCGTCGAGGGGGGTGAGGGTGTCGAGGTCGCGGTTGAGTTTTTCTGGGGGATTGTTAGACGGGATGATTTTAGGGAAATTAAAGGGGAGGAACTTACCGGCTTCCTTCCTCTTCCTGCGGTGAGGGTTGTCGCGGCAGCAGGCGATGATGGCGTTGACGGCGATCAGGATGGCGAGGAGGGCGGTCAAGACAGATTGCATAACCACGAGGACGAGGCCGGTGATTGTCTTTGTCGTCTGTGCCACGCCGAGCTCCTCGACGAAGACTAAAATGCAAACTACCGAGAGCACGCGGACGACTTGGATGGTGATGTTGATCCAGTTGCCAGACTTCAAAGAGTATGGGCGGGACCAGAGGAGGACGATGAAGAGTAGAGACTCGACGATGAGCTGGCCAGCTGACTGGACAAGTCCATGGCCATCAGCGCCGGCGATAACACAGCCCTTAGCGAACATGTAGACGATGGATGGTACGAAGATCCACCAATAGGCCTTCTTATAGTTCTCATAGAACAGGCTGTACTTCCTCCAGATTTCCTTGTCATCGTATAGCGCTGCGGCGTCTCCCTCCATCTTCTTAAACTTGCTGGCAGTATGCCAAATCTTCCAAGTGAAGAATGCGAGAATGGCAGTGAACATGGCTAGAGTGACACCTGCTAGCAGTTTGGCGGCCCAGGAATCGCCGTTCGTGAATTGGTACACACAGTAAAGCACCCAGACACCATAGAGAAGGAGAATCAGATTGGTGATGGTCTTCGCGAGGAGCCACCAGTAACGCTTGCGGAAGCTCGTGAGGCTCTTGGGGAAGGTTCCGAATAGTGCCCATGTTTCGAGAATGACCTTGAAAAGGAGAATACCGACAGTGATGGCCGCAATGACAATTGCAAAAACTAGAAGAACCGTCATGAAGGTGTTAGCTTGAGGAATGGTGAGTTCCTCGACGTAGGCCTGGATACCGGAAACAGTGTGCATGAGCTTGCTGTCAGAGGTGCTGTTGGCGTTTGTCCCATTGACCTGGGTGTTGAGAGAGTCGCGGGCAAAGAGAACGAAGCTTTCCAGTCCACGCGTGGTGAGATTTTTGTTCGATGAAGGGCTAACCAGAGTCACATTCTTCAGGTAAGCGACACTGTCTTCGGTCAGGTTACCGCCTGTTGATTTGCGAAAGTTGTCGATGGACGTCTGCATTCCCTCCCAGTATATCAAGCCACCGCTGAAGGCGAAGTTCTTGGTGAAGCTCTTGTAGATGCCGGGATATGAGACACTCATCATGCCGTTCAGGGCCATGGACTGGAACCATCCAATCACTTCTCCAAAGGTTGGGCTTGATGTGGCAGCACCGCCATGTCCAGCTCCAAGGGCGGAAACGCCAGACAGGATGAGTGCAGCACCGGCTATACCGGCAGCAACGTATGATACAGCCGGGACGTTGAAAGATTTCCCGTTGTTCACCGACGACTGTATGCAAGCCAGTTCCTTTCCAGTCTCCAGTGATTTAAGTTGGAGGGTTGCTTGGCCGTCCAGGTCGGGAACGCTGAAGGCGATGGATGGGATCTGGGAGATGAAGTTGTCTGGGATTTGTTGCTCCCCTTTTGCGGAGAAGTCGCCCTCGGGCACTATTGCACGTTAGCTAGCCGCCACATAGATTGACACGGGTGTATGTGCTTGCCTGGACATAGCTGCTGAACATAGTTATCCTTGTCGCAAGGGTTGAAGTCCTTCTGGTACACTTGTTTGCCGTATGCCGTCACTATCATGGACGCTGTGACGTTCTGTACCTTCGCACTGTATGCAGAAATGTCGAAGTCGATCTTCTTCGTCGCCCGATTGAACTCCATATCGAGTCTCTTCACTTGGATCTCCGCGTCCGACTGGCAGGAGCTGAAGCCATCCGTCTTGAGAATATCGCCGGCCAGCGCTCCTATGGGGAGACTGGCGAGTAGTAGGAAAGGCGTAAGCATGTTGGCATATGTACTGTGACCTCTCATGGTGGAATGTGTCGCCTGGAGAGGCGAAAGAGTCGTGAGAGATGCTCCCAGACTGGCGCTGGAACGGCCAGACGCTCTGGATATGGGCGGTTAATGCAGATCGTGAGGGGCCCGTCTAACAGAATGGGTAGGAAAAGGTCGTAATATGGGCACTAAGCAAAGAAGTATTAAAGTAAGACGGTCCGGGCAGGATCAACCTTCCTCGAGCCGTAGATGAAGAGGCGTAGGCAGCAAGGAAGCAAGGATGGGAAAAGCGAGAGAAGAAGCAGGGAAAGACGCCTGGCGACGAACGAGAGGGTGAAACGAGAGAAGGCGACAAGACGTCAGGTGTTTGGAGAAAGAGTGGTGGTGGGAGGAATGCGGTTGGAGACTTTGATGGCGGAGGCCGAAGGGGCAGCCAGCGGTTTCAAAGGGCACGCCACGCGACAGGGCCTGGGCGACGCAAGGACGGCGGCGGCGGCGACGGTTTTGCCGGGGCCCTGGGTGGTATTTGCGGGAGCGTTACGCCCGAAGCAGCAGTGAGTCGTAATCCGCGGCGGCAGAGAGTGGAAAAAGCGGGCTCAGATATCGACGGGCACAGGGAGCGGAGCACAATGCAGTTCTAGAGGAGTCCAGCAAATCCCTTCCTCTTGTATGTATCAAGACTGGAGAGCCCTCGGCGCGCGCTCCGCCCACCGCTACTGCACATACTACAAAGGGTGTAGAGACTTCGGGCTCCTCAGCTGGACGATACGACGCTCGATGCTGCGCTGCGCAGGACGGCCAAGCAGAACTTTTGGCGGCCAAGCACGCTGCTGCAAGCCCGCGTAGAGCTGTCAAAGAAACCTGGCCTGTTTCATGCACATTCACCCGTCAAGCTGAGCAGCTGCCCCATCCACCGCCAAACCTCCCTCGTCCCGCTCGCGTGCTATTTCGAACTGTCAGCATGTGGGCGCATCGTGAAGGCGGATGTGCCCTCTCTGAGCGCTGTCTGGTACACCGAAGCACGGCGTGTCGCTGACGCAGCGGGCGGCGGTTGCATGGCAGGTGGCAGGTGGTAGTGGTACCTTAGATCGTGGCTGTGTGGCCTATTTTTGGCCGCCCGTACCCACAGAAATTCCTTCGGGTTCCTGGAGATCTTCCAATAGTGAGAAAACTGGGTCGCTGGTTGCCGTATTGATTCTGACCAGTTTGCTTTGGGCCAGCATTTCTGAATGAAGACCTGTCAGGAGGTGACGTCTGCGCTCTTTCGTCCACCAGACAGTCCCCTCAAGCATGCACAGAGGACCTCGAGACACTGTCGAATGACCCGGTCTGTCTCAACGGCCAATTGAAGAATGGACTGCCAGTAAACAAAAGAATGGCTCGACGCCCCTGACCACCCAAGCCCTGACGAGCATCTCTGGCTCATGTCTCTAAACCATTGTAAGACATCAACACCAAGACCACAAGACAGTGAGCCGTCTACACCTCGAACGCCGCAACTGCGCCTCGTGGCTGTCTTCGTTAACTGCTCTCGGCCTCGACTTTGGACGGAGTCCCGACGCAACGTGATCAGCTCGGTCGGTTCCGCAGGATTGGACACAACCCACTTCTACTTCGGCATTCGTCAACCTTACTCAAAAATAAGGGGATTTGGATGAAGCTTGAAGGAGCGGCGGTGCTTGGTAGGGCTTACCTTACCCAAGGTCAACCCACAAATTCAACGTTAGGTACCAAATACCTGGGTTCAAAACTAAATCGATCATTAGGGCCCTAGATTAACAGCTAAGATATATATACCACGGGAAAACTAACGTCGTTGGTATGGAGAGCCTTGGTTGGGGCCTTTCTAGCTACGCGTCTCAAACCTGGATATCCTCATTCCTCGGATCACTAAAAGAATCTAGGTACAGGGCTTACAAACAATTGATTTCACAGTCTCCTGTGTATCCTTTATCTGATTATGCCTTCGGGTAATCGTTCAAAACATTCAAGATCGCGAATGCATGGGGCGTTTAAGTACATGAATGCATCGTTAAATCCACACTAACCATTCCTGGATGGGGCGTTCCCACGTCGAAGTTCTGCGCATTTGCGCGTTCGCGGGCTCAGCCTTCCTCACCGCCTTGGTCGAGTTTTTTCTTGCTGTGGGACGTTCTCACTAAGTCCAATGTCCTTTTTCAGAAATATCTTCGTAAGTTCATTATCTTCCAAAAGCGAGCGTATGCAACACACACGGCGAACTCTCAAGAATCGTTAGCGCTTTCAAAATGGCCACTTCTCCGAGTTCGTCAGGCTTGACGGCCGCCGAAGGGCTTGCCGGGTACGATACATTGCTATATGCGCAGTCAATCAGCTCCTCCACGGCTCATACTGAACTGCACCTGCCTTCAAACGTTTCCGGCTATGCACCTTCCCTCCTTCGCTCCGAAGCAACTCCCACAGAATCTTCTATTAGTACGGGTCTAGCAAGTCGACTATCCGGATTCCAGCTGCTAGAGGAGGTCGACGGTGTGCTAGAGGTCGTCGGCGTGCTAGAGCTGCGACCGAACTTGCGCAGTCCAGTATATGAGTGTACTTTTTGGTTCCTAAGTTGTTGTTATATATCAGCCGACAAGGAGGAATGGAGGACTCACTGTGCGTCACACTTCCGGGGAGAAGAGCCACCCAAATCAGTCCAGTGCCCGCTATGTGAAGAGTTCAAGACGACGTATGAGGACGGCCACTACGCGTGGAAGGAACGTATAGAACATGTCGCGTGGCACCACGAGCTGGGACAGACGCTGAAGACGAGTCGCCCGGACTTTCACCTCATCCAGCACCTTTGGCAGAAGAGATTAATTGGCGACGATGACTTGAAGGAGCTTAATGGAGTATGGCATTTGTCGAGTAACGATGGCGGCGTGGAAAACCTTCCTAGTGTTCGAGAACAGAAGACGCCTCTGCGAATCGTCCCTTCGGACTACAACAGAAAGGTCCTTGCGTGGCTGGATTCATTGGACGCACCAGAATATCTCGCTACTCAGCGTGATTCTCCTGCTCCGAAAGAGGTAGACAAGACTGAAGCACTTACCGACGCTGCAAAAGCCGCAAATACTAAGTATCAAATTGATGAAGACGGTCCGGATATAAGACTAGGAACGACTAGTCCTCGATTGAGCCACTTTATCTCGGTGATGGAGCATCCGCCATCTCCACCAGTTCGGCAGGAGATACTACTACCCACTGTGCTAGAAGCACTCCTAGTTGAGCCATCGCTTAATCCCTCCCCACCGAATCCAGAGTCGGAGGCAATACAGCTACCCACTGTGCTAGAAGCACCCTTAGTTGAGCCATCGCTTGATCCCTCCCCACTGAATCTGGAGTCGCAGGCGGCGATACGACTGCCCACTGTGCTGGAAGCGCCCTTAGCCAAGCCATTGCATGATCCCTCCCCACCGAATCTGGAGTTGGAGGCGGCGATACGACCACCCACTGTGCAGCAAGTACCCGTGATTAATCCGTCGCTTGATCCCTTACCATTGAGTGCGGAGGAGCTTGAGGCAGAGTTACTTATACCCGCCGTACTGGAAGCGCAGTCAATAGAGCCATCATTCGAGCCATCATCTGTTGAGCCCTCGCGGACAACTTCAGAGGAGTCGAATGCGCATAGCAAAAAGAGGAGGAGGGGAACTGAAACACACGATGTGGAGTCCAGCAATGTGATGAGCAAAAAGGTGAGAACGGACAAAGGACCCGCGATAGACTCACCAAGACCTCTGAAACCAAATTCAGTGCCTGAAGTCGAGCCGTCAGTTGAGCCCTCGCAGCGGAACTTGGAGGAGCTGCAGAAACATGGCAAGAAGAGGAGAAGGAGAAGCACGACATTAGATGTGGAGGCAGACAATACGAGAAGCAAAAGGTTGAGGACAGGCGATGAGAACTTGGGGCGTACTCAGAAAGCTCTGAAAGGAAGGCCTTCATCAGATCCACAGGGTGAAGTTTTGGTGGATGAGCGGTCCAACTCTATGAGAAGACTTGCTTGTCCATATTTCAAACGCACCCCTCAGAAATACCAAAACATGAAGTCTTGCCTAGGGCCTGGGTTTACTGCTGTGTCTCGTGTAAAGTATTTATCCCCTCGTTGTTCCCTCTTACATAGCTGTCAGTATCTGATTCTCGACAGGGAGCATCTCTACCGGAAGCATTTGTTGCCTATACATTGTCCACGTTGCTATGAGATTTTCGAGAACGCAAAGGCATTGACGGATCACCAAAGAGCCACGAAAGAATGTAAGGTCGGCGACATTATGCCTTTTGAAGGGTTTGGCAAAGAGCAAGAGAAGAGATTAAAAAGCAAGAAGAGATCCGCTCCCAATCAATCCGAAGAAGACAAATGGCGCGAGATTTATATTATCCTCTTTCCGGATGATGACCCATCTTGCTTTCCAACAGTGCGTAAGTCTTTAAAAGTATGCTCAGAAGGTCATTATCTAATAGAGGCATAGATTATGATTACGACCTTCGTGCAGTTGTAAGCTTCCGGAGTACTGCAGGCCTCACGAACTACGAAGATTTTCTACGACTCGAGCTGCCACGGCGCGTCCGCAGACGGCTAGAAGTTGCGCAGGACGACTCACTTGAGCCTATCCAGGAAAGCTTAAAAGAAAGGATCGCTAATATTGTTGAATCGTGCCAGGAGGAACTTTTTCGTAGTTACCAAAGGACTATGTTCCCAGCGACCACAGATCTCCCACCAGTAATTCCGAAAGATTCAGAACTGAACGACACCATCACAGAAAGCCGAGTCCAAACTACTTCAAGATCCGCCGACAGTACCGAAAATCTGTTCGGAGGCTCAATAAACCATCCAATCCCCGAACTACCTGAACAAGATGGTTTATCCATCAAGTCTGCTGCACCGCATGTTCCAAGATTGAATCCCGGAAACGCACACTCAGATCTGAATCCCCAACTGGGGTCAGACCCAAATTCACAAATTCATAAGCGCGTCCTATCATCTTCTACTTTCGATGCGAGCCTACAGAGCTTGGAATCATCAGCGACTTCCAATCCACAGAGCAGTGGGATTCAGCATCTATCCAACGGTGTGTTCGATGATAACAGCTTCAGCCATCTTCCCTTGGCTACAATCGTTCTGGATACCGATTGCATATTTCCCAATCACGAAAACCCCTTCCCATTGGTTCAGCCGCCTGGGTTCAATAACTTCGGCGATTTCTCTGAACTTGCAGCTTCGAGGAACGAGTTTTATCCGATAGGAGACTCACAAGCTACCATATCTTCACATCCAGCGGACACTGTAGACAAGTCGGACTCTGGATACGACACACTAGATTCTGTGTTACAACAACCGAAAATCAATCATGACTTCAGCTTTTCAGATGAATTGGACTTGGATTGGAATGGTTTCGCGTTTCCCCTTCAAGATTCCCCTCTCATATTATCAGATGAGTGGATATTCAATTCGCAGGAAGCTGGATAGGCTCGTTTTCGCTAAGAATATGACGTTCTAGTCGTATGAAGATATGAACAAAAAGGAAAAGAAAAATGTACAACCGATGAACGCCTGCTTTCTGATTAGGGACATTGCTTCTACGTTCAGCGTCGCGGACGGAGAGACGACGACGGGCGTGGTGCAGCGTGTGTCGCCCGCCGCGAAGATGCCACGTAGGGCGAAGAGGAGAAGAAGTGGTACCTCGTTGCCCCAGGACCTAGGAGGAGTGGTCGGGGGATTTGGGGGCTAGGGGCCAAAAGCTCTGGCTCACGATGCCGAGGTTCGCGGCGCTGCTTAGTAGGCAGGCTGTTACGGTTGTGAAGACCGAAGTGGTGGAAGCGCAGTAGGAGATGGTGATGCTGGATGTATCTTCCCGTTTCAACCTTAACCCAAAAATAAGGGGGGCGTATGGGATGGAGCTTGAAGGAGCGGCGGTGCTTGGTACCTAGACCGGGCTTACCCAAGGTCCTCCCAACATATCAGATTCACTGTGAATACCAACGATCTGGGTTTCGACTTAGATCGATCGCCGGGACCCTAATTTAATATAAATATATCCACGCGCAAATTAAGATCGTGAGAATCTACTACCATACAAGGGTACCTAGGTAGTTGATACATGACGAGCTATGCATCAATCCATAGCTATTCTTAGTTCATTGAACCGGTACTTAGGTAGCGCTTAGAGCTTATAAACATTTTAAATCTCTGGTATTTCTCCATAGCATGAACTTAACATCCAGAAAATCACTCGAAGCGTTCATGATATCAAGTGCGCATCTCACGATAGGTGTATCGCCAAATTCACACTAACCGTTCCTGGTTGTGGCGTTTCGCCGTCGACGTTCTGCGCATTTGCGCATTCGGCCTTGTCATATAGTCAGACATCTCCCCCAGCTCTGTCGCACCGTCTCTTATCATGCGCTGCTCTCATCCAATATACCCTTGTTCCCACAATTCCATTGTAGTCTTCATTCCTGAGTGAAGCGACTGGAGGCTAGTATGGATGGAAAACGACCTTCAGATGAGGCTTCAGATGAGGCTTCAGATGAGGCTTCAGATGAACAGAAGTGGAATGATTCTACAAACTTGTCGAGGCCCGCTCAGGAAAACCCAAGCAATGAAGCTAGCGTACAGACTTTGGAAAGCCGCCCCGGGCATCCACAGGCACGCCTCGCGAAGGAGCAGAGCGATGCACTCGAAGCGCGCCTGCAACAGCAACAGAAGCCGAGCACCGTTAGTGAGACGAGTTTTCCTGAGATTCTAAATATCCCTTTTAGAGAGGCAGTCAGCGATGTGAGTACCTATTCATGCACTATTTATGGTGGTCAACGTTCTGACGTGCTGTAGGACCGGCTCCAGAACCACAGAGCAGAGGTGAAGTAAGTAATCAAATTGGATCATTTGAAGGGTTGTGAAATAATTTCAAATGTAATAGGACTCCGGAAGCAGAGTCGGTTGACGTTCAATTGCCTGGCACTGCTCGTAACGATCATATTGACCTCGTAGGACTTAATGCTCCAAAACAGGCTACAGCCCCGACTTACCAACCATCTGCACGCGTCCGGGAAAGAGAACCCGAGCAACAATTCGATCGATTGGATAAATACGCGAGGGAGCATGTTCCATCTCCTGTTCACGAAGGTCCACATGTCGTTAGAGTTACTGCCCCTGCGTACATCTGCGGCTGGAACGGCTGCGAGGAGGCATTCGGCAATCTCAACCAGCTGTATGCTCACGTTATACTTCAAATGCATGGCAAAAAGAGGACTGCAGAGGAGTGGGTGAAGAAATACACCGACGACTCGAACAGAATTCTACACAGTGTCCTTAGTGGAATCCCCAACGCACCAGAGCCAAAATACATATTCGCAGCCCATGATCAATCTAGGGCTAAGCCTTCAGATACTCCGGATGCAAGACCTATCACTAGGGAAAGTCAGAAACACTCTAATAAGCTAGTGACGAATCATGATACATCCCTTCCAAGCCCACTACACAAAGATGAGTCGAACATGAAACGGAGCTGCCCAGAAGAAAGATATGAGCCGGATGTTGACGAGGATGCTTTGGGCGCCAGTGACGGAGAAGGTTCGTCCTGTTCCGGAACATGCTCGAGCTCGGCCACAGCGGAGTTCAATCCCTTTGTACATCAAATGAGGAGAAGAAGGCAGGCTGTGATAGACCGTCAGATGAGGTACTTCTGGTACCTCTTCGATTCGTCTGCATATGAAGTCACGTCACATGCTGGACAGAGCTCATCAACCGGCCGAGGAGACTCCAGTATGAGCCATGGAGGGAGCCAACACTCTATCAAGGGAACAGCGAAGCGTCGAGCTTTTAATGGCGATTCGCAATCACATGAGGGTGACGATGGGGATGGCTCCGACGATCTTCCACAAGGCGAAGTTTCATCTAAGAATTCTTCCGGTACCCACAAAAGACTTGCTTGTCCATACTTCAAACGCAATCCTCAAAGATACCGAGATCTGAAGTCCTGTGCAGGTCCCCCCGGTTTCAATGGTATCCACCGTGTAAAGTGAGTTCCTCCTCTCGAATACTCTTGACCAAGCCAAAAACCAAAACTCATCTCTTGATAGGGAACACCTATATAGGAACCATTCCCTACCTATCCGTTGCCTGCGTTGTTACCAGCAATTCGAGAAGGCGGAAGAGCTAGAGGATCACCAAAGGCTGCCGGAAGGATGCGAAGTGCGCGACAAGATACCTGCGGAGGGGCTTAATGGAGAGCAGGAGAAAAGACTCAAAAGCAGAAAGAGATCCGCGGCTAGCCGATCTGACGAAGATAAATGGCGTAACATTTACATTATCCTCTTTCCAGACGATGACCAGTCAAAGATTCCAACACCATGTAAGCATTCCTAAACCTCCTAATAGACCAACTCATAATCGAGTTGTAGACTACGAGTACGATTTGGGACCAGGTCCCGCAGGCTTTGCTGAATACTTCTCGCGCGAAGTCCCACGTATGGTCCGGGAACGTCTAGAGGATGCGCTAGATGAAGAGTTCAGGCCTATTGAGGACAGGCTGAAGCAACGGATCCTCGATATTATTGAAACGTGCGGGAAAGAAGTGACTCGCAACTACCAAGCATATGTCTCCGCAGTACCGTCAAACAGTACGACATTAGCAGCGCCAGATGTTGTAGGGTCTGGCAACCCAGTTGCGCAGAGAGAAGGCCAACCCACTCCAATATCGAACAGCTGTCTTGCTGTTCCTGAAACCATAACCCCATCCAACATACCGCGGACTCCCAATATAAGACTCCGTCCGCAAGAAGACCTAGTAGCTCCAACTCTTTCTCATCCTTTGGAAATCCACCAAACATCTACAACACCGACATCGTTGAGGTACCCCACAACGGCGGCAATCGAAGGCGTAGGTACGACTATCACTATTCCCGAGGAGCAACTCCCGCTACTTTCAACATCTACCGACAGCTTTGAGCTCTATGAGAACCCAACTTCGTTCGCTCTACTACCATATCCTAGTAATGTGCCTTGGTTGGCAGAAACTCCACAGGCTCCTCATAGTGCTCTACAACAGACAGACAACCGGGAGCCGCCTGACTACAGCCATAACGCACTCGACTCGGACTTACAAGCCCTGCTAAACAACTCCGACTTCAACCACTACAGCGGAGCAATTTGGCGCAATCTTGACGACTATTCCTATCTAGACTCCTGGGGGTATGGCACAGACGAAACCGGACAGGTCGATCTCCATCATAATCGCATCACTCAAACTGCAGTGTCTTGTAATTGCCCAGGGAAGGGCAAAAGCAGAGCTGACAAGCACCTATGTACGGCCGTGACAAATTTCGAGCGAACCTGAGAATGTCTCATTTGCGAGAAGCATAGTCTCTGAGTCAACCAGTAACCCTTCAAACAACTCCAACCACCACCGTCTCCTCCAACACTCCTCCACCTTATTTTTCAACCCTGGCCACCCCCTCTCGGCACCCCAGGCACCAGTGCGAAAACTCGCTTTTCCATAATCGCGAACCGCTACGGCTCTCCGCGCATCACCCCCTCCATTCCACAGAATCTCCAGCTTATGAAAAGCACGGCACCACACTACACCCTTTCCACCCCACCTCCGAATCACCTGGATCAACTCGAAACACCGCATCGGCACCATCAATCTTTCCTAAAGACAGCTGCGTAGTCGGTTATGACGTGGAATCTACCACCAGCGAGCGCCGTCAGAGCGCCCCAAAAGCCGGCTCGCCCGTCGGCGTATAGGACGCCGTGTCTGGATTGAGATATTCGCGGCCCCAGGTCTGGATCCAGCGAGCCAGACGGACGATGTAACGCTTATCTGGGTGCGTTAACTTGAGTGATTCGATAGACTCGAAGCTGGTGCTGCTGCTACACGGCTGGGGTGTGCCGACAGATACCGCGTCTACGTTCCGCGTCCTAGGTGAAGAGATAACGATGACCGTAGTACAGCGTGCGTTGCCGGCGGCGATGATACCGCGTTGGACGAAGAGGCAAGAGGCAGTGGCTGCGGTGGCGTACCTAGTAGTCGGGTATCCAAGAGTGCCAACCGCTCGCATAGGTAAGCTGTGTTTTTCGTCAGCTTACACGGCAACAAATTCAACTTCCACTTTCTTCTTCCTCGCACATGTAGGCGCCGCTAGATGGGGAGTCCAGGGCATCATCAGCGTTTGCCAGAATCCGGGAACCTTGTATACTGGCATTTACGCTGACGAACACTGGCTGCTCGTACTTTTTCTTGAGGACTTTTGTGCTCTATCACGCCAAATATAATGATGTTTGTAGGATTCTCGGACAAGATCACCGAGGCCCAGAACGGGTGTTATATTTGGCAATTCGGCGTCATATAGCCCAACTCGCGGAGGGAGGGGGGTTTTTGCTAGGCAATCGATGAGGGGAAGGTGAAGCAGTTTTGGGAGTGGTGCGAAGAGAAGGTAAAACCATTCACGTAATTCTGGCTATTGTACAGCTATCATCTATTTATTCAAGCCTTGACGATTAGTTCTACAAAACGTTAAGGGGAAAGCGATGAGTATTATCCACTAAATGCTACATAGGAAATAGGCTAGTTTTTACGTGTTTCGAACATCGCAGGCCCTCAGAATTCCCACATAGAAGTCATATGGCGTGAAGAATAGACCACTTCCCGCTCTCTATCTTCTCCCACTCGCAGTCCACCTACAACCACCCCTTTCCGTACCAGTTGACATTCCTAACCCTCTAACTCTAGCAATGACATTGTCTTTTCAGCTCCCTAGAAGCACTTTGTGCTCTGACAGCTTTCCACATCGCGAGCCCCGCTGGCAGCGTGCCGCATCGTAACTCGTGCGTTACGCCGTAATGGCATCTCCCTTCGTAACCACCGGATAGACATATGACCCATTTGACGCCGCGGCCTCAGGCGCATAAAGTCTGACTGCGAACCCATCAGCCCTTACTCGTCAAACCAAAACTGCAGGACGGGGGAAGCTTACAAGTCACAGTGAACGAGCCACCGCCGGAAGGCGCAGGAAGCCAGCTGCGCGCACAGCATTGATCAGCATCTCCTTTATCTCACTTGGCCTGTGGGTTGAAACTCACTTCGCGGTCCAGTTACTCGGCGGGGCTACGTTCACATCCTGCACCAGGACCTGGAAACTCCCATCTTTAGCACCGTCGGCGTAAACCAGATCCCCGCTGGGATAGGTGATGTTGCTGCGGTCCCCAACGGCATACGTATCCAATGCATTCGGCACTAAGTAGCCCGTGTCATCGTACATGGTGAGGCTCCAGAAGCCATCAGCTGCAACCGGTGGCTTCCCCGAGAAGGTAAAGAGGTACGCCTCGCTGTCGGTCAGGCTTAGCTGCGTCGACCCAAGGGTAGGGTAGAGCGCGTTGGTGGCCTTGTTCTGGAGGTAGAGCGCGATTGCAATCAGGGTGCGCGGGATAATGGCGGTGCCAGACTCGAAGGTGCCGCTGTAGGAGTTGTTCAGGATGGACCAGCCGTTGCCGAGGTCAGGGTAACTACCTGGCGTATTCGTAAATGCGGCCACAGAGGCGTTGACAAGCTCGGATGCCCGTGTTAGATTCACGGACGCTGGCTTTTTATAGTGGCCGTTGGTGATACCGGCGAGAGCCAGGATCGGCGGGACAGCGGCTTGGAAGTGGGCTGTCTCCGGGGGAGAGCGAGACTCGAGGCGGGCGGTGAGTTCGAGCGTTGAGACCGCGGTGTTGTTGGAAAGGTTATCAAAGTCGGCCAGGGTCAGGGCTGGGAAGGAAGGTATGCGGGGATTGATAGAGGTGAGGGAGACCTTCGAGAAATAGGAGTTGACCTCGGCGACATCTGTGCTGTTGTTCTTGACTTCGATGCGGACAAGGATGGTTCCGATCGGGGTGGGGGATGTGATACAGCCTTCGTAGCCCTCGCAGTCATCGTCGCAGTTCGATTCCAAGGATCGGATGAGGTATTTCCCTGGTGCGCTAGCGGGTACACTACCGATGGAGGCGAAGTTGTCTCCGTAACTGTGCGAGTATGTGAGTAGTTGGGTACTTAGAACTCTGGCTAGTGCTCCGGTTGTAACAGTGGGCATAGAGTGGACAGGAAGTACTAACGGGTCATAGATGGCGAACAGATAAAACCGGTCTTCATCCATAGGAGGCAACACAAGAACTAAGTCAGTTGCGGAAAGATCGTATGTGGCACTTCCATAGATTGTATCCACGTTGGGCCTGACGACGTTATGGGTACTAGCCGTAGCCGTTGCGTTTTTGTGTCCTAGAACGTTCGAGCCTACGGTCGTCAAGGTTCCTTCAGCCAACTGGTAGAAATCCATCAACGGAGTGCCATAGAGCAGAGCGAAGACCGTTGCGCCAAGTTCGTCCACCGTGAGATTGAGGCTGCGGAGCAAGTCGCTGCTAGGAGAAGATAGCGGAGCACATTGTATCGAGCTGAAGAGAAACGCGAAGAGGAGATGGTGGAGATGCATAATGCTGAGTCCAAGAATGAGCCTGACTGGGTAGAGTGCAGTGTTACGTCCGAAAGAATGAATTGTACGAACAATGAATGCTTTCTTCTGTTTATCTGCGAAGGAGATATCGACCTTTATAAGGTTAAGAATTTGACAGGAACTAACCGGAAGCTAACAACACCCATAGCGTCCATTAGGGGTAATATAGCCTTGACTTACGGTGAAGCTGAAGAGAAGGAGCGAATTGAAATTGGAAAATTGTACTTTCGTATCTGACTTGTCTGAGCTTTGTGGATACCATGCTAAACAACTACGGGTAGAATGCTATTGCCATCTCCTGACCAGTCATCTACGCTGACTGTGTGGCGAGGTGATGACGATCTGCGCCCGCATACTCAACCTTGATTGAGAACACAGAAAGTTTTTGCAGGACTATCTGCGAGAGCTAGATGTTTTAGAGCTAGGTGTTGTAATGGAAGAAACTCGAGAGTCGTTCATCGCAGGTGACGGTAGCTCATAACATCAACACCAAGAACAGGAGAGCGATAGACTCTTGAGAATGGTATGAACGGTAGTGCTGTTTCGATTAATTCTGCGCTCGCAATAGTATGCGCACGAAATGGCTCCAAATGGTCTAGTGGGTCGTCGCACCGCTAGCCTTTATTTTCAGCTTACATGATGTAAGGCAGAAAGAAGTCAATACGCGACTATAATATTCGATCGCAAATAGAGTTAGCTAGGCAGTTTGTTAGACACAGATCACCTCGTATGTAACATGTAAAGAAGGCAACGAGAATTTAAAGCTAACGCAGACGAAGGTGCGGAGGCGCGAGGTGGACCCTGTTAGCATAGCTCAGCTAAGCGTCACGTGATCTAGTCAACCTGTTGCCATGACACTACTCACTCGGGGAACCAGTACTTAGCCATTACTTTTGCTCACCTTCGTGCTCTCTGCCGAGATAACTCTTAAGATAGTAAGAAAAGCAAACTGCTAGCGTGATCAGACGAAGAACAGGCAGGGCAATGCGAAAGCTACCATTTCGCACTGGGAGAAAACGATGTCTCAGTATATTTCTACTTCAATAACATAGAGAGCTAACATCCTAATTTGGCACGCTGAATGTGTGGGATTTACCGCCTTATACACTAGAGGACCTAACCTGGGCGAGTAATGCAAAACCGAGCATCGAACCGTGGAACTCCGCACCACCACCCAAATAAAAGCCTGGTTCCATCTTCAAGTTCCCGAAAAGATTCAAATCCCATCCACTTGACTCAAGGCCTTAATACCACCAGACTCCAACCTCATTTCCCAAGAGCAAACCTCACAACGCCATGGACGACTTCCAAACACCCCTTAAGGACGCCACCTGCGTGTCTCAAACCAAAACCCCCTCACCACCTCCACCCGCCATCACAAAACGCCTGGCACGCCTAGAAAGACGGCGCCTCCGCCTCGCAAACTCCATCCCGACCTCCAACGTCGACTCCGTATAGCACGCCCGTTTGCTTCAAAGACTCCAGACCCGCAAAACTAGCCTCTTACCCAGCTCCTACCAATCCCCTGACAGCATAGCCCAAGTATCTCTTCCGGACCCACACTCCAGCCCTCCCCCCAAACCCCCCCGCTCCACGCGTAAGAGAGAAAAACGACAAGCCCGCACCTTAGCCCGCCTCTCCCACTTCCCCCAAATCAGAGTCCAGCCGCCGACGCCGGACCCCACCGCCTCCGCAGCACGCCTCGCATTCGAAACGCAGACGCTCGCTGCCTGGTGGGCGGACTTGTGCGCTGACGCCGACGTCGACGCTATTGCGTTGAGGAACTCGTCTCTCCGCTACGGCCTTGCGAAGAACGTCATCACCGACCACGATGCTAGGGCTGCAGCGTTACACGCCGAGGAGTCAGGGGGGATGGCTTTCTTTGCCGATACGTCAACGGTGGCGAAGGGCAGGGCGGCGGGGGTGGCAGTGGCGTACGCTGTGATGAGAGATGGGAACTAGGAAGATGGTAAGGAGGGATAGGTGGAGTGGGTGACGCGGCCCACCCACATTAAGGGGTGGATTGTTACGGATAGTGCGGAAGCCCTGGGCATCGTCAAGGCGCTTGAGATAGCACTGGAGTTGTTGAGCAAGGATGAGGATCATAGGACCTGCGTGGGTCATAGCAACGGGATGGTGGTGGCATACACGGACTCGCGTGGTGCACTACACAGTATCCGGAGCTGTGCCGCGAAAAGAGGGTCTATCATGAGAGCGACATTAAAGAGAGTTGTGGCGCTTACGTATGCGATTCAAGAGCTTGGTGTCAAAGTTGAATTCCGATGGGTGCCAGGGCACCAGGGTGTGATAGGGAATGTGAAGGCTGACAAGGCCGCGAATAGAGCCAGGAAAAGGAAAGGCGTTCATGATGCTAAGGTGGTCGTGACAGGCCTAGGAAAATTGGAAGTGTGTAAGAAGTAGACCTCAAACAATTTGAACGAGCTAAGAAGGCGGGGCCCAAAGAGTTTGAAAGTGTTTTGTCTATTATCTACCATAGAAATCATTACTTTACCTCCTGGCTCTCGCTAACGCTCGCTAAGTCATATCGACGAATGTCGTCGTAATGTTTCGCAGACCGCCCCTTCAATGAGCCTTCGAGCCCAATCCATTCCTGATCTGGTCCTCGCGTCTCACGATATGCTTCGGCAGTGCATCACCAATGCCAAAGAAGACAAAGAGAGCCCACTTCCATCGAAACGGGTTGATCGCAACGGTGAATGCAAACCAGTAAAGCAGCTCGCCATACGTAAAGAAGTCGAACGCGCCACCAGGTGCTTTAGTCTTGATCCAGCGCGTCATATCGATCCACTTCTTCATAAGCGGCTCCCGCGGCCTCGCTAGCGGATCAACCAGGTATGCCAGCAGCAGCCGAGTATAGATGCCAATATGGTAGTTACCGACGGTGCCAATGGCGTTAACGTAGGTACAGTTGTTACAGCACACGTCGACATGTGCAGGCGGAAACACCTGCAAGTACCAGTTCGGCGGCTGATAGGGATCCTCGAAGCAGTCGTCGGGCAGGAAGTTGAGCGAGGGCCGTTGGTAGCCGGTTGCAAGAATGACGATGTCAGCGTCGACGACCATATCGCGGCCTGGCCCGCCTTTAGGGACGCCCTGGCTGCGCTGGGTGAATTTTAGCCCGGTCTCGGTGAAGGAGTGGATGTCGCCGCGTAGCCAGGTCGCTTTGCCGGCGCGGACGAGGTCTAGCACGTCGCTGTTGACCATGGGCGTGTCGGTGAAGATGCCTTTGGTGCCTGGCGGTGGAGAGATAGAGGCGAGGTCGCGGTAGAAGAGCTTTCGGAGGAGGGTCTCGGGGATCCAGCTTGTGAGAGTTTCCATGCCGAAGATGTTGAGGGAGAGAAGGGCGTCGACGAGTGGGTTGCGTGGGATGATCCATTTTTCGGAGCGGGCAAGAACATCAGTGTGGGCAGCATCTTCGTGGGCAACGAATTCGAGGGCTTCGACGGCTGACGCGCCGCCGCCTATGATCACAACCTTCTTCCCTTTAGCACTCTTGCCATCAAGCTGCGAAGAGTGGTAGATTTCTCCCTTGAAGTTGCTCTCTCCATGAATGTGGGCCATTTTTGGATCACCACAAGTGCCAATGGCAGCAATGACACCATCGAAGTAGCCGTTGGCGGGGTCGTTGATAATCCAGCGGCCATCAGAGTCTTTGTATACCTTGTCGACCTTGGTATCGAACTTCGTCTTCGACTCCAGACCGTAACGCTCCCAAAGTTCTGTGACTTGGCTGACGATCTGCTGGCGATTGGGGTATCCTTTGTTCCATTTGATCGAAGGATGGAAGCGGTACATAATGCTGTGGATTTGGAGGCCGGAGGTGTTGTTCACTTTCTTGAAAACTGTTTAGCAGTGTACATATATGTAGGAGATAGCTTCAGTCATACACTCCATATTCCTCCGAGGGCCTTTCGACTTCCAGATTCAAATATCCTGCAGTCAAATCCATGGCCGACGCAGTGAGACGCTGCCGAAACACCAGTGAGGCCAGCTCCAATGATCGCGATTTTAGGTCTGCTAAGATGTGCATTTGGGGGAGGAGGGGCAGGAGAAAGCAGTTTATCGATGGCCCATTGGAGGATTTGGTAGACGAAGAGAATCGGAGTGGCAAGGAAATGCTCAATGGAGTCTAGGAGAGCCATGGTGAAGACAATTGAGGAATGTGAGAGCTCCAAAGGGCAAACATGTTAGCATTAGCAGCTTAAGTAGTTGTCGGCTTTCGGGCGAGTCGGCTGTGATGTCACTTTGATGTTTCAGTCTATTTTGGAGAAAAAGTGGGACCTGTATTCTACCCTGGGTGCCTGGCACTGGCATGTGAAGAAAGGCAGCGTGCAGGTCGTTCGTGACGGCGACAAACAAAAGAGACAAAGAACCAAACGCGACGGTCGCAGGCATAGAGACAGAGACCTGCAACATGGTCCCCGTCGCTTTGCACAGCTGCTGGAGTTGGAGGAGCAGAAGATGTCGCCGGCGAAGACTAGAGGGCAGAACGGACAGGGAAGCTCCAGCGCTAACTCACGACCTCACCTTTCAAAACTGATCAACCAGCAACTCGAATCGCAACAGGCCGGGCCAGCTGATCTAGATGAACTGCCAGATGCCAATTGCTACTATGATCCTTCTTCGAGGCCGCCCATTGTTGACCATGTCCTAGATACGCTCAATAGTAGCTTTCCTCCGAGCCTCCCCCACCGCGTCCTGCACGACATCTACGCACGCGCCAAGGAAAAGCTTGCTCCGAATGTACCTGAGGACTTTGACATACTCTCAAACCTCGCGCCCCATCTAGCTACTGAAATTGCCGCAGCCAAAGCCCATCTAGCGAACGACGCGAAAGAGCAATCACCTTAGGTTCCATACCAACCTCCATCCGTGGTCCTACCGCTAGTACAGCCGCTGGCACCACACCCAGCGGAGCCAGCGAAGGCTCCACCCCCATTACACACGATGCAGTCCTCCCAGACGCCTGTACTCGACAAGTTCCTCGGAGAGGTCGATAGGATCGTGCGCGACAAAAATGGTGTTGAGCTACAGGCCTTTCTGGTCATCGAGCCGCCTTTCAACAGCCTCTACGAAGCCATGATTGCGGAGATGCGCAAAATATATCCCAAGGGTAAGGAGGGCGCATTGGAACAGAGATGTAGTAGGATGCTCAAGGAAGCTGGCGAAGACGCAGAGGGTGCGACATGGACCATATTCGTCAAATTCATGGCCAATTACCTCTCCTTCATACGGGACGTGGATCCCTCGAATTTGTTGGAAACATACAATATCCTCAGTGAGCTACAACAGTACGTGAAAACATTCTTATTGTTACATATTGAAAGAGGCCTCTATTACATCCTAGCTCCAATACTGCTTTCCGTTCGAAATCGAATGCTGCAGACTTCTTGGAGACTGGCGTCAAGATATCAGATGCAATGCTCTTTGAACCTCATTTTTAACAAGCACATCTAACTCCGATGTCCAGAAAAGCGAATAGTGCCTTAACAAGCCCGTCAAAAGGACTCATAATCCTACCCACCGTGATAGCCTACGCACGTGTTTTTGCCCGACTTGCCATTGGACTGGATAAAAATCCCGAACTCATAGCCCATTTGGTTGTCCAAAGCAACTCCGAAGAAGATGGGCGTCGGGAAACGCTTCCAGAGCGAGCAGCAAACATACTTCGGACTGCTTTTGTCACTTGTCTGAACGACCGAGGATCAGGATCAGGAGGTGTGAAAGATGGCAAACCGGATGGAAAGAAAGTCGGAATATACAAGATAGCCAATCTATGCTTGAAGATCCTGTTTCAATGCGACAAGAAGATGAACGCTGAGCAAATCTTCACCAACATCTACAACCAGTCGCCGCCACTTTCAATCTATCCCGCGTCAGAGCGCGTGACTTATCTCTACTATCTCGGCCGCTTCCATTTCTCGACAGGCCATTTCTTCCCTGCCCAAATGGCCCTCCAGGCTGCTTATGACCAATGCTTAGCCAGTCCAGCGTGTGTCGGCCAACGTCGCCTGATACTCATCTATCTAGTAGCAGCCAACATGATTCTTGGCCGTTTCCCTACTCAGTCCCTTTACGACCGACCCGAAGCTGCCGGCCTGCAAGCTATCTTCCAGCCTATCGTCCACACTTTAATCAAAGGCGACCTCGAAACTTTCAGGCGCCTAGTCGACTGGGATTCTCCGAATGCGCCGTGGCTCATGCGAAGATACAAGATGCTCCTTCAGATCGCCCGCCTCTGTGAGGTCATAGTCTGGCGCTCCCTCTTCCGACGAGCCTTCGTCTTGACCGGCGTCCAAGGTGACAATGAAACCCGCAAAGCGCCCACTCTAGACCTCAATTATGTCCTGGCCTTGTTCGTATTCCTAGAGAAGCGGGCGTTGCACCCGCCCGAGAGACTCGACAAATTTGGACCAGCGCCGGATCCGCCACCAGAAGCGTACTATATAGACCCAGAGTTCGTGGGTGCGGATGGAAAGCCGCTAGAGGGATACCATGCAAACGTCAGTCTGCCTTCTATGTTGAACATAGAGAGCAAATGCTCTTCGCTTATCTCTCAAGGCTTCATGAACGGCTTCATCTCGCATAAGTTGAAGCGGTTCGCGATCAAGGGCGCCAAAGAGAAAGGGTCAGCGCTGGCCGCAGGGTGGCCGAAGTTTTGGGATGTCATCAACGCGGAGGCGCCACCTGACTGTCCTGGATGGAAGCAGGACGTTGCGAGTTCTTCGGCGGGAGGTGCGTTTGGGCCGGGAATGGTGGTCAACCTGAGCAATGCGAGGCCTGTTGGCTCCGGGCCGCTTGGCTGACGGTCTTGGATAGATAATGCTGAGAACAGGGATATCGATGAAGTCCGGCTCCTAGGTTGGATTCTTTCAAACGCAACCTCGTGTGTTTGGCTTTGCTACTTGGTTCGGCATATATCATGAGACATGAGCGACGCTCTATACCCCCAAGTGAGGCCAATTTCTAGATGGTCAGTTACATCATATCATCATTTCTTACGTAGTGCAACTTCCGTAAGCCCGCCGCCTACTAACAAGCTTCCACCCTGTCATCACCCTTGTTCCAAAAGCAGACTGTCATAGATACTACGATCCTATAGCACACCACAGTCTCGTGATCAGAAAGTGGTCGAGATTCAGGGTCCCGCGCGCGTTGCATGCGCCATGCACCCCAGTCTGCAAACCCCGCATGAGAAGCGGCTCGGCTGCAAGGTTATTACAAGCTACCTTCCCGCGTAAGCTGATACCTCCGAGGCACATGTTGATGTGCCGTGTGCGACGTTATTGCCGGTCGCTTTAATGCTTTTGGTTGAGTAGACTGGGGAAAGGGTGCGTTATCCCGAATACTCGGGAAGGACTTGCTTGGGAACGAATACGAGAACCGTCTTGACGAAGCCTGAAAGTAGATGTCTTCAAAAGAATTATTACTATATATATCCTTGAAGTTCGAAGACAGTAGGCTGCGTGAATTAGCAGAAAGTAAGTTTTTGAAGCCTGGTATCCTTGCACAGAATGTTTCAAAGATGATTGTTAGGGGTAAGGAGAGGGTCTGGAAGGATCGTGGCACGGTTTGAGACTGCAATAGTAAGAACACTTGTATTCGTGAGGAGGAATGCTTGAGAAAAACAGCCGTAAAAGTGGCTACACGATAGATATTTAGAGTACTCTCCAAGTCGACTGCTTTGGACTTGGTTACTGGATTGGGTTAGCCTAGGAATGAAGCGGACTAAATATCAGCTACGCCGACCCCGTTTCATCTCACGTCTGCGACAACCACCAATCGGTACGCTACCATAGCGCAAACCATCGCTTGACTTCCCACAAAGCGTTTGAACCATCCGTCCAGGGCGGACGCTGCATGTCTGCTGCAATGGCGCCGCCGCGGCCTCAACTCTGTCAAGCGCCCTTGAGGCCTCGTGGTCTCGTCCCTATGCCGCTTCAATATCAAACCTTGAAACATTGCTCGTGCCCGTGTCCAGGGGTAAGTAAGTCGAGGCGGAAACACTCGACGAAACAGTGTACCTTGCTCCCTTCCTCGGACGTGGCCGACCGATGTTCTTTCTGGGAGAGCTTAATTCTCGTCTCCAGACTTTGACCGGCGGCCACCAGGTAACGCCCTTGTGGCACCTTTTTCAGTGCTGTGCGACAGATGAAATACATGGCAGGAATCACGAATGCTCTAATGGGTTTTTGACTCATTTGCCTCCGATAGCGGCTATCTTCTGCGACCCTCTTTGTGCCCTTTCTTTGGTCCTTTGATCCTTTGTGACGCTTTCTCTTTGACTCCACAGTATTCGCGGCCCAGTCCAGGCTTGTGAAATGAAGAACCTATCACCATTATTTCTACAACATCACCCATGTCCTGAATCTCAAAAGGCCCCTATCATTTCCGATCTAAGCCCACGCTTGACTCCACCCGGCTGTTTTTCCGGTCTGTCAGGCCTGTCTCTCCGACCTCTCACGACTATGCCTTGCATAGTAAAGGGTGTGGCTGTTAATTGAGTCGTGGTAAAAGTTTCAAAGAATACGACGCTGGCGAAACACGTAGCAATGCTACTTATGCCTTCTGCGCTTGTAAGCGGATATTAGCTCGGGCTGCGGAGTAGGTCATATGCATACTTTACTATAAATCTTTCTTGCCGCTGCATACCGCTGCTCTGTTACACGCGGCTGTCCATCGTGATCACAAGGCTTGCTCAGAGAGCACCTTCACACTCATTCTTTGTTTCTTGTGCTATCATTCCTTTGTATATAATAATCACTCGTTCAAAGCCTTTGTTCGAAGACTCAGACTCTCCGAACGACTTCTTATAACTTCTTCGGCCACCATCACTCTCTACAGCTGGCCCTGTTAGCATCTACAACTTTATACCCCTTTCACTCTTCTCAACTTCTACTTCAGTATGCATCTTCAACTCATTTCCCTTCTCGGTCTTGTCGCCGTTGCCAGTGCCTGGCTTCCGTCAGACAACAACCTCTTCGGACATGAAGCTCAGATGAACGCTACCTTCTCTAACTTGAACGCTGGAAAAGGCCGCGTTGTCAAGAAATGGCTGCCTTCTTCTGGAAAAATTCGCGGCGTGAATCTTGGCTCACTGTTCATTGTTGAGCCCTGGATGGCATCGACCGAATGGGCGACTATGGGATGCGGCACCTCGAAGTCAGAGTTTGACTGCGTTCTGAAGCTCGGTCAAGATGTTGCGAATACCGCCTTCGAAGGTCACTGGACTCGCTGGATTACCGAGGCCGACTTCGACGATATGGTCAAGTACGGCTTGAACACTGTCCGTATCCCACTGGGCTATTGGATCGACGAGAGCCTGGTATACAGCGACAGCGAGCACTTCCCCCAAGGCGGCCTTGCGTATCTTGACAAAGTCGTTGGTTGGGCCGCGGCTAAGGGCATTTATGTTATTCTTGATCTGCATGCGGCACCTGGAGCCCAAGTGGCGCAACAGCCATTCACTGGACAGGTAAGATATTCCCCTAATCGGCACAGCACTCCCGCATCATGATAATAAACTAACAAAGCTTCCAGTACGCTTCCACTCCTGGCTTCTACCAAGACTACCAATACGACCGAGCCTACCAGTTCCTCCAGTTCATAACCAACCGTGTTCACACGAACAGCGCCTACAGCACAGTCGGCATGCTCGAAGTCCTCAACGAGCCTATCAGCGGCCAGTCCTCGCTCATCAACACCTATTACCCTACCGCACTCTCTAAGATCCGCGAGATCGAATCCGGGCTTGGCATAACCGACAACAACAAGAAACTCCATGTCCAGTTCATGAACAAGCTCTGGGGCTCCGGAGACCCAAAGAGCGGCCTCAAGGACCTCACCAACACGGCTTTCGACAACCACCGCTACCTCAAATGGGATACCTCCGTTCAAGTCTCTCAGGCTGGATACATCGCCGCCTCGTGTGCCGACAAGGTCGCATCGGATGGCGATACGCCGCTCATCGTCGGCGAGTGGAGCATCAGTCCCGCCGATTCGGTAGAGGAGTCATCAGCCTTCGAGGTCTCGAGCGGTGCCAACAGCAACTTCTATACCAAGTGGTGGGCCGCGCAGGTCATTGCCTACGAGAAGCAGCAGGGCTGGGTCTTCTGGGCCTGGAAGTCGCAGCTTGGCGACTATCGCTGGAGCTACAAGGACGCGGTCGAGAATGGCATTATTCCCAAGGACCCGGGTCAGGCCTATAACCAGGGCGTTTGCTAGGCGGATGACTAGCTGGGTGGGGGATAGTGGCGGTGGCGATGATGATGGAGGAGTTCGACTCTTTTCACTCTTCACTCTCTATTCTTTGTGTCATATTCACTTTGGCCTTGCTCATAACGGCTCATAACGCTGAGCGTTTACCCCTACCAAGTGGCAGGTGGTATTCATTTCCTATACATGCTCTTATTGCTTTGATTTGTACATAGCATGGTTCTCTTACTGAGATGAGGGATGAATATCATGCGCATGAATGCATTCATAGCCACTATTACGTGGCTCTATTATAGGCGATTCTGGAGAAGGAAATGCATTCTTTTAACTAACGGCCCCCCTTGCGTGGCGGAAAACCCCCTGTGCCGGAATGAATCCATTGTCTCGGCATCTCAACTCTCTCCCTCGCGATTCTATTGAGTAACAATTAGTGTAATATTATTCTTTAGACATTTCTGCCTAGGAAACTGTTACGACTGCCCCTCTCGCCGAGGCTTTGGGCTGTTCCGGTCGACTTGGGTCTATTCCGGTATAAACAGGTCCATTTACCTAAGAACTGGGAACCTTAGGTAGAAAGGGGTGATTTATATATATATAGGCCTAGATAACACCTAGAAAAAGGCAGTAGCTTAGATAGTAAGGGGAGGGCTAATCGTACATCCCCTAACGAATAATCGTACGCCGTACACCTCCTAACGACTAATCGTGCACCCCCTACCGCCTGTCACTTCACCGCCTTCTAATTGGCTTAGAGGGTTTCTCCGGAGCTTCCGATTAGCTCGTTTCACTTGCTCGCTAATTCCGAATGCTCTCTCCAAATGCGGCCACGTATAACACAAGCAATTACATGGCTATATAGCCTCCAGCGCAGCCTATCTAATTTGTGCAGCTGTATATACGGCCGTACGTGAGCTCGTACGTGAGCTTGTACGCAAGGCTAGACAAATCGGCATGGCTATACAGCCTCTCCGTTTTATAGTGTATCCTGCCCGATTTGCGCAGCTGTATATACAGCTCGTAGGTGAGGCTATACGTGAGGCTATACGAATTAGAAAGGCTATATAGCCGTACGTAAGGCCGTATGTGAGGCTGTACAAATCAGAAAGGATGCACCGTAAAACGGAGAGGCTGTATAGCCATGCCGATTCGTATAGCCTCAAGTATTGTCTCACGTACGAGCTCACATATGGCAGAGATGCACGTGCAAATAGACGTAAGGGTGAATGTTCGGAGGCCTCCTACCGGACCTCCGAGCCAATTAAAAGGTGGTGAAGTAACAGGGGGCTAGGGGGTGTATAATTATTCGAAAGAGGGTGTACGATTAGCCCTCCCCTACTTTTATAGTCCTCATTCTCTGCATAGTAATATAATAGCGCATTAATAGTCTGCACAGTGCGCAGCTCGCATAGCAGCTCTTCTATTAGCCGGTTATCTAATTAGTCTAACAGGTGGGCTTAATCCTCTTAATGCCCGCCTCTGCTAGCCGTGCTTTTGACCTTGCAGTAAAGACATGGCCGTCGGACATATTTTCTAGTGTTTTTAAGAGCGTAAGCCCTACAGTCCCGAGTTGCACGCGTTGGGAAGCTGCTGTATCTGCCAGGCCTATATATATAATGCTGTTTCCAACGCCCCACAATAAAGTAACTTTCTTAGGGCTTGCCGAGCGGGCGGAGGATGCCGACTGCAACTACGACTGCAGGCGCGATCGCAAAGGCGACCGGGCCTGGAGCGCGTTGTCGTTCCCGTCTAGTTTATCTGCGATAGTGGCAAAACTCTCTCTATACAAGAGCTTGGGGATAGGATGTGTGTAGTGGTTGCATAGCCGGGGCGTGGGCTCATTGAGCTCGTCGAGGGAGTCTGCGTTCGGCGAGTACGCGTCGACGGGGAATTAGCGCTTTTCGGGCGAAGGTGCGCGTATGCGCTTCTTCTCCATGGTCTTGAGCATGCCTGGATATTCTTTTTTGTGTGATGACAATACGGGTTTGTTGTGGTCGTTGGCGGCCATCCGGCCAGCACAAGACGGCGTGTTTTGCGCGGGTGTGGGCTCTCGCAATGGTCAGGTCGCGCGCGCTTGCGAGTGGGGAGAGGAGGAGGAGACAGACGAGAGCGCGCAGGAGATTCGAGTTCGCGAATCCACGCAGCGACAGTGACGACATGCATTGAGGGCATGTGGTGCAGAGATGGAGGCGTCGAATCGATGTTGTAGCTTTCTAGGGTTCGATTGGCCCAGCAGCGACCGATTAGCGGCTTGGCATCAAACGTCAAACCATGCAGCCATGGCCTTGCTATAACGAGTTAGAGCTTAGAAACGAGGAACTAAAGTCGGGGCACCACGGCGAGCTAGTGGCAACAACAACCACAACCTCACCCTAATTTATGTTTCGGAAAATTTCAACGCCTCTCGCACAAGGATGTGGCCAGAACGGGTCGGCCGCCCTCTCTGTCTGTAGTGGCGATGTTCCATGCCAAACTGTTTCTGTTACATATACATAAGCATATTGGCGCAGCTTGACCCGTTCCGCATGTGCACTAGCTTCACATTCTTGAAGACAAAGTAGGATCAAAGTCTAATCTCTATGTTCTCCATTTGCCAGTCGTTGAGAGTAACCTTTCCCTACTGATGTTCGTACTGCACCTTTCAGCCCATACAAAAATCTCTGGGATTACCAACTGGCGCAACGTTCTTCCATTTCATACGATTCCACTACCATTCAGCACTTTGGTTCGTCATGATTTTCCCGCCTTTTCTCTACTTTGCGTCTTGCCGTGTATATCCACTCATCCAAGAAAATCCACAACCAAAGAAGTATAAACCAAGCAGAGATGACTGCTGCTCCCAGTAGGCTTAGCATGCTGAACCAGCGGCACACGGACCAAAGCGAGACCCAATGTACAGCTGATAGCTGCTCAGCTGCGAGCTCAACTTGCATGGCATTTAAAATGACGGATACCACGGCGAAGATAAAGAGTAAAGGTCCATACAGCCGCCCAAAAAAATCTCCGTATTGTCCATGGACCTGTTCGAAGTGAAACTTGCGAAGGAACAGAGGAGCATAAAAGTTGAGTCGCGTCAACCTTAGCTCGCCATAGCAGTATCTCCCTGATACCTCCGAGTCTTCAATGTGGCCGACTTCTGCAGCAAATCGACAGAATGATGCCCAATCTACATCTTTAGAGATGAGGCGGAGGTTCTCTTGCTGGGCAATGTTGAAATCGGATTCGTGTTGGACTAGGTATCGGTACGTCCGCAGGAATCCTATCGCAGCTTTGCGGATATTGCTTTGACTGTCGCCTAGCTGGCCTGGATTCTCGCTCAGACATGTTTCCCAGAAGGCTAGCGAAAGTAGATATCTTGGAAGAGGTTTAATGAATATGCGGTCGTGTATCCAGACCAGATGTAATCGAGGTTCTTCTGTAACGATGATTTCACGACCTTTCACCCGTTGTCGATGTAACGGGTTGATGTTCGCGCTGGATAAGGTCGTCATAATCCAGAGACGCGGCGCCATTCTCTCAAGGTCCTCGGAGTAAAATTCCTTTTCAAGGAATCTTTTCATATGGGTGGAATTGTTCAGCATGACTGAAGGCTGGCCCGGCAAAGGAGCATTTGCCGGCACTCTAGCTTCATTAAGCTCGAGATCGCGCACAAGCTGGTTCGATTCAGAGAATGGCAACATAATTATATTAAAGGCAGTATAGGAATAGAATGATGAGGAAATATCAATCTCTGCAGCACTTATATCTTGAAGCAAGCCGACATCCGGTGAAGGACGTCGCTGCTCAGGCAGCCATGGCTTCCAGCCTTCCCACCCCGGCTCAGCCTCGCCGTGCCCAGGCAGACTCCGCAGCTATCTTAGCCTGGTTGCCAGTGTCTTTTCGTCTTCATTCTTCTACTCTATCAGGACTTCATCAGCCCCCTTACTTGAACATACACCTTGCCCTCTTGACTTTAAAGGCCGATCATGGTATGTGGTGGAGCATGGATAAGGCATGCCAAGACTAACTCGGAAACTAGGTTCGGCTGGTGACGGACGACGACATCGGGCTGAAAGTGCTCCGCGAGGCACCAGCAGAAGCAGCCCAGATCATCGAGTGCGTTCTTTTATTACGGTGCTCGCTATCTGATTGATACTAAGACTGCGTTAGCATTGTTGCAATCCATGGCATCGGCGCCCACCCGGACGAGAGCTGGTGCAAGAACGTCGGCACGCCAGAGAGCGCGCAGTGGGTCAACTGGCTGAACAAGGATGACATGCTACCAGCGGTAGCACCAAATGCGCGTATAATGCGATACGGATACCAGTCTCAGTGGTTTGGGGAAGGAGCAATGCGGCAGAAGGCTTCGACGGTAGCACGGCGGTTGCTGCTAGCTTTAAAGCGGAAAAGAGAGGTGCAAGCCGCCCACAAGATGCACAGTGTTATCGCTAACCCGAATGCATGTGTTCAGGAGTTTCCGTTTCGGCCATTAATCTTCATAGCACACTGCTTCGGCGGGCTGGTCGTGCTGAAGGTGAGTATGTGAGGTGGACCAGAATGCGCCCGCAGCTGAGGATTCTAGGCACTCGTGGATGCGCGACACGATGAGAACGAGTGGCCTGGCATATTCACATCTACCACCGGCATGGTATTCTTCGGCACGCCATTTAGAGGGGCAGAGGGGATGAGCCAAGTGGAGATGCTTGCGGCGGCGCGGCGGGAATACCAGGAGGACGAAGTGCAGACAGACGTTTTAAAGATACTGGAGCTGGGAAACGAGTTCCTTCATGAGGTGGTCGACCAATTTGGGAAGACGCGGATGCGGGCGAACAAGGCCCAGGTTGCATGCTTCTACGAGCTCAAGGCAAGCAATGTTGGAAAGATTGTAGGGAGGGAGGACCGGACGGTAGGTTTGCAAAGGACTGTGCATCTTACCAAGGTTGACTGTATTTGCAGAGATTCGTGGTGAGCGAGAGCTCTGGCTGCCTCGACCTATCTGATTCGACGAGCAAGTTCTCGCTCTCACGAACCCACTTCAACATGAATAAGTTTGGGAGGCCCACAGAGGAAGACTTTGAGACGGTGAGAGATGTAATCAAGAACATGCTTGAGGCATCTTATGGGCTACTTCTGGCTCGATCTACATGTATTTCTTCCTAGGGACCTAGTTAGCAGCTGAATGTATAACTGACCGAGTTCAAGCTAGCGAATTAATTTGCGAACTCTACTGTGTCCCACATCTTGCAGTACCTCGGTTCTTCGGTAGACAACAGCTGATCGAGGAATTGCAGACTTTTCTGCTAAAACCGCAAGGACAGCACGGTAAGCCTAATGTAGCTGTACTACAAGCCTTAGGCGGACAGGGCAAGAGTCAGATTGCCTTGGAGTTATGTCGGAGGCTTAGGAAAGATTGTCGCGGTGTTTTCTGGCTTGATGCAACTTCGAAGGCAACGCTAGAGCGGGGCTTTGAAGGACTTGCCGAAAAACTGAACCAGCCAATTGCCAGACGCCTGGAAGATACGGAGTCGAAGACAAGGTTCGTGCTAGACACGATTTCAGAGTGGAAGGAGCGGTGGTTGATGGTTTATGACAACTACGACCGCCCTGATGTTTTTACAGATATTAAACAGTTCCTACCTGACAGTGAGTCTATCCACGCGGTGCATGCTTACATTCTAACTGCCTTAGATGGACAAGCCGGCATAATCTGTACAAGCCGGCACGAGGCCACAAAAGTGCTTGGGCGACACGTTCAAGTTCCATCGATGGTGAATGATGGAGGCATTGAGCTGCTCCTTAGAGACATGTCAGATGAGGAGATGAAAAGCAGCCGGGCAAATGGAGAGGATATTGTTCGCAGACTTGGGGGGCTAGCTCTCGCCATCGAACAGGCCGCTGCGTACATTTCCTTCAACCGGATGACTCTACCTCATTTCATAGACGAATACGAAAGAAAGAAGGGAAAGGTGCTAAAGTACATGCGTGAGGAACTCTGGGAGTACCAGAAACGAAGAGACGGGTCGGAGCAAAGCGAGGCGTTCAGCGCGTTTACGACGTGGGAGATGTCATTCGAACAAATGGAACGGCGCGATGAGACACGTAAGGATCATATCACCAGCTTCCTTAACGTCGCCGCCTTCCTCGAACCTTCCCACATCGGCAGTTATCTGTTCGAAACATACTTCGCAGAAGAGGATGAACCATTCCCATGGCTCGACATGTTTAGACGTCCAAGAAGCCTCTTAGATGAAGAGACCGACTCCGATACCGACTCTGACACCGACCAGGCATCTTCTACGCACACATGCGAACAGACAGGCTGGAGCACAGATCAGTTCTGGTCAACTATAGAGCGCCTTCATCGGCTCTCTCTGGTGCAGAGCATTGAAAAGAAGCCTGCAGTTTGGTTCTCTATCCATCCAGTGATTAGTGACTGGTTGCAGTTACGAGAACGGAAGCGATCAATTCGAGAAAGGATATTGCGAAAGACTATAAGACTGATGAGCGTGGTGGTGAAATCTTCTTTCGCTGAAGCTGCGCATGGATCTAGGAGACAAGAGTTGCTAGCACATCTGGACTCTTGTCAGACCAGTTCGCGGTACATAAAGCTTACTAAACCCCTTGGATGCACTTATATGAGAGAGGAAACAAATTCGTTTGGGGAGTTTTATGCAAGACAAGGAAAATTTGAAAGATCAGAGCAACTATATGGGGCTCTATTAAAGGAAGATAGAAATAGTCTCGACGGAAGTGACAGGAACCTGTTGGTCAGCATGACTAACCTAGCGTTGACGTACTGGAATCAAGGGCGGTGGAAGGAGGCCGAAGAGCTGTTTGTGCAAGTGCTGGAGACAGGAAAGAGGATGCTTGGGGACGAGCATCCAGACACGCTGACCAGCATGGCCAACCTAGCGTCGACGTACAGGAATCAAGGGCGGTGGAAGGAGGCCGAAGAGCTGTTTGTGCAAGTGCTGGAGACGGGAAAGAGGGTGCTTGGGGACGAGCATCCTTCCACGCTGACCAGCATGGCCAACCTGGCGCATACGTGGAAGTCCCAGAACCAAGATAAAGAGGCTATCTTACTAATGAAAAGGTGCCTCGAGCTACAGGGGAAGATCCTTGGCCCCCAACATTCTAACACGGAGTCTTCGCTCGATTCACTAAATATGTGGCAAATAGATCACCTAGAGCTAGGTACTTAAAGCTACGCTATATTTAAAAGATACGAAAATAGTGCGAATGCAGAAGTGTTCTAAGTGTTTAGGAGTGGCTACAGTACATGACTTATATAGAACTATGGGAAATCTTGATGTGTGCACCGAGTCTAACTTGTTTGAAGTCAAAGTACCCCTTATATTTTCCGGCACGGTGGGTTTTCCGCGACCTAGGGAGGGATGTTAGCATTTTGTGCTACCGCCTGTGGTGCTCAGATGAACATCGTTCTAGAAATCCGAACAGATTGCCAGCTTAATGTTTGAGAAGTCTCATGGCATATCTCTCTGCAAAGATAGAGTCAAGTTTAGTTGCCTCTGTGATTGTGTTGTCGTGATGACTATCTATGAATAGAAATTGAAGACTCCCTCGTTAGCATGGATCACGTGAATGATGCTCACGCCTCTTCTCAATTTATGCAAGTAATGAATAGCCTATTCTACTTGTACAGTCTATTAACATTTTATAACGTACAGTTACACCTAATCTCTGCAAGCCGTACTTCTACGATCTAAGCTCATTGCCCTTCAACCTCTCGTGCCCACGTGATCCTCCAACCTCACCTCACCCCTGCTCTCCATAGACCCTCCCAACCCTCCTTCATACCCATCCACCCAAAATGTCCCACCTCGAACTCGCCTGCTTCACCCCCACATCTGCCCTAACCGCCCAATCCGCCGGCGCCTCCCGAATCGAACTCTGCACCTCCTACCCCGCCGGCGGTCTCACGCCCCCGCACTCCACCCTCCTCGCCCTTAAATCCAACCCCTTTATCACAATCCCGATCTTCGTCATGATCCGCCCCCGCGCTGGCGACTTCGTCTACTCCGCGCCCGAGTTCGCGCAAATGCGTGACGAGATCGCCGCGTTCAAGGCACTAGAACGCGGGCCTGACGGCTTCGTGTTCGGGATCCTAACGTCGGAGGGCCGCGTGGATGCGGAGAGGTGTGGGGAGTTGGTGCGGCTGGCGGGGGGAGCGTCATGTACGTTTCATCGCGCGATTGACGAGGTGCGGGATTTGTGGGAAGGAGTGGAGGCAGTGGTGGAGTGTGGGTTTCAGGCGGTGTTGACGGCGGGGCGGGGGGGAGACGCGGTGGGTGGGGTGGAGGTGTTGGAGGAGATAAAGAGGAGGGTAAAAGGGAGGTTGGAGGTGGTGGTTGGGGGTGGGGTGAGGAGGGGAAATATTGGGGGGTTGAGAGGGAGGGTTGGGGAGGGGTGGTATCATTCTGCAGCGATTATGGGGCAGGGGGAGGAGGCAGATGGGGGGGAGGTAAGGGCGTTGGTGGAGGCGTTGAGGTGAGCTTGAGAGTGAGGACAAGAGTTGCATGAGGTGCCATGTGATAAAGAGAGGGAACGGGTGCGAACTGTTCAATCCGGTAGCGCATCTCTTTCTTCTAGAACTCCTGTGATCACCCTCTGATTTCGCTCGGAATTATCTCCTCTAGTCCTCTTCAAGTCCCGACCCGTGGCTTGACTTCTTCTCCTTGGAGAAGAGCCATTGCTTCCCGAAAGCTAGCTACGGCACGGTCAACATAGCCATGTTGCAAAGCATTTAAACCTTGCTGAATAGTCCGCTGTGCGCTCACGACGGTCTCAAAATCTTCGCTCGAGTTTTCGACCCAGGCTCCATCATCATTCCTGTCCTTGTCCTCGATCACACGGCTAGAGAAGCCAGGAGCTCCTGAGGGTCGACTGATTGTGTCTGAGAATATAAATGGTGTTGATGGGTCAATCAGGCTAGACAAGTGGTGGGATGCCGGAAAGCCCGGCGTCTCATAGGATATCGAGGAAGTAAGAATGCGTAATTGTGTGTCTTCTCGGGAATGTTGGGCATTTAGGGAGGACGTAGTTGGGGTTCTCGATTTCTGTGACACGGCCGGGAGCTCAAGAGAGGTAGATGTTGGTGTAGTGTAATTACGTTGCATTCCTGAAGGAGTTCGATGAATAGACGCTCGTGGATGCTTGGTTACACTTGCTTGCTGAGAGTGCCTTGCGATTGAGACAGACGGGTCTGGTTCCCGGATACCTCTAGCTTCGTTTGTTGCTGCCTTTGGTAGCGAGTGTGTCCCAATGGAAGCCTCTTCAGTGGTAGATTGCCTCTCAAGACTCCTTCTGTCCTCATCATAGCCAGAATCGGAACTGCTTGCACTAGAATAACCATCTTCAGCAAGTTTTTTTCGCTGGACACTGTCTTCCCAGCGAGATTTGTCGGGGTTGTCTCGTTCGTCTTTCCATTCGGCATAGGCTTGAGCCCTTTTCTGCAACTTCAGAGTCTTCTTGTCCTTTTTATTCCATTCCAATGTTTGCTTACTAACGTTTACTGCTTGCTTGGCGAGGAAGACTGCGAACGCTGATGTGGTCAAGCTCACGCCTGCAATTCCGGCCATAACCCATCCTCTGGTTTCTTCCACGGCGATGCCTGTGGCTGTGGCCGTGGCTGTCAGGTTTACGCTGTGACTTGTCTCCACCGCTTTACGTGAGAATCCCAAGAGCGAAGAGTCTTTTGGTACGGCACTGTCCCATACCAGGTTGGCAGAATCTAGTGTCCTATTCAAGGGAGAGGTTGTGGTAGGACTGATCTTCGCCGCTGGTAGTTGGGCAAAGATTCTCTGAACATTGGCGGAAATACTGAGAAGATTAGAAAGAGTGTCGGGATGGACGTCGCCGACATATCGCACTCTCGCATTGTGGCTGATTGACCAGAGTTTGTGTAAATAAATGCGAGGCGTAGATGCGAGAGGTAAATCTTCGCCTAATCGAATGCCAACTGACATCTCTGGTGGACATGCTTCGGTGCTGATATTCAGGAAAGGCTTTATATCGGCGCTAGTGGCATTGGACCAGACGTCGAAATCCGTGACAGGCACGGCCCTCTCATCTGGGTATTTCGTAGCGTCCTCATGATCCAGCAAGACGTCAGCTTCTCTGCTAATGTCAGTATCACTACTTCCTTTGCTGACTAGGTACCGAGCGACTTCAAAAGCTTACAAGCATAAAGCAGCAGTCTTGGAGAGTCTAAAAATGACATACTCCTGCACGAGGGTCCGAGATGAACGAAGCTCGTGAAGTCCATGTCGGTGATCGGTGCTTCTGACTACGGCAAATACCTTACATTTTCAGCTAGGTTATGAGTAGAACATCTGGGTGGAACGAGTTTTCACTCACCCGACCAGGCACGAAAAAATCCTTTTGTTTGTAACGTCCTATTCTTCTGAACTCCGGTAACTTTGAAGGATTGAAACTACGTTGCTCGTTTTGCAAAGGGACTGAATCTTTTGTGTTGTTGTCGGGGCCGCTAGTCTGCCGTAGCGGTCGGTGAAGACTTATATTCTTCGCAACAAGTTTATCCCATTCTTGTTGATCGGATGATGCCACTGGATCATGCCAGATGTACTCTATTTTTCCTGGGAGACGTTAACGAGAGATGGAGTCAAGACAGAAGAAGCTAATACCAAGCTCGTCGAACTGAGTATGGTAATACCGCTTGTGTTTCGCAGACCATATCCACCTTGAGCGACCACTATTCTGAGTCTCATTGCCCATCCGAGATTGAAGGTCATCTTCCCACAACTTGGTGTCAAACTTCAAATTTTCAATTTGGACCTGTTTCACTGACATTACGAGATGTTTCAAAAATGTTGGGACGTTACAGAGTCATACAGAGGTAAGAGGACGATAGGCCGAGATCCAGTACCCTTGTTTGCCCTGAGCTGCGGTCAGCAGTCAAATTCTCAAGGGTCCCTCTGGATTAGAAGGGTCGCATCGTTCTCTTCTGGCTCGACTCGCGCATCTGGTCCCAAATACCAATGTATGTCCGCGGTAATCACTTCTCGCGCGATCCCTTCGCCAGGCTGAAAGAAGCGCTGCATATCTGCAAATATCCGCGCACCTATTAAGAAACGGGGAGAAGATGCACGGAAGATGAAGCAAAGATGCTTGTTCTTCGAAGGGGAGCGATTGCCTTTGTCTTGCGGTGGAGGCGTGCGTGTTTAAAAAGATACGGAGGAGCAAGGCTATCTCCAGCTCGGCCTTGGTCCCCGCACCACTCAGCCTTGCTCAGCCTCACGGACGAATGAGATAGTGCAGGAGGGCTCTAGAGTAATCCAATCATGGAGACCCGTGGCTTTGACTGATGCTTGATCATTAGCCCTCCGAATCTTGTTAATGCGGTACTATCTCGTCGATCGGACTAGCAAGTCATTTATACTCCCTAGGACCACTTAGCTTAGTGAAGCAAATGCACGCATGATTGAATTGACTTATTAGATAGACTGATTTATGACGGCACAGTCACTGAAGTTGCTATGTACTCTGCTAGGGTATGGTGCGAGGAAATGTTTCAGGACCTAAATTGCAACCAATTCCTTATTAGTAAACATACCTATTTCCCTAGTGGATGCTCATCGCTATGAGGTTCCTCCTGTTCGGAGCCCCATAAAGACTGCTTCGCCAGCAGCTTTGTAATAACAACATGGATTCATTGTTCCAGGGAGTGAATCTTGATTCCCTGGTCTTCAAACTCGCGGCTCTCAAAGACTGGACATCTCAGATCCCGGGGCAATCTACACCAATCTTAGCGTACGGAAACCAATCGCGTTGGTAACGGCACTAAGCTGCTGCGGGAAGCCAAGCGTTCTTGAGGTCCTCGTCACGGTCTAGCCTGCACTTAGCGCGAACGAACTCGCCGTCGGGGTTCAGATGTTTTGGATAGATCAATGGCTTATGGGTGGGTATACACACAACGTTATTGTTTGGCGGTACACATGCAAAGCCTGAAGATCATTTATCATTCGGCTTTAGGGGCAACACATGAAGACAAAGGATGCTGGATGCTAGATTCGAGATAGTGGATTGTCAACGTTAATGGTTCATGTCACCGAAAAAATCAGAGTTCAGAAACACCCAGCTTTGAATGAAAGTTGAATGAATTCCGAAACTCACGTTGGTGGCAATGCTAGCCCAGGATTCACAAATTGAGAGGGCCTACGGCTTCCGCCTCACCGTTATAGAAAACTAAGTACACATGTTTCCCCTCCTACCTCCAACATCCTCCCTGAACTCCTTTATAGCGTTTTCAATCTCACGTGGCTCCGCACCAGTCTCAGCTCCAAAATGCTGCAAAAGCGACTCGATCAGCAGAGTTAGGATCTCGAATGAATACGCTCCGAACGGTTTCGCTTCTTCCAGCAAGCCATCCACGCGCCAAATGGCCATATGTACCTTCTGGTAGTGATATTGGTCAAACCAGCTCGATGTATGTAGGTCGCTATGTTATCACCGGCAGCGGGGTCGAGAGCCTTGGCTCGCATTGATTTGTTGAACAGAGCGAGCCAGCGGGGTTGGATGTGATATGGGTCTGTGGAATGCTCGTCGGGGCGTAAAACATTTTCGTCGACTTCCTTAATGCTGTCGTAGGCAATTTCATGTGGCAGAAAAGCCTCTGGCGAGGCAGAGGCCGGGGCGTCATACCAAACGCACGCCCAGTCTTGGATCTCAGCCCATCCGCCTTGTTTGAGTAGCTCCGCGATGGAAGAGACTTAGAACTGCCAGTGCGGCATACCTATAACGAGGAGACGAGAGAATATGTAATCCAAGATCTCGGGTTGGTACTGGGCGGTTTCAGAATTCGATCTACCCGCCTGGAAGAGCTCGTTGAAATCACCTTGCAGGTAGTGTATATTCGGGAGCTCGGGGCGGATTGTAGGAACGACAGAGAGATCTATGCCCGTGACAGTAGCCTCTGGATACTTGTAGGCAATCTCATGCGTCATGATTCCAGTGCCACAACCGATGCCAAGGGCATGTTTGATGTCTGGGCCAAGGGGCGTGAAGCATACAGCCCTTCATCAACTCTAGGAGGTTGAAATGCTGAAGCTCCAGACGCTTGTGCTCAGTAGAACTTTGCACGGCAGGTCAGTCAAGGTGCTCCCATATCAGGTACATTTTGAAGAAAGCTTTCGTACTCGTTCGGTAGCCCATAGGCTGCTTCAGTGTTGTGATATGTACGGTCTTCTCGCACTATATCTTCTCTGTTTAACTTGCCGTTTGAGAGCATTCTTGAAAAGGTCCTTAAGAGTGGTTGATTATTGTGGTATCTGGCGAAGAATAAGACGGTCTGGGAATTGCTGGCTTTGAGGCGACAAGTAATGAGGGTAAATCGAAATATATAGTTGACGAAGTAAGCCGAAAGATAGTCCTTTAAAAAGAAGATGAGTAAGGTGCCCATAAATCAGCACGCTAGTGTCAGCTGAAAATGGGCGTCATATATTTCGTCTCTTGGGCAGGAAAGTGAGCGGTGGACTTCAGCCTTCGCGAAGTCTAGTATGGTCAGTAAGCCGTCCTAGATACTCGTCTTCGCGCGTCGAGTTATGGAAAGTTAATTATAGCTCTATTTTCCTAAGAAATATTAGGCGCGTTTACAATCGAGATACTGGACGGCGGATTATTTCGCTGTCATCCTAAGATGGCTGTGAAGCCCCTCAAAGTGGGGAAGAAGATGAAAGTTTGTGTGCGATTGCCGCACGCGACGTTCCCTTTTGCCTATCTGAGCTGCCAGAACCCATCGAGACAATGTGAACCGAAAAGCTGGAGTCTTTTATGGTCTTTTTCCTAATAAGATAATAAGGCACCCAATCTGACAATGGCAAGAAGTGTAAATGGAATAATGTCCCAACATTCCTTTGGCTGAGCTCTAGCCCAGGCGCCTATATATCTGCTCCGACAAAACTAGATAAATGATCCCTGTAGACTGAGTATACATACAACCTACAGTTCATCCTGTATGCTCACCTCGTCTACCTATGATTGTAATGTGCACGAGTTGGTTGGAAGTGGCAGGCGACTATGTGGAAAGAGTTTGACGCCTCGAATAGAGCAATGGATGCATCCTGGCGGTTGGAGCGGAAGGCCTCCTTGGGGTGTAATTGGAGCGTCTGGGAGCTGATTAGCTTGTGTGATGAACTGCGCGGCGCCCATTTACATACGTATATTTTGTCAGCCAAACATAGGATTTAGGACAGCTATTCGAGGGAAGTATGATATATTAGATAGGGCCGCGTTCTCTAAAAGATACTTTGATTAATAGATTCGGTCTGTCGCAACACGTGGGGTCTGCATCGCGATGGATGGTGGGATGCGCGCTAAGTCAGCACCCTCATTTCCAATGTTAGTTATCTCCACCCCACAGCCAAAATATACTGTGAAATTGAGACAACTCAGGAAAATGCTTGACAAAGCCATCTCTACGGGCGCGTCCTGTGTCCGCTTTGTAGCAACGAGAGCCTTGAAATGCGGTGCAGGGTTCGATTCCAAGTGTCCTGCTGTCGCCGTCTCGTAGCTGCAGGCGAGCTTTCCTCGGCCCCGCAACGCTCTCAACTTGAGGAATGAGGCCTCCGCGTTTACAACCACGTCGGACGGGGCTCCTCTTACGAGCCGAGCGACGAGGAGCGCTTGGAGGATGCATTACCGGACATGGAAGGTTGTTGATTGATTTCGTAGGTCTCGTGTTCATGGCGAAAACCGTCTGGAACGCGGCGCGGCCAGCACCACGACTGCGCCAGTTCCACTGATCCCGCAGCTTGAGAATCGCCGAAAGTTTTCAACATCAGGAGCCAAGAGCCGCTGCCGAGCCTGCAGTCAGCCTGATTTATGGAAAACGGGTCCGGTCTCAAATGGGAATCGGTGGCGACAATCGCAATCGCGATCTCGATGGTCTGGAAGTTGGAGCTCCGCAATCCTTGTAATTGGAAGGACTCGGTGACTGATCCCCTCGTAACCGCATAATGTGTAGGAATACCCTAAGGCTTGATCGGTACAGCTTGCAGGCCAATGTCTGTGGAAGTCGATGAACGGCACTGAAGCGCGGTCGAGAAGAAAATTCTGAAGCCTCTCGCGACGATCAAGAGACGCGGAGAGCAGGCGGGAGTACGTAGCATCGAGGCCGGGTAAGAAGGTCAGCATAACTGATTCGAGAGAGCGAGCCGCTATCTTAACATCCGGGCGGAGTGGAGCGGTCCACACGGGTGCGGCGGCCGGGACAAGCCTGAGGTGGCATGATGGTTGCAGCTGTAGTAAATAATACGGCATCCTCTACGTACGATGTGGAGGTTGTAAAGCCCCTGGCGTGTTGGTACACTGAAAGAAATATCCGGATACAACAACAAATAAATTTTTCTCCAATGAACTCTCTGAGATGAAACTATGAAAGGGTGCTTAATGAGTCTAATATTGCGGTCTTGCGACGGGTAATAGTAACATTCTCAAGCTGTGGACTGCAAGGAATGCGTTCTGAGCGCCACCAGGCGCCCAAAGGTCAGTGAACATATGCGATACCTAGTTCATTAGGAAGCTCTGGTCAAGCTCTCTGGAATTGAGCTTGAGAACTTATAGTAATAGATAACTGTGTACCGAAATGCGTCAGTGTTTGGCAGTGTTCTTGCATTTTGATATTCTAAAGTAGCTTGGTCTAGAATACTTCCCATACAGTACGCCGTACTCCACGAACAAAGAACCATGAGGTCATATCATTCCACCCAAAAATCAACCGAGATCGCGTCGCGACCGCGACCACCTGCAGCAAAGTGAATGCAGCAACATCACCCCACCTAGGCAGCTTGCCCGTGTTGCTAACCCACAGAGCCCTGTCCTGCGTGGCGCATTGCCCTCACCTGATTGCGGCCCACGGCGAAGCCGCAGTAGCAGCGCGTCCTTTGCAAGAGTCGCATCGCGCCGAGTCTACGAGGCATTGGCATCGTAAGACCGGGTATCTAGCTCCCAGCGCCAGCCCGCGGCTCACCAGCCAAATAAAAGGCTGCCCGCGCCCACGCTGGTATCTCTTCATTCACCACTCACCATTTGACAGCTTGTCCTAGCTTCCTAGCCTTTCTAGCAAGCTCTCCCTGTAGTCTCCGCCGACTTCCGGCTCAGGCACAGTTACTTAATAGCTGACCGCTACCCCTCACCCACAAAGAAAGCTCCCACTGGAGGTATCATCAACATGGCCTCCTCCAAACCCACAGAAGTCACCGAAGACCTCAAGGAGCTGAGCATCTCTCCCTATGGCGATGCTCGCTCTTTCTCGAGCGAGCAGCCGCTCAGCGCTGAGGAGCTCCGCAAGACAAATGACTACTTCATGGCGACCATGTACCTCTGCTTGGGCATGATCTATCTGAAGGAGAACCCTCTTCTACGCGATCCCCTCACTCTGGATCACATCAAGCGCCGATTACTCGGCCATTGGGGTACTGAACTCTCCATCCAGCTTCTCAGGCAATATTGACCCATCTTGACAGGATCCGATGCGGGACAGAGCTTCACCTGGATCCACATGAACCGTCTCATTAAGAAGTACGACTTGGATGCCCTCTTCATCTCTGGCCCCGGCCACGGAGCCCCCGCCGTTCTTTCGAACTCCTACCTCGAGGGTGTCTACTCCGAGGTCTACCCCGACAAATCCGAAGACTTAAAGGGCCTGCAGAGATTCTTCAAGGCTTTCTCGTTTCCCGGTGGCATCGGCAGTCACGCAACCCCGGAAACCCCAGGTAGTCTTCACGAAGGTGGAGAGCTCGGATACTCGATTTCGCACGCCTTCGGTTCCGTTTTCGATCACCCAGATCTCATCTCTTTAACAATGGTTGGCGACGGCGAGAGCGAGACTGGCCCGCTAGCAACTAGCTGGCACAGCACCAAGTTCCTCAACCCAATCACTGATGGTGCGGTTCTTCCCGTACTGCATCTCAACGGCTACAAGATCAACAACCCCACTATCCTAGCGCGTATTAGCCACAAGGAGCTCGAGGCGCTCTTCATCGGGTATGGCTGGCAACCGTACTTTGTGGAAGGATCAGATCTACCCACCATGCACCAGGCCATGGCATCCACATTGGAACATTGCGTTCTGGAAATCAAGAAGTACCAGAAGCAAGCCCGCGATTCTGGCAAAGCATTCCGTCCACGCTGGCCCATGATTGTGCTCCGCACGCCGAAGGGTTGGACTGGACCTCGCAAGGTTGACGGAAAGTTCCTCGAGGGTTTCTGGCGCTCCCATCAAGTCCCTATTCCGGACGTCGCCAAGAACAAGAATAGCCTGAAAATCCTGGAAGAATGGATGCGCAGCTACAGACCAGAAAAGCTCTTCGATGAGTCTGGTGCTCTTATCCCGGAACTGAAGGACCTTGCACCCACAGGAGTCAGACGCATGAGCGCCAACCCCGTAGCCAACGGTGGCATCCTTCGCCGCAAGCTTCACCTCCCGGACTTCCGCGACTACGCCACTCCAGTCAAACAAGGTGGTGTCGAGAATGTTGGTAGCATGGCTATCTTTGCTACTTTCCTTCGAGACATCGTGAAGAACAACCCCAACCACTTCCGTGTCTTTGGTCCCGATGAGACTGAGTCAAACAAGCTTGGTGCCATCTACGAAGCTGGCAAGAAAGTTTGGATGGGCGAATACTTCGAAGAAGATGCCGACGGCGGAAATCTTGCTTTTGCGGGTCGGGTCATGGAAATGCTTAGCGAGCACACCTGCGAAGGCTGGCTCGAAGGCTACGTCCTCTCAGGACGGCACGGTCTACTCAACAGCTACGAGCCTTTTATCCACATCATCGATTCAATGGTCAACCAGCATTGCAAGTGGCTAGAGAAGTGCCTCGAGGTCGAGTGGCGTGTCAAGGTTGCCTCTCTCAACATCCTCCTGACTGCAACCGTCTGGCGCCAGGACCACAACGGCTTCACACATCAGGATCCAGGCTTCCTCGATGTTGTTGCCAACAAGAGCCCCGAAGTGGTCCGTATCTACCTCCCGCCTGATGCCAACTGCCTCCTCAGCGTCACGGACCATTGTTTCCGTAGTGCCAACTACGTCAACGTCATTGTCGCCGACAAACAAGACCATCTCCAATACCTCACTATGGAGCAAGCTATTCAGCATTGCACGAAGGGCGCTGGTATCTGGGATTGGGCTTCCAACGACCAGGGAGAAGAGCCAGATGTTGTCATGGCCTCCTGCGGTGACGTCCCCACACACGAATCTCTCGCCGCCACTTGCCTTCTCCGCGAGCTAGTTCCAGAGATCAAAGTCCGTTTCGTCAACGTAGTTGATCTGTTCAAGCTTATACCAGAGAAAGAGCACCCTCACGGTCTTTCGGACCGGGAATACCGCGCTCTTTTCACCAATGACAAGCCCGTCATCTTTAACTTTCACTCGTACCCATGGCTCATTCACCGCTTGACCTACAAGCGTCAAGGCCAACACAACCTCCATGTGCGCGGCTACAAGGAGAAGGGCAACATCGACACCCCCCTCGAGCTCGCCATCCGAAACGAGACAGATCGGTTCAGTCTGGCTATCGACGCGATTGACCGCATGCCAAACCTGAAGAACAAGGCGAGCTCCGCGAGGGAGGAGTTGTTGAACCGGCAAATCACGGCCCGGAACTACGCCTTCCACGAGGGCATGGATCCGGAGGATTTGACCGGCTGGCGCTGGCCTTTCAAGACTGGCACATCCGCATGAAATGTGTTGCTTTGGATTCCCTCCTTGATGTACACTTGGCGTCCATGTGCGGTGGGCGGCTCTGTTCTCCTAAAATCCACCTCTTCTCTCTCCTATGTTCAATTTCCCTTTCAATGATCAGACGGCTGGGGCAATCCTGTTTCTACTGGGCATAGACATGATAATGGAATTACATGAATAATGCATGACTGAAGCTTACTACTATTGATCACGTGCTATTTGCAATACGAGTGAATCCGTGCTTCATCTTCCCCTTGTAAACCACATGAATCCCTTACGTTCTCTACGTATGTAGAAAAGATCACCTTTCTATCTATATACACGCCAACTTTCAAGCGGAAATTGCTTCATCCGGTAGAGTCTGACTATGTGACTCTTGGCTTGTATCCCTTAACCCGCTGCTTCTGGCGCAACGCTTGGGCCACATAGCTCGGCCAATAAGAAGCCCTTAATCGAGCCCCTTGTGATGAGATGTACGATGGCTTGAGGTTATTCAGATTCGTCGATTTCTATGTACATAGCTGCTTGTATAGCTAGTCCTTGGTGGTGAGCTTAGCCACGTGCTCGCTCCAGCACCTCCCCTTCTTGCACAAGGGAATATGGCATACAGAACACCCCCAATTCGTCCTTGGCGGCCGCTGACGGCGCTTCCAACCACGGCTATCCTCTCTACTCTTCATTGTAGTGTTAATTGATAGATCTGCGAGTGGTTTCCAATTACCGCGATGAGGCTGTGAGCTTGTGCGGTGCTTGTATGAACAGGCAGCGCACGTAGGCTGCTTGGTGAACTGTTTTACAAGCTGATGCTCCCTGACCGGCTTCCACACAATATCCATCCACCCTTTCATGCCCTCCTTACTAGGTGGCTTATGTACACGAACAGATGCATGCAGTAAGGCGTCTCGTAGGTCTCAACAGAATTGTAGATGCGAATCTCGTCGAAGGGCTCGCTCACCGGAGCCCGGCTCAGGCCTATATAAGGAGAGCATGTAGCTATTGTCCACAGCTGTATCTAATAGGAAACTAAATAGTGGCTTCCAGGTCTTCCTATGGACACAATTTGTATTATAGTAGCTGCGTAGCTGGTCTGCAATATTAACCCCGCACATCCAGAGGTTGTACTCCTCGATAAACTCTGGTATATTAAGCACCGCTCTTGGCTAATTTCTGAATATCTTTACGGTTTGCCTGTAGCCCTTATTAGTAGTAGCTGGGCACCTCCGTAGCTTGGCGACGTAGTTCTGGCCATTATGAACTGTGGAGAGGAATAAAACAACCGTTGCGCCCTTCCAAGCGAATTCCATAACCTTGTGACTCTTTGATAATTCCGCATATAGCTGGCCCCACGGAATCTGCTTATTATAACTTAATTTGAGGTCTGTAAGTAATGGAGAGAATTTCTTAGCAGGAACCTTCTATTTCTTCTTAGGCCTTAATCGTGTGTTTAATTATATAGCTTGTGTGGCTTCCTTAACCATAATATTATGCTCCTCTTCACCCATTTCCTTACGCTGCGTACGTGTAGTTCGAACCGTACCTGCTGCGCCTATGCCAAGCCCTCGGAGGCGCTTAAAAAGCTTCACAGAAGTGAATAGATTATCGAGCCAAACCACGTGCTTGTGGGGGGGGATAGAGAGGTGCGTTGGAAACAGGATGGCGCTGCGTAAGAAAATCCAGCACAACTGCTTATGTTTTAGTAAACTCCTTAGCAAGGAAGGATTTATCAAGATCAACGGGGCCTTTCTTATCTCCTTTGGCGTGCCATAGCCAATCTAGAACGTAGCCTTGATTCGCAAGAACCCATATCTTGAAGCCTTCGGGTGTCGGTTTTGTTGGAATATTGACGATTTCGCTGGCCCTTCCCATAAAGCGCTGTATTGTTTCATCTATAGCTAGATAAGGCCCTGGATTCCAGTACATGCGGCTGCGTACTCTTAGATGCTCAGAGAGCTCTTCTACGCGGTTAAAAGTGGTGTGGAATCCATCCTGAGGCACAGGACTGCATCGAATGTAACGCTCAAGCTGTTCAAATCGGTTCTTGGATATGTACTTGGCAACGTCATGTCGGGCGCCTTGATTCGCCCAGTAGTCCTCTACAGCAGGCTCCACGGCCACTCCCATGTGAATTACGACCCCAAAATATGCGTATATCTCTTGCTTATTCGTTGGTTGCCAAGGCCTAGCTTTCCCGCCCGGTGCATCGTCCTCTATGGGCTGGTGAACCTCTGCGTACAGATTTGTCCACTCTACCATCTTCTCTAGCATCTCATCTGTGAAGAATAGCTTGAAAATGGCCATTGCATCGTGCCGATCAAGACCTGGAGGCACTGAGGCTTCGCCGTGCTTATACCAGTCGTCAATTCGAAGGGGAGAGAACTGGGGCACCGGCCACGGCGCTGGTGGTGGATTTTTGGAGGTTTTGGAGCGAGAATCCTTCCATTTGACGTAGTCAATGTCGTTTGATGTTCTGGGCATTTTGGAGGAACAAATCGTGGTCAAATTGGCTGTGATTTCTATTGTTTACATTCTGTGTTGATGCCCCAGCGTACAGCTCGGTACGATGTTCCGCCAAGCCTGGCCCGAGCGTTGCGCCGCAGCGGGTTAAGGGATAGTTACCTCCACAATTGCAGAATATCGATATTAGAGACAGAATAGGACATGAATGTCATACTTTTCTGCGCCGACAATTGGCAATCTAACGGACTTTGAAATAGGCTGTTGAGCTTATAGATTATTCTGGACAACTGACCTTAGTCTGTATGGCGAGTATTGTCAATCTGCGAACTCCGGTGGCGAGACAACTCAGAATTGGACCGTGCACATTACTTCAACGCTCTCCCATTATAGAATACGTCTCTAGAATTTAGTCGTATACATGTTTTGCCTCACATCGGCATGCCCTCCCGAGAGTCCTAACGTAGGTAGCTAAGGTAGTTAAATTAGTTAAATAGTGCCAACTTAGTCAGCAAACGTCGTCCCACCGGCTGCAATTTTATCACCGCATCACGCTGCCCTATCGAGGTCCTGGGACTCAATGATTCTCGCGCCGAAAGAGCTCGCACTCCCGAGCCCGCCACCCGCTGCCCGTGACCGGGACTTACAGCCTCATCAGTGCCTCTTCTTGCGATACGCGATACGCTAGAGTCGGCGCCCCCGGCGTAGAGATCCAATAAGTTTCTTCCGGTACTTCTCCATCTGGCATCGGAGGTGTCCAAATTCTAGCCGCATATTGTATGTACATGTACCTGCGCGTTGACCCCTGACCTGACCGAGAATCCCGAGATGATGATGCTTTCCTCCTCATCTATCCGAGCAACGCCTGTCGGGCTGCCCTGGCACAGCGAGTAGCTATCCGCTATACAATGATGCTCCAAGAGCTGCAACGGAGCCGCGACCTTGTCGCTTTACCAAGCATCCTCCAGACACACCACATGCCACCTACCTATTTGTAATAATGCGATCTGGCCCAGCGAGCCCATACGCGTAATCGTAGTCTCACCGACGTAGGGTAGATCAGCGTTGCCAAGCCAGAAGCCTGCTGGGCAAAGCAAAGTCCCTCGATTTCTTTGCCGCCTCTGTGATTCGTTCCACCCGCTGGCTGCTTCACATATTCCCTGTGACTTCATTGCACTCGAAAAGTGCCGAAGTACTCCATGTTTTCTCTGTTCAATCTCAACGCACTTTTTCTTTGAAGCCGTACAGAATCACCGAGATCTGCTTGCAGGCAGGAGTGGTGCCAGCACTCGGGTTCGCCCGCCATAGTGGATTTAGTCACATCACCCCGGAGAGAGATCCAATTGCGGAGGCCGTGCCTGTCCTTGTGCACAAGTCATGCACGGGAATGCCGTGCTCGGTCGAGGTGACCGAGAGCCCTGTCACTTGCCTATTGGTAACCCACTCAGACTCTTCCTCGTGCCGTCATTGAAGGAGCTTTGCCCAAAGCACAACAAACAGGGTTTAAATCTTTTGGCTTATCCCACGCGCTTGCCACAATGGAACCAAGTATGTATCTTACGACAGGTCCCACAGTACTGATGACATCCTGGGACCTTGTAGTATAAAATGCGCGCCTTTCCCTCTCCTTGAAGATTTGCTCGTGACACCCTTGGATCTTCATCATGGTTGCTCTTCAAGTATTGCTTACGGCTGTAGTATATGGCCATGTCGTCGCGGCTCAATGCCCATATATGGGCGGTGAACTCAGAGCCCGAGATGTCCCCGCGTCGACCGACGATTTTCTCAAGCAATATGAGGTCGATGACACTGATGTCGTTCTGACCAGCGACGTTGGTGGGCCGATTTCGGACCAAGAAAGCCTCAAAGCTGGCGGGCGTGGCTCTACGCTGCTGGAAGATTTTATCTTTCGCCAGAAGATGTACGTTAATTTCCATCAAACCAGTAATCCTCGTGCCAATCTTCTTGGAGATGCGTTGAAAAACGGCCTAAATCATGTCTAAAACCCAACTTGAATAGCGTTCAAATACTCATCTCAATCATTCCAAACCCACGCTCCGTCCCAGCGCCCTTTTTTTTTTACTGACAGCTGATCTTTGCAGACAACATTTCGATCACGAACGCGTGCCAGAACGAGCAGTCCATGCTCGTGGTGCCGGTGCTCACGGTATCTTCACTTCTTACGGCGACTGGTCAAATATCACCGCGGCATCATTCCTTGGCTCCAAGGGCAAAGAGACACCCGTCTTCATCCGCTTCTCCACCGTTGCTGGCAGCAGAGGCTCTCCAGATACCGCTCGGGATGTCCACGGATTTGCTACTAGGTTCTACACCGATGAAGGAAATTACGGTAAGCCGCATAAAGCAACTTGGATGTAGTGACTGACAAGTGATCAGATATCGTCGGCAACAATATCCCCGTGTTCTTCATTCAGGACGCTATCAAGTTTCCTGACCTCATTCATTCTGTGAAGCCCTCTCCGGACTCGGAAATCCCGCAGGCTGCTACAGCACATGACACAGCCTGGGACTTTTTCAGCCAGCAGCCAAGCGCCTTGCATACTCTTTTTTGGGCCATGTCGCCAAATGGCATTGTCAGGTCTTTCCGTCATATGGACGGGTTCGGTGTCCATACTTTTAGATTTGTAACAGACGACGGTAAGACCAAATTAGTAAAGTTCAAGTTCCGCACGCTGCAAGGCAAGGCCAGCTTGGTATGGGAAGAGGCCCAAGCTACGTCCGGGAAGAACTCGGATTTCCACAGACAGGACCTTTTCGACTCCATTGAAAAGGGGAGGTTCCCGGAGTGGGAGGTACGTCCATTACTACTCTACTCAAAAGCTTTCAAATGACAAGGGATAGTTCGGCGTACAAATCATGGACGAGGAGGGCCAGCTCCGCTTTGGCTTTGATCTTTTGGATCCAACAAAGATTGTCCCCGAAGAGCTTGTACCTGTCACACCACTAGGAAAACTTGTGTTGAATCGCAACCCGAGGAACTACTTCGCGGAGACTGAGCAGATAATGGTAAGCATGCACGGATTCCCCTTATCCCCGACTCCCGATCATCAAAGAACAAAGAAACCTGCTGACGAGTTGTGCCTCTTATAGTTTCAACCAGGTCGGTGATCATGTTCTGTCCCACGTTATACGCATTTACTGACAATCGGCACGTGTAAAGCGCATATCGTAAGAGGAATTGATTTTACGGAAGATCCCCTCCTACAAGGCCGGCTGTTCTCGTACCTTGATACTCAACTAAAGTAAGTCCTCGCACTAAGTTCAGACCCCTCCACTCAAAACCTTGTACTCACTGCCCGTAGCCGCAACGGAGGACCGAACTTCGAGCAACTACCAATCAACCAACCTCGCGTACCAGTACACAACAACAACCGGGACGGCGCAGGTACGTGAAACGGTTTCTCATTCACATTCTCATTGTCATTATACTACTTTGTACTACAACGTAGTCTTCTAACATACCCACAACAGGCCAAATGTTCATTCCCCTCAACACTGCCGCCTACAGCCCCAACACGCTCAACAAAGGCTCGCCTGCGCAAGCCAACGAAACTATTAACAACGGCTTTTTCACCGCGCCCTCCCGCGGCGCCTCGGGCAAGCTCACCCGCGCCGTCTCCCCCACCTTCGCCGACGTCTGGTCGCAGCCCCGCCTCTTCTTCAACTCGCTGCTCCCCACCGAGCAGCAATTCCTCATCAACGCAATCCGCTTTGAAACATCCAATCTCAAATCAACCGTCGTGAAGAACAATGTTTTAATCCAGCTTAACCGTATCAGTCACGATGTGGCCGTTCGCGTGGCGTCCGCTATCGGGCTAGAGGCGCCTGCGGCCGACGATACGTACTACCACAACAACAAGACGAGCGGGGTGAGTGTGTTTGCGAAGAAGTTGCTGAAGTTGGACGGGTTGAGGGTAGCTTTTTTGACGACCGGGAAGGGGGATGATTCGAGTCTCAAGGGGTTGAAAGACGCATTTGCGAAGGAGAATGTGGATGTGGTCGTCGTTGCGGAGGTGTTGTCTGAGGGTATCGACGTCACCTACGCGCTCGCTGATGCCACGGCGTTCGATGGGATCATCGTCGGGGATGGGACAAAAGCGCTCTTCTCGACCGCGCAGGGGTACGGCAATGGCACCGCGGCGTCGACGCTGTTCCCCGCGGGTCGGCCGTTGCAGGTTCTGCAGGAGGGGTATAGGTACGGGAAACCGGTTGGCGCGGTTGGAGATGGGACGGCGGCGTTTGCGGCAGCGGGTATCAAGGAGGGTGATGGGGTCATCTTGCAGAAGAGCGGTGGGGATTTGAGCAAAGATTTCTTGGAGAGTCTAAGGAGTTTCAAGATCTTGAGCCGGTTCCCGTTGGATGCGTAGGGTAAGGGCGGTTGGTGTGTAGAATGCAGATTAGGCTACATATTTAATCACCGATGTCTTGCTAGCTGAGATATCTCTTATAGTGCTGTCAAGCAAACGAGATTAGAGCCCAGGCAGTGGGGTTCACGTGTTTAGCCCCGTTCTTGGTGTCTGCCAATTCCTGCTAATGCATACTTCATTGACAGTGATTCAGGTGCCCCGACAATGGTACGCTACGACTATCGCTGGACTTAAAGCCCCAATGTAGTAAGCCAGCAATTAAGAGCTTTATGCGATAGCACGTTTACGAAGATGCTCAGAAGATGGTAGTAATATTCCGTTGGTCAACCTATCCAAGCCTACCTCTGCATCAGCTCTTATGCTCGCACTTCCCAAAGCTTGATCATTCCTTGCTCATTTGCGACACTCAAGAAAGCTAGCGCCTCCTCTCTGTCGGCTTTCCCCCAGGCTATCGCTGTTATCCTCCCCAACGGTGTTTTGTCAGTCGGCCAATTCCTGTATACTGTACAGCTAGGCAGGTGAACTAGCCGCAGCGCATTTTTTTTCCATCGACTAGACATAGCTAGGAGCTGTCCATCTGGCGAAAAAGCGAGGTGAGATGTCGGGGTAGTAAGGTGATCCAGTACACGGGTTGGCTTCGGAGCTTTCGGGATGCCTCCATTTACAACTTCCTCATCGTCGCTGTCGCTGGATGGGATTTTCCGATTGGCACTCCAAGCCCTGCGATCATAGATATTGACGATGCCACTCGAACTTCCAACTGCGACCCACCTATCTCCGCCTATCCAACCGTCTCTTCCACTTTTTCCTCCGAGCGCTATCGTCGTCGTGCCCACAGCTCCGTCGTCTACCCATCTCGCCACCAGTCGCTTCTCTTCCACATTCCATTCTGAGACTTCACCGTTCTTAGATGCAATTGTGATGCCACGACCATCTCCCCACCAGGAAAAGTCTGCGATACCGCCAAGGCCATCTACCCTACATTGCGCAATCCATTGCAACGTATAGGCGTTGAGGAAGTTGACTACTCCGCCACCCTTGCGCGCGGTACCTTTCAACGCCATATATTGCCCATTCGGAGATAAAGAGAAGTCTTCCATACTTCTCTGTTCGTCCTGATGACCGTACACGCGAGTGACCTTCTCTACCAGGCCGGTCGTCAGGTTCCATATGTGAAAGTAGCGGCGTCGCGCACTGAGAAATACTCGAGAGTCGGTAGGGTGGAAGGCAGTCGTGGTGAGTGGATTTCTTTTGATGTGGAGGGACGTAAGGAGGGGGTTCGGATTAGGAGGATGTGGGTGGATATGGTGAAGGTAGAGGGTTGAAGCTGGACCGGACGATAGCAGGAGAGGAAGAGTCGGGTGGAAAGAGAGAGATGTGATTGCAGACTATGTAAGGAGGATTAGCAAATACAAGCATATATGGTTGTTGCAGAAAACGTACCGGTAGTGCTCCACTAATGTCCTTCATGCGCTGTATATCCAGAACCTCTGGTTGCAGTTTACGGCGCTTGTTCGACCTTGAATTCAATCCCTTAGTGAGCATATCTGCATCTTGCAACAGTTTTGCTAGCGGCTGGACGGAGATTGAATCCCTGTCCACGTCCATCTCGTCCGCAGACGAATCGGTATCGGAGCCTGAAGCATCTGACCTCCTTCGTTTCTTGATCGTGGCCGTACGCGCCCAATCTGGCGTGGGGTGTAGTCGCTCATACTGCTTTCGCAGCCTCTTGACATATTCTTTCCCGCTTATGACGTCCTCTTCCTCCGTCTTCCTGAGTTTCCTAAGTCGTGGCACGGAAGCCAAAGAGACTGATATTCTCTCGTCGTCGCTGTCTTCCCACGCAGGCTGTTCCCTGTGTTTGCCTTGAAACTCGCCATCCTCGCCATCAGAACCTCCCCCACCAGCGGGAGCGGGCCCAGGTCCGGAGTCGATGAAGAAAAGCTGTAGAAGGATTTATATTAGCTGGGGCTACTGAAGCAAATCCTAAATGTAAAACATACATCTGCATCGGCTAACCTGTCCAGCTCCATCCCATCTTCCTGGTCTTCTTCGTCATCTAGCCCTCTTTTCTCGTCAGCTGCCAACGACCTCAACCCCTCCCTGAACCCCACTGCATCTCCAAATACAGCCCTCTCTAGCGCTTCTTCAGTAGAATCCTTTTCCCAGTCACTTCCACTGATTTCTCCTTGCTCTTGCTCTTCATCGTCTTCGTGATCTTCCTCGCTATCATCATCATCGAACCCCGCGAATTCTTCTTGATCGTCGTCGGACGATTCGTCTGGTGTAGGCGCCTTGATCAGAGCTTGCGCATTCGTTTCCTCCGGCAGTTCTGGCTGCCGTTCTTTCTTGCTAGGCGCCTTCGCCTTTACCGGTGCCATTGTGGGTGGTTCAGTACCGTGTACAGAGTTGTGTTCAGTTTGCTGTGTCGCGAAATTTTCGAAGTCCAAAAATTTGGCAGGGATGTGAGCTATGCTTAAAGCCGAAGGACTGCTATTGGCTGAACTCTTTAGCACAGAACTGTTAATAGAAGAACAGTATTTAATGAGCATATGAGGGGGCTTATTATTCACGTTTCCTGTAGAGCTTTCACTGTTCGTCCCTTCAGCTGTGGGGTCTTGGAGGTGGAGAAGCTTTGTTCGCACGTGACATCGAATCGACCTCGCCTCTAAGTCCTCCACCACCCATACTCACCACCTCCATGCAACACGCCTGGGCACACCCTTTCACTATCTACAATCAAACTATGGCGGACCTAGACGCCAAACCCAGCGAACCACTCTTCCGAGCCTCGAAGCGCCGGAAGATATTCCGCAAAGCCGTCGAAGACGAATCGCACGAGATCACAAGCCCTCAATCCCTCGCCACACCCGAATCACATACCCGAACTCCTCAAGACAATGCCGAAACCGAAGGGCAAAAGGATGGAGGCCTCTCTATGGCCGAGATCCTCCGCCGCCGCAAGCAAGGCAAGACGCGCCGCGCCGGCATCGAGTTCTCGAACTCATCGCAAACCTCGACCCGCGCCGCCGCACCACCACCCTCCGACGCACTGATCCCCCATACCGATGACAATCGCTCCGCGGTCGATATCGCGGCGAAGCGGTTCGCACCACAAACGGGGAAGGTAGCAGACGTACACGATAAACACATGTGAGTGGGCCCTCCGCATACCATATCCATTGCGTTTCTTGAAACGGGGACTGATAGTTTAAGGATGGAATTTATAGACGCCAGAATGGCTGAGCTCCGTCATTCGCAGGCGGCACTAAGCATAACGACCCTCGATGACATGTCTACCGAAGAGCGCGCCACAGCGATTGCGGCGTCGGAGAAGGCGCGCGAGAGACAGCCGGCTGGCGTCGGGAAACTGCAAGAAATTGATTTGGGGCCGGATGCTACGGCGCAGAATATTGCGCGGACAGAGGCTGCGAGGAGGAAGATGGAGGGATTGCCGGACGATGAGCCACAGAGTGGGCTAAGGCCTGGGAAAGTGAGGCTTGGGAGAGATGGTAAGCCGTGGCGGGGCCGGAAAAGGCGGAATAGTGAGGATATCAAGCGGGATCTGCTCGTTGAGGAGGTACTCAGGGAGAGTAGGCGTAAGTTTCACCATACGCTGTAAATCCATGCATTCGCTAACTCTACGGTAGTGGATATGTACGATGAGCCTGAGGCCCTAGGGCACTCGGAAGGCGACCAGGCCGCCGACGACCTCCTAGCGGAGAGATTCAGACAGGAATTCATTGACGCAGTCGAGTCTCGAAATGTCAGACGTACGGCTCCTGCGCCTCCCGGCGCGGCTAAAGGCACGAAAGGAGAGGAGAGGCCCAAAGGGCCGAAGCTGGGGGGTAGTCGAAGTGCGAGAGCTGCGATGCGTGCTATAGAGGAGAAGGCTGCAAAGAAGAGGTGATGTATCGGAGCCTGAGATATTCTTAGGTGTCGTAATAGGCCCGGGAGCACTTGGGTAATAGCTAGGTGTTTGATTTCGGCTATTCAAGTATTCGATATCTCAGCTGTTGAATTAGTCCAACCCTCACGTCGAGGAACTTCCCCACTACAGATTGTTCTTCTCGAAGTGTCTTTCGGTGTGATTCGGGAGATAATTGTGGCTCCCCAGCACCCCTTCGAGACCTTCTCACAAGTCAAGATCCCGACCCAGATTTGAACCCTAGGGAAAGCCATCACACAAAATACCCCAAATCAGACCATTGATATCGGACAAAGAATCGGTCTGGTTCTAACAACACTCTCACGTCGTGAAAGCCGTAGAACTGATCTACAATATCTGGAAAAGACAACAGTAGATGATTTTCCGCACTTCATTGAAGGACCCTTCGCGTGCCAAACGGGTCGAAAAGCTGCTACCAATCCTAACTTTTCCTCCAAACCTCCTCAATGCAACGATTCTTTGCGCATAACAGTTCCAACTTCTCGCTTCCTCTATATCTCTTCTTCAATACCCTTTCAATAACCTCCTCCTCTTCAAAACTCCGCTCCATCCCTTCCGTACCGCCCAACCCGCCAGCCTCTCGTCCCGTTCAGCCTTCCATAGCCCTAGGGCAGAAAAGTCGTTTCTTGGTCGCTTGACTGAGACGAGCGCGCGGAGCCCACTAACAGTTTGTCTGGGGGTAGAGCACATATTGAGCGCTAGAGTGCGCTGGTGGTCCTTCGTAATGAGTAGTGAGCAGTGAGTAGTGGCAGCGTAGTGGTCACGTGAGTGAGACTGAAAAAGGGGGCAAAAAAGGAACTCGAGAACTGCTGGTAAGTACAGATGATCTTTCGACTCACCCGGTGGTACAGAAGAGCCAATTTTTAACGTTGAGACCTCACCCACGAATAGGTTTTGACAGCACTAACTCGACCACTGGGGTCCGGTCTAGGGGGCAACTGAGCGTTGTAGCAGATCTCGAGGAGAGCGAGCACTCAGCCCGAAGGTGCAGCTGAGTGGAAGGGGCTAGCGAGATAACACTTCGGGAGAAGTGCACAGTAACGGCAACCGACTCGACCAACGGGGCAAAGGCAGTAACGGCTCCTGCTTCCAGGTGTTGTGAACGGGAAGGCAGGAAATTTTTGTTTATTTATATCTTTAGTGGTGGTTTGTATTAGTGAATAGCCTTAAGTCGGCTTTCTGTACGCTGTACTCACCGAGGTGTTCCAGCGATACATACAAATTCACTTCTATATTTCCTTTTGCTTGGCAGCCACCTACATTACCCCGGAGCCGCCCTCAGTCATTATATTGGGTTGAGAGCCATTCACACGAGAAGAATGCGGCTAGAAGGAGAAGCACGGCCGAGCCAGCCACGGGGTATGTAGTCTGTCAACGACAGGGCAATCCCCACCCCAACTCGCTCATACGCTCCAGGAACAACAGGGGATTCTTGAACGATTAATTGGTAATAGCCATACCCACTTTCCCCTGTCATCGAGTTTTTAACAGAAACCGTGTTCAAGATAACACACGTGAAGTTCAGCGGTTGGTTCGACTCGTCATCGAAGGAAATCACTCCCTGTATGTCACGGTCCTGTTCTCCTTGAATAATGAACTGATTAAATCGAGGTAGGTCTCTTGATATCTCGTTTGTGTCTTTTCCCGGGTTAGTCCAGCAATCTTGCATGATCCAGTTGTCGAGAAAATTTGTTGCGTCGCCTGCGGGTAATCTCGAGGCTTTCCAGAAATGGGCCCTTAGATGAAGAGTGCCGCGATTCGCGATGTTGGTCTCGCATACCCGGGGTCTGCCCGTGTCGTACTCAGCATAGTAGGTTGCCATTCGGGTCTCACCTTCCCAGGCTGCCCAACTCGCTAAGCAATCTTGCTGAAATGTCAAGGGAGATTTGAGCATACACATCTTGAGCGCCTTCTAATCTAGTTAATGGGTCATGAGACCCACACCAGAAGAGCCCTCTTGCGATGTCTTCAACCCACAAGCCTTGAAAATACGTCTGGCGAATCAGAGTACTCATTTCTTGGGCGAGACCAGATATAGCAGGGAGCTTGTCGCTAGCTTGAGTTAAATCGCACTGGTTGTACGTTCGAACAACTCTAGACCAGAAGCGGTGCTGTGCGCTGTGAACTCTGTCAGGATCAGGACTTCTTCCAAACAGAGAGTGATTCTTGATCAGCGCCGCAACAACTCTGAGAGTCTGCAACATATGGTAGCCGTTCGTCATCCTTGCTATTGCCGTTGCTTCGAGCATGAGCCGATGGAAGATTCGTGGTTTCGACTACAGATTATGGGTAAAAGGCGTTGGACCGTTGTCAGATTGGGCAAAGACGCCTTCTTGACACTCGAAAAAGAGCTGCTGAGAAGCATAAGGGATAATTCGACGAGAAAGAATGCGTTCTTGTACTACCCATCCTCTTTTACTCCACTCGTAGCGTGCAAGTTCTTCTCCGAGGTCGCGAAGCTCATGTCCATTATCGACCTGTCTGGATAGGAAAAGGCCTTCGCCGCTATGCCGCGCTGAAGTTGCTGCCAGGGTGCAGAGCGCGAGCTGAAATATCCTGCCCATGTTGGCGGATTCATTATTCCAATCCAGGTCGTCATCCTGGATGATACAGAGGGTATCAACCCAAAGAAAGCGAACACCTAGCTGACGAGTCGTGATTACAGCATCATTGATAGTTGCTGGCAAGAGAGGGAAAGGTATGGCATCCTCAAAATCGCAGATGTTCGATCTCGTCGTCTTGAGATGATTGTTGGGTCGTTCCCCAACAGTAACTCAACGCAAGATATATGCCCATCTGGCCCTCGGTAGCAACCAACTTGGGCGGAGTTCCTCGATCGTCACCCACTTCGATGATCCTTGTGGGTAAGGCATTTCCCGGCAATCCGTCTCTTACTAGGATACCAGAGATCGTCTTCCTGCATAGCTCATGATGGTCTGTGCATGATTTGAGCCATGCTCGAACGACACCGGAGTCCTCGAGGGAATTAGTGACGGGACTGCGTGTATGAAGCTTGCTCATTGCATGCTCTACTCCGTGGTCTGAGGTGGCTCGACGAAGTATCAGGCAGGTCAAATGCTCATGATGGATAATATGTGAAGCAGGACTATAGTAGTCGATTTCACGACCGTGAACTACAGGCGGTCTGTCTTCGGCGGATGTCAGGGAGAGGTGAGCGCCAAGACATGGAGGAGATCGGAGATCGACCAAAGAACCTCGACTAAGCAGCCATATTGGGGTTAGCGTTGTTCTATCGCACCGGGACTAATTATAGCACTTTCACTTCAAATTGTCCTCACACTTCAAGGAGAAACAGGACAACCTGTGCAGAGGAGATTGAATATTCAAAAAGAGCTACTCTCACAGGCTAGAGATTGCACTTCATGATCTGTTGCAAGGAGGTGTTTGAAGCGTGGTGCACGGTCCAATCTTGAGATATCCACAATGCATGCCTTCTCGCCAATGTATCTTCCGGTGTACCGCACACGTCCATCGCTCACAAGCAACCCAAAATGACAATGCCGTATCGCATGCGTGTATCTCAAGATAGCTGCCGAGCGGTGTGAGTGTTCAGGATGCCCGCGGACGCTCGGAGCGGACAAGCAATCTCTCCGTGACGCGCGAGGAAATTTCCTAGACGGCCGTCCTTGAGGAGACCGGAGAGGCCAAACCCCAGCTTACAGGCCCCAGATCTAGCCAGCTCATTCGCGAGAAGGGACTTCCCGGGTTCAGGTCCACTATTGGCCTTCGCAGTAGTGGAGTGTCTATCAGACTCCACATGCCGATCGAGCAGAATGGTCAACACCTTGACTCAATTGCTCCTAACGTCCAATCGCGGCGCCTCGGGTGCGTTCGGAAGTGCAGACAGCGTGGTCTGGCACTGTGCCTCAAGCCATTTGATGAAGTCGCAAGGGAGAGTCAACGGGAGGTTGGCCTGAGCCTTATACAAGCTTTGGCGGCACTGGAGTGCTAGCTATTCACGGCTCGCCCGACCGCATCCGGGCCCCGACATCGCGTGGTTGTCGAACAAGCTCCCCGGCCCCCGTCTTTTGACTCGCGTGGCTGATAAGTAAGCCCCTGCCCGCATCCTGGCGACGATGGCCGACCGGAATGATTGCCGAGGTTCTGGCCCCAAATCAGGCCGGACTGGTGAAGGGTCGGAGAGAATGAGGGCCAAATATCAGGACCACTATCACAAGCTGGCCGTTGCTTGTTGCACCGCCGGCTTGGGTCAAGGACCTACCTGCTATCTCTCCCCTGCCTGTGCAGCACACTGAATCTTGGAAACGGCAATCCGTGTGCTACTGGTTAGAGCGTGCAGCAGCCTCCAGGTTCAATATCAACCACCAGTTCACCACGTTGCGCCCACAATCGCGTGCTGTTGCTCAAGCTGCTCTCTTAAAGCCCCTCTCCCCCTCTGTGCCGGCTCCTGTGCCCCATCTCTCGTCCCTGCTCCGATTAATCGTTATCTATTGTGCTCTATTGCTCCTTTGCTTGGAAGAGATAGCTGTGTCACGTACTGACGTTGCCATCCCCAGTCTCAGTGACGTCTGTTTCCGATCTTCCTTATCAATCTAAAGTATCACGTTATCAGCCGGCGAGATTGACAATTCAGTTGAGTTGAACTTGCCGACGCGTTGGATTTGTGTTTGCTCCTTTGCTATATCTTCTTCCACGGAGCAGCTTCCCCTTCCTTGCTCAACCATTAAAACCACCAACACCAACCCTACGTCCACCACACTTCTGAGCACCCTCTCGAGCAAAACCAAGTTCTGGAGAATTCCCGCTTCGAACCACATTGTGGGCAAGACTTCCAGACTCCTGATTTCAGCCTTCCTCGTCCGGAAATGGCTCCTTCAACCAATTCCTCCGCTCTAGCGACACCAGAAGTCTCAGACTACAGCTCGGCAAATACGCCCGCAACCTCAATCACATCCTCCATCTCATCCTTCCAAGATGTGAACAAGGCTCTGCTAGACTGCCTGATCGGCCAATTAGACCTTGTATCAATCAAAGACACCCTCGTCTCAATCGCCCAGGAAGGAGGCGACATGATGCTCGCTGCGGACCCGTCCGTGGACACTTCCGATTCAAAAAGGAACAGCAGCGATCGAGTGACCGCAACCGACAAGGCCGTGGAGAACATGGTGTCCTCGCGCCTCAGGGCCGCGTACCCTGACTTCGAGTTCCTCGGAGAAGAAACCCTGAAGGACGGCCAGAAGCTTGGTGATGCACCTACCTTTGTCTGCGACCCTATCGACGGGACACTGAACTTCATCCACGGCTTCCCCAACACCGCCATCTCGCTCGCGCTCACAGTGTCCAAGAAGCCCGTAGTCGGAGTCGTGTTCAACCCATTCCGCAATGAGCTCTACACAGCCATCAGAGGCCGCGGCGCCTTCCTCCAAAAGACAAACGGCTCCATTCACAAACTACCAATTCGCCAGAATCCCACTGCCCTCACTGGTCTAAACGGCTGTCTCGTAGCCATAGAATGGGGCAGTGAGCGTAGCGGCCCCAACTGGGATCTCCGAACCGACATGACCCGGAAGCTGATGAGCGCGAAATCGGTGGGTGGCGCAATGGTGCACTCTATCCGCTGCTCTGGCTCCGCAGCACTCGACTTCTGCTACGTGGCTGCAGGCAGCATCGATGTCTTCTGGGAAGGCGGATGCTGGATCTGGGACATCTGCGCTGGATGGATCATCCTCGAGGAAGCGGGCGGAATGGTGGCGAGTGCTAATCCTGGTGATTGGGACCCGAGTTTGGAAGGGCGGCTGTATCTAGCTGTGAGAGGAGCCGCGAGCGGCCAGGAGGAAGTGATTGAGGAGATGTGGGGCTGCATGGGGGAGCGAAAATTCGTGTTCGCCAAGTAAGCCGGATGAACGACGCACGAACGAACGACACAAAAGTACCATCGAGATCGATCTTCTCCTACTCGATATCTTTCGGTTTCGGGTTGCAAGCGACATAGATTCGGTGTTTTCATTTTCACTTGGGCTCTCTGCGTGGATACCCTCGGTTTCTTCTTCTACGAATGGTTCTCACACGGGCTGCAATAGTTGAAGATTTCGGATTTCTTAAACCACGGTGGTGAAAATAGCATGGAGCTGATTATGCCTGCGTTTCCAGTCTTTTGTTCGCCTCCTATACCATCTAGACTGTGATTTCACAAGGGCATGAGGCCTTCTATAGATACCTTTATCGAGGAACGGGCTACTTGCATGAAGCGAGAGGCTATAATTAAAGACATAATCGTTTTGATTCTATCAGATATGATGAAGTCCGAGACTTGACTTCAGTATGCGATGAAAAGGAGTTTTAGACCCGAAAAGCTCTGTCATAGATTTAGATACGGCCAAACGATGTTTCGTAGGAATAGCAGAGGGGTGGATTGAATTTTTGGAAATTGAATGAGAGTGAAAAAGAAAGCGAAATCCATAAGCATGTATATCGACAAAGTAACCTCTTGGCAAACATTAAGAAGAATAACGATAATCACTTTCTTTACTAAGACGAATCCAAAGTCACTATCTTTTCAAGGACTTTACCCAGTATCACGCTACTTCTTGGCTTGATCGTCCATATGTTTTTTATGGGAGTCCAGAACCGCCGATGGGATCTTCTTGAGGATATCCTGGATGGAATCAGATAGTTGAGCTGCTTTGGTGCATTCAGTATGATCCTCGATGGTGTGGTTGTACCTACTCCCCTCACATGACTTGTGAAAATATATCGTTAGATCCATGAGCGATTTCGAAAGCTCATTGATGTTTCTCGGTACTTCTGAGGCTGTAGGGCGTTTTGGGAATAACCCAAGCTGATGGAAGCCTCGAACTAAAGAACCGACAACGGAGGCATGACATGCTTCGACACTTTGTCGGTTATCACTTGGCTGGCTAACCACACAGGCATGGGTAGCGGCAAGAACGGCGTCGAACTTCTTGTAGCACGTGTCTAGAAGAGCTGATATGGTGTCCTGTCTGACTCTGACGATGGTTTCTTGAAATGTAGTCAGTTTTCGAAATTGCTGTTTGAGTGCATTCAAAGCTCCTGTAATACATAATTGTGATTTGAAAACTACTTGAGAGTCTTGATAGCGAAATGAGTTATAAGATTATGGGAGCCGTCTCGTACTCACCGATGGAGTCTAGTGGCATCGTTGGACCGAGAAAGTCGCCTCCACTGTTCAAGCACTCTCCATCCGGACCTTTGATGGTGAACAGAACTAGCCTTGATGAAAGGGACTGATATATGCTGTGGTAGCCGAATGTCCAAGCGATGAACAGTGACTCCTCGTATCCATTCTGGAGAGATAGCTCCTCAAGGTCCCGGCTCCAGGCAGTGACGAACGGTCGCACAATCTTTACAGTGTCATACTTATCGCATATCACGGCAAGGTCGAGCAGTCGATGGAACGGCATTGGGCTCGCAGGCGGAAGTTGGGAGAAATGTAGATGGGCTACCCTGAGTACGACGAGTAATGCTTCTTCGTCGTCATCAGGAAACTCGACCTGGGAAGCCTGGCTCTCCGCAAACCGATTGCTAAACATGGCCTTCCAAACCGGGCTAGCTAGGCGCAGAACCCGAGAGGACACGCGAATCCTTGTTGATAGAGTTCCAACAATGAGGGTGACGTCGCCGTCATCATCCAAGATGATACTTTCGGACAATCGCTCCGGCCAGTCAGCTAAAGAAGTGACCTGGCCTTCCCGTTGCTTTCCTTTACCCTTCTTAGAGCTCTTGCCGAACACACTTACTAGAGAAGCAACCTTCTCAGTATTCCCTAGTGAGAAGTCAAGCTCTGCAATTGAAGTGCCTTGCTTAGACTCTGTTGGCTCAGCAGGTCCCGACACCGGAGCATCTGGCACCGTGATAGCTTCCACGGCGAAAGCTTTTTTATTTCGCCCTTTTTTAATCTTCTTTGGAGTGAGTTTCTCCATGATCTCGGGCTCCGGATCTGCCCCTCCTTTGTTCTCACCAAACCCATCATCATTTCTCTGTTTGGAGGAGCTACTAGTGGCCCAATCCATGTCGTTCCACGCACGACTAAGAGTAGCTAGGAGGCATGTAGTTCCGGGTCGAAAGTAATTATGGAATTTGAGGACTTCGCTGAGGACAGTTAAAGATACGAATGCACGGAAATCATGGAGGGTGATTGAGGGCCAGATAAGCAATGGAAAAGCAATTGTGGGTGTAACGTCGGCTTGCTGCATTCTGACGTGTCACAGTTACAAAGCATGTCGGGAATGCTTAGAGCGGTAGAACAAGCCCAGCACTGGCAAGGATATATATCAACCTAACGGCCTCTGATAAGGGAGTCGGTGTCATCAAATCCAGTCCCTCTGCTAGGAGATTGTGGAGCATGATAAAGGAGGCAGCGAGGTTAGTTCAATTCGAGCCGGAGCGGAATAACTATCAGCCGAAGGACCTCTTCTTTACCACCTTCTTCGTCATTACATTCTTCTGAAAGCGATCTAGAGCATCACAGGATGCGGCACCAAAGCATTCGAGACGGCCGTTGAATTGAAAGAAAAAAATCAACTCTAACAGTAGATTGGGCTTTCCTTAGCCTCGATTGCCATCAACGTTCGACCAAGACTAGAATATCTTACGCCAAGAACGTTGACACCTTTCTTCCTGAACTGTGTAGAATTTCCAAACCCCAGCTCTGTTGTGCATCGCAGTAGCGAGCCGCTATGTTATATGCTTTTCTCTTCCATCGCTCGTCGATCCATTAGTCGTCTTAGTAGCGAGGCACCGCAGGCTAGGCCGGTCTGAGGTGGTCCAGTTCAAAGTCAGTGGGTTACGACGGTTTCGAAACCGGCCCGAAATCCACCTTCAGGTAATTGACAATTGGTCCAGAAATTCTTGTAACCATCGAAGCAACCCAGACAGCGTTGAAGAAACGTAGAAAGTCTTCCTGATACGTACGGGCTTAGCTGTTGTTGCATACTGCAAGCGCACCTTACACGCACGATACCATCCGATACCATATGGCTGCGGAACCACTTCCTATTAAGGGCCTATCCTTTGGACAAAGGAAAGATCGCCGCCGCTCAATCAACCGCTCGCTCCTTTCCATCACTCCAGAGAACTCCAACTTACAATTCGCGTCGCCACTCTTTTCCGTGCTACCTGCGGAACTTCGTAATCAGATCTTCGCTCTCGCATGCTCTCAGTATCGCGACACATCCCGTCTAGTCAAAGGCATACACCCAAGAGTCTGCCGTCCCAGTCATCGACATCCCGTCCGAACATGCACCTCACTGCTCCGGACCTGCAGGTTGATCTACTACGAGACCCACGTAATCCCTCTCCAGAGCGCAACGCATTATGGTGACACAGTGAGAGCCTGGCCAAACTACGTTTTCCACCTCACGAGAGCACAACAGCTAAATTTGTTCCACTTGCACGTCTCTGTCTATGACTATGGCGACAGGGACCTTAAATTCTTCGACAAGTTTACCCGGGGCGACGGGATGTACTGGAAAAGGATCACTGTTCTAAAGAATTGGTATACTAGGATGCCTGACCTGTGGGTACGCCCAGAGGGAACACGGCCGAGCCATGCCCTCCCAATCCAAGTGCCGCTATCCTGCTCAGAATTTGTGTTCGAGCTGGAGGTATTGCCAGTATGGGTCAAAAAGAATGAGTATCGAGGCATGGAGGAGGCGGAAGAGTATGTGCGGCGGATGGAGACGTACAAAGTCTTGAAGATAGATGGCTCATCTTTCGCGCGAGCTCCATCGAGAGTTGAGCGCTTTAGTTGGACTGCGCCGAACAAACCGGAACTCGACACAAGGGCCGCGGTTGATATGGAGAACGTGGCGCCTAAATGCGACGTTTTTAGGATTGTATGGAAGGGAGACGCCCACTTTAATTGAAATCAGTGAGCTTTATCATTGGACAACAGCACACACCAACAGAGCCATACCGATGTCGTTTAAGCTGGCTGATGGTCAAGAATAGTCTATCCGGCTATACATCTTTAATTTCAAAATCTAGCAAGGCCATGTATGGTGTATGATAGCCAATCTCGATGAAATTGTATCAACTACGAGATTGCTTACTGTGTGCGATCAGTTTGTGAAGTTCTATTCACTAAGATGTGGAGTGAATGTAGGCCACGTGAGAGTGTGATCGAAAGTACGCAGATCATGACACCGTTCTCTAACATTTTCCACGCCGAAACAGCAATCCTCAAAACGAAACAACCAACTATGGAGTCTACAGAACGCTCCCCCAAACGTCGCCGCTCCACCGACGGCTATGTAGAGTCGCCACCCCGCCGTCGCTCTCTATCCCGCTCTCCGACCCACGCATCCCCCAAATACAACCTTATTGAGCGACCAGCGCGTCGCAGTTACAGTCGCGCCGACAGCGACGACGAAGCAGACAGACGATACTACCGCGATCGACGGTCACCGCGCTCGACGAGATCGCGGTCAAGACGACGCTCGAGGTCCCCGTCCGGGACCATTGCGACTCCTCCGCCCGACAAACCTACTCAATTACATTACAAGCCGCACTTGATACTGCGGGGACACAAGAAGGGGGTGGCCGCGGTCAAATTCTCACCAGACGGGCGGTGGATAGCCAGCTGCTGTGAGTATGCTGCAAATCTGAGGCATTCAGTGAACTGGAATACTGATGTAACTGTCTTCACAGCATCGGATGCAACAATCAAGATCTGGGACGCGAGAACCGGGGAGCTAGCACACACCCTCGAAGGCCATCTAGCTGGAATATCAACCATAGCATGGAGCCCCGACTCGAAAATCCTCGCCTCAGGCTCTGACGACAAGTCTATCCGGCTGTGGGACGTGACTACAGTGAGCCTCCCTAACCTCGCTATCGAATTCAAGCCCCATTCCAATGTCACACCTCTACGAAGAATGCTACCTAAAGACAATGACTAACCTCTCTTCCACCACCAGGGCCAACCCCAACCCGTACCCCTCCTAGGTCACCACAACTACATCTACGCCCTAGCCTTCTCCCCAAAAGGCAACATGCTCGTCAGCGGCTCCTATGACGAAGCCGTCTTCCTCTGGGACGTGCGCGCCGCCCGCGTCATGCGCTCCCTCCCCGCGCACTCCGACCCCGTCTCCGGCGTCGACTTCGTACGCGACGGCACTCTCATCGCCTCCTGCGCATCAGATGGGCTCATCCGCGTGTGGGACACGGCAACCGGCCAATGCCTGCGAACACTCGTACACGAGGATAACGCACCGGTCACGAATGTGCGGTTCAGCCCAAACGGAAAATATGTGCTAGCCTGGACGCTGGATAGTTGCATACGGCTTTGGAATTATGTGGAGGGCAAGGGGAGGTGCGTGAAGACGTATCAGGGGCATATAAATAAGAAGTATAGTATTGGTGGTGCATTTGGGGTGTATGGGACGCGGGACTACCTGTATGCATTTGTGGCGAGCGGGAGCGAGGACGGCAGCGTTGTGCTGTGGGATGTGAGTTCGAAGAATGTGATGCAGAGGCTCGAGGGGCATGAGGGGGCGGTGTTGGGCGTCGATGCGCATCCTACGCAGCAGGTGATTGTGAGCGCGGGGTTGGATCGGACGGTGAGAGTGTGGAGGGTGGAGGAAGGCCATGGGGAAGCAGTTGCGGGGCCTAAAATAGATAGAGAGGTTGAGACAGTAGTGACAGAGGAGAGTTGAGCGATTGAAGAAATCATGGGCTTGCTTCAGGCGCGGTTTCAAATTCCATGATACCCGGAACTTTTGGACTTAAGTATGTGGAGGCTTCTAATTCTACTACATGCCGTTTTGATAGCTGCATCTCACGATTGATTTACACCACTTGTACCTCCGACATGAATGTTATAGTTACGTGCCCTCAGATAAGTACCTCATGATCGACGTAAATATAGGAAAGGGTAGGGCATGTGATCGGGGTAAGAGGTAGAGTAGAGTGTGATCCCCTGTGGACGGATGTCGGCTTAACTTTGATCGGACTAGTTGAGTTAGTTAGGGGGACTGAAATAGCGGTATGAATATACGTCTGTTCTCTGAAAACGTCTGAGGTTGAGCCGGGAAGAGAACGCCTTCCAAGAGCATAAATGCCTAATAAGATTCCGAAGAAAGTGATTTTGACCATTTCTTACGTAGAGTTCACATGGCTTCTACATATCGCAGTATAGGATACTAAATGAAGAAAAATCACGATCACTTGAATACCGGAAGAGCTTTCCAGTTCTATCTACATTTAGTCTCTGGAGGCAAACTTAACTCCATTTAGAGTTTCAACATGGTTCGAGTACCAGTACCATCGCAGTCGAGGGTCAAGAACTCAATAAAATAACATACAAGTATATACAAACTCACTATAGAGCGCCATCCGTACGCAAGGTCTCATTGCCCCACGGCTCGCTCGTCAACGAGGTCAACCCCTTTGCGGGCTCGCAGCTTTTCCTTCCGCTCAACGGCCCAGGCGTTGGTACCTTCACCCCCCCAGCCTCATATGCCCGTCCTTGCTCATTGATCTCGCTCCCGCTCTTCACGTTCCTGTCGTCGCCTGTTATGGCGCCCTTGCCAGCCTTGCTACCTAGTCCCGCTTCCCCAGGCGGCGCGCCAGTCGCTTCAGCGGCGTGTTGCAGGGCCTTCAGTAGAGATACAGTGGTGTCGTATGTCAAATCTTCATAGTAGTCGTCGTTGATCTGGACCATGGGGGCGTTGGCACAGGCGCCGAGGCACTCTACCTCTGTGAATGTGAAGAGGCCGTCCTTGGTAGTCTCGCCGTGGTGGATCCCGAGGTGGTCACCAATGGCTTTCATGATGGAGTCGCTGTCTCGGAGCATACACGGTGTCTATAAAATCCCGTTAGATACCTCCATATAAGCCCAGTCCCCAAATTGTTCAACGTACCGTCGTGCAGCACTGGACGTGGAACCGGCCCACCGGACTCCGGTTGTACATGGTGTAGAAGGTCGCCACCTCGTAGACTCGCATGGGAGGCATTTCCAGCAGCCGAGCCACCTCATTCATGACGCTGATACTGGTGAAGCCGTGCTGGCGCTGCCCCAGATCTAGGAGCGGCATCACGGCGGCCTTCTTGTATTGGCTAGGGTACCGACTTAGGATCTCCTTGATGATCTTCTCATTCTGGGCGGTGAACTTGAAGGGAATAGAAGGGTTGTTGACGGATGAATCGCGGTGCTGTTCGTCATGTTAGCAGGTGTTCCTAGTGTTGGCGTCGGGGGAATTGCAGCGTACCACCTGCAGCGAGTCGCTACGAGACGGCGTCTTTGCGGTGAACGATCGCCATTGAGGCGTCTGAAACTGCCGAAGGACCCGGGGAGCACGTCGGAGGACGAGCGGTGCCAGTTTTGAAGCCATTGCGGGGTGAGGAGGATGGATGATGGCGTTCCAATGATGCCGTGAGGTTCATCTTGAAGTGCCAAGTATTTCGGTCTTTCGGCCAATCAGCACAGACTAGTTTGATATCAATAGTTTCCTACCTTTAATGGCGAGGAAAGCTGTTCACGACTTAAAGCTTCATTTTTTAATAATTTGTAGGTATATGTATTCGGCCAATTTTCAATCACTCATCTTATACTATTGTCGGGCATTGTCCGTCTATCAAGTACGAAGTACAATGCCTCATCATTGAAATCCGTACACTCGTTTACCGCTGTGTGAGGAGCTTCATAGTATTTTCAGTATTCCGAATAAGAGAGAAATCCGGAATTTTAGGCGACTACTAAACTTGTGAGGCTACCTCAGACAGCGCCAACAGGGTGTGCGCAGATTGGGAGTGTATCCGCCGCGCCTAGTTTCTATTAGGACGTTGAAGCCCCACAGACAGTGGCAGGAAAGTGTACGAATATCTATGGCAAGGCACTGTTACTCCTACATCTCGAAGACAGTCTGATGTAAAGGAGAAATTCACTTCAAAGAGTGCAAATCAAGAATTCAGACTTAGAGGATCCATAAGCGGGCAATGTCCCATTGATTGCATAACCAGTTGCCAGCCAATGACCAATCCATCGCCAACCAAACCAGGGAAACACCGAACGACAAAACACGCTGAACGCCTCAAATTTCACATTCACGTACCTTCGTTGTGTCACCAGTCTGTCCGTCGCTTGAGAAACGCGACCACCCTAGAGTAGATGGTCGGCGTGAATCTTCCGGTCAGCTATTCATGACTGAGTATACAAGGAAGGTTTCGTTTTGTGTCTTATTGGTAGACACCCCTGGTAGGTGACCTAATAAAAGTTAAGAGAAGTTTTCAAAAGGTCGAGTAAGTCTTGCCATGAGAGGTCTGACATTTATAATCATTGGTATCTCCCCGAACGCCGGCCCACATGCCTCTTGACGTTGAAAAGTGGTTGCGGTAAATGAACCTGTAAACAATCAAAAAATCTCCATTCCATTTCAGGTCATCTTTTCACATACCACAAGATAGCAAAGACTAGCCTAGCATGCGTGGTCCGAGCTTGTGTTTCTGCGCCGGCTGCTGGGGCTTCTGGACGCCGGCGCCCGTGGTCTGCCGACCTCCGCCTTGCTTTCCATGTCTTCCGTTCTTCTGCTTCTTGTCGGGAACGGCTGACACTTTGATCTCGGTATTGGCGCGCTTGATCTGCACCGGGTGGCTGCCGATGTACTTTCCGTTCATATCCTTGGCCGCATTGAAGAAGTCGTCCGTGTTGCTAAAGCTGACGAAGCCGAATCCTTTGCTCTTGTTGGTGCGATTGTCCCGGACGACGCGAGCCTTCTGGACGGAGCCATACTTGGAGAAGGCCTTCAGGAGAGAGTCATCGGTGACTTCGCCCGCAAGATTTCCGACAAAGATTCGTGGGTGGTTGGGGTCCCACTGAAGGAGAGTATCGTCCTGCCAAGTCTTCCCCCCTCCGGTGCGGATCACGGTCTTCGGTTTGGCAGCAGCAACTCCGTCAGCAGAGTTCAGCACTGGGCCTGCTTCAACCGTCGCGCCCTCGAATGGAGTGTGGGTTCCAGAACGGCCACCCAGCGGGATCGCGTTTGCACCGCCGGCGGATAAGAGACCCTCGCCGCGGCCACTCTTGCCGGTGGCCTTTCCGTCATCTTTGTTGGACACGTAGGCGCTCTGCCACTGCGCAATTTGAGCCTCGGTCTCAGGGTCGTAGCCGGCGCGCGCGTGTGGTCCCTGGCCAGGAAGGGGAAACGGGTTGACGATGTGGGGAGTGGCTGGCACGAACGGCTCAGGCTGCTGTTGATAGTATTGAGCTCGGCCCGGGTAAGGAGCTGTCTGATACCCACCGGCAGAGTAGGATGGCTGGGAGACTCCGTAGATGGGGGATGGTGCGGTAGACACGATGGGCGGCGGAGGGCCTACGGTGCGCGGCTTGAAGAAGGTCGCGGCTCCATTGCTGCCTGTCGGCTTGAAGACATGATGATTCGAAGACGGCGGCGGGCGCGCGGGCAGCGACGGGTGTGGCGAGGCAGAGTTGCGACCTGATGGCGAGGCGTACGAGGACATGATGAACGGGCGGGCTAAGTTTTGGAGGTTGGCGACTTACGACGCGGCCCAGATCGGCGACTCGGCAGGACAGCAGACGGCTGTCACAGGACGGACCGGGCGTGAGTGGTGGAGCAGCGCAGAAGGATGGGGACAACCGGCGCACGGCCTGGTGGTGAGGGCTCGGAGGCAGGAGGGCTGCTGGTCGAGGTGAAGGCGGCCGTGGCACCGTGGCTGCACGAGGATGACGAGAACGCTGACTGAAGTGCGCTCAGAGCACGGCCAAGGATTAGCGCGCGTGGCAGAGGCCGGCTTCGTCGGGATATGATGCACTTGGGCGGCGGGCTGGTCCACGGGCGGGCGCTTGATGGACGACGTTCTGGAGGCCATGGAGGCAATTTCCCCCGGCGACGCAGAGACGCGGGCTGCTTCGGCGGCCCATTCGCCCACGTGCGCAGCTTCACCCACGGCGAGCCCGCGGCGAGAACAGCGCGGGCAGCGGCGCGGGCGTTGGGACGGATGCGTGTTTACCTACGCAGCAGAGCGTCGTCTGGGCGGCCTGGCCGTCACGGCTAGAGGGCCCGCGGCCGACACTGGCAGCTGGCAACTGGCAACTGGCAACTGGCAGCTGTCGAAACTCCGGCAACCGGCCGTGATTGATCCATGCCGGGCCATGCAGGAAAGACCTAGCACCTAGTCGCTTTGCTGGGTCATCAAAGATATAGTAGCACTGCCCCGCCAGACCTCAGACTCTGTTGCTACACCTCCCGTCGCAGCCAGAATTCTGCTCCATTGGACTCTCTCAGCGCCTCGCCGCCTCGCCGTCCGCAGATTCACACCTCATCACCCCGCTATCCAGCCTTCTCGACGATCGCTGCTACCCCGCCATCCAGCCCTTCGCCAGACTCACAATTCCATCACCCCTCCATTCCCAACAATGGCTGAGCCCGTTGGAGATTTCGGCCTCATTGGCCTGGCCGTGAGTGCTGTGCGCACCTGAACTCGCAGAGCCATTGCTAACTCGCGCCGCAGGTTATGGGCCAGAATCTGATCCTCAATGCGTAAGCACCCTCGTCCCACCTCGCTCGCAGACACATACTAAGACCCGGAAAGCGCGGATCATGGCTTCACTGTTGTGGCTTTCAACCGCACCGTAGGTCCACAGCCCAGATGCAAGAAGTAGGGAACTGACAAAAGCGCAGGTGGCCAAGGTTGACCGTTTCCTCGGCGATGGTACGTTGAGATCGCAAACTTCACCACAAGACAGCGCTGACCAATTCTCCAGAGGCGAAGGGCAAGTCGATTGTCGGCGCCCACTCCATCGAGGAGTTCGTGTCCAAGCTCAAGAAGCCACGCCGCATGATGATGCTCGTCATGGCCGGCAAGCCCGTCGACGACTTTATCGAGCTCCTTCTGAACGGTGGTGTTGAGGAGGGCGACATCATCATTGACGGCGGCAACTCACATTTCCCTGATACCAACCGCCGTACCAAGTATCTCTCGGCCAAGGGAATCCGATTCGTCGGAACCGGTGTCTCCGGTGGTGAGGAGGGTGCCCGCTATGGCCCCAGTATCATGCCCGGTGGCAATGAAGGTACGGCGCATTTCCGTTGTATATCCTTGACAATGTGAGACTAACACTTTCACAGAGGCCTGGCCATACATCAAGGTTAGTCAAACCTTGGCTAATCCCGGTTTCGGTCCTAACAATAGCTAGGACGTGCTACAATCCATCTCTGCCAAGTCTGACGGCGAGGCTTGCTGTCAATGGGTTGGTGACGAGGGTGCCGGCCACTACGTAAAGATGGTCCACAACGGTATTGAGTACGGTGACATGCAGTTGATCTGCGAGGTATGAGAAGACCCACTCGAAACGAAGCGAGCATCTCTGACTTTCCCAGGCCTACGATATCATGAAGCGCGGTCTTGGTCTCGAGGACAAGGAGATCGGTGATGTCTTCACTGAGTGGAACAAGGGCGTTCTCGACTCATTCCTCATCGAAATCACCCGCGACATCATGTACAAGAACGACGACAAGGACGGGCAGCCTATTGTCGAGAAGATCCTTGACTCTGCCGGACAGAAAGGTACTGGAAAGTGGACCGCCATCAACGCATTGGACCTTGGTATGCCCGTCACCTTGATAGGTGAGGCCGTCTTCGCTCGCTGCCTCAGCTCTTTGAAGGCTGAGCGTGGTCGTGCTTCCAAGGTCCTTGACGGACCCACTCCCAGCTTCACCGGCGACAAGAAGCAATTCTTGGCGAACCTCGAACAAGCCCTTTACGCATCCAAGATTATCTCGTACGCCCAGGGATTCATGCTGATCCAAAATGTGAGCGTCCATTTCGAGCTAGCATGGGGTTTGTGCTGACGATTGCAAAGGCCGCAAAGGAGTACAAGTGGAAGCTAAACAAGCCCGAAATTGCTCTCATGTGGCGTGGTGGCTGCATCATTCGATCAGTCTTCCTCAAGGACATCACCAAGGCGTAAGCAACCTGCGGAACATTAGTGAAAGTAGCGTATGAACTCACTGGTTTAGGTACCGTGCGAACCCCGACCTAGAGAATCTTCTGTTCGACGACTTCTTCAACAAGGCTATCCACAAGGTAAACTCACTCACGTATTGGCAAACTGCTAGATATTAACACAACAACAGGCTCAACCTGGCTGGAGAGACATTGTCAGCAAGGGCGCCCTGTGGGGTATCCCCACCCCCGCTTTCAGCACTGCTTTGAGCTTCTACGACGGCTACCGCTCCAAAGATCTGCCTGCCAACCTGCTGCAGGCGCAGAGAGATTACTTTGGTGCCCACACTTTCCGCGTCAAGCCCGAAGCCGCCAGCGCCGACTACCCAGAAGGCAAGGACATTCACGTCAACTGGACTGGAAGGGGAGGAAACATCTCGGCGTCGACTTACACCGCATAAGGAGGGGTTCTTGGTACTTTGGAGAGCTCGCTCGCAGCATAGATATAAAGGCACATCCACAATAGGCGCGCTTGGGCTGCACTGGGCTTCCATGTTGTGACAACATGTGCATACACGGGAGCGTTAAATTGAGGAATGAGAGACTAGTTCACTAACTCGAGATTGTAGTGCAGCTTCTGTAGTGATGAAAAGTTTCTGCTTCCTGAGACGTCGACAAGATCCATACAGGTGCGAGGTGATGGCTATTTTGTTTCAGAGTAGTGAGAAGGTCTGTGCACTACTGCTCGGGGTCTTGATGAGTTACTATCTAGAAGTTTTCCACACGTTGACTTATTTAATGCCTGCATAGGCATAATCAAAACGACAGTAGTACTTCTAGTTCTACTGATCTAATAATCTCTATTAAAGCATAACAAAGCGTAGTGTCGGGGCAAACTGACGTACCTACATCCTGGGAATTTGCTACTGGTTGCCAAGCCAGCGGAACTTCACCCTGTCCATCCACCTGGAGCTGCACGCTCTACCAAGCCCACCTTACTTTCGTCTTCCGGGCTGCTTCTGCTTTTCTTGTCGCTCCTTTGCTTCCTCCCTTTTCTTTGATTACATGCGTCGGCGTTGACGGACAGGGCGCGCGCTGAGCAGAGGCTCCCAAGGCCAAAAGACTCCTCAGAGCCAGAGAAGTTCCCAGGAGAACACAGGCTCCAGGGTCTCGACAGACAGAGCAATCGCGAATCGATTCTCGTTTTCGAGGCAGAGAGCACGAGAAGCAGAAGAGCAAGCAGTGGGAAGCATGGCTGCGGATCACAAGAGACAGGCCACGGCGGGCAAGATTGCGACACCAAAGGTTGCAGGCGGGAAGGATGTGACCGACTCGGACTCTATCCTCTACAAGGCGGTCGGTGCGCGGTATGTTCATCCTCTCTCTCAGCTCCTAGCCCCAAGCGCGTAACTACCCACACCCTCGATTTTCGCGCGACGGATCAGCAAATAGGTGAAGCTTCCATGGGGTATTCTAGTGAGGGCAGGATTCGGAGCCTATGAACTACCACACATGGACGAATCAAGCTTATAGTCGTTGAAAATAGCATCAAAATCACCGTTGCGCCATATAATACCGTTCTTGAGGGGACCCTCTTCACAACCTGCAACATTACCAACGCCATCGCCATCAACACCACCCCCGCACCTCCCAACCCCTCCGCGACTATTTCCTCCCAGCCAGGCGACTACCACATCATCCCCTTCGCGCACATCCTGAACATTGAATTGCTGGGCGCAGGAGAGCGGGTTGAGGGATCAGTTCCCGGCTTCGACGGGGCTCTACCAAGCATTGCAAAAGTCGACCTCGATGCTGTCAGGGCAAGGGAGGAAGCTACGATCAGGAAAATCAAGGAACGGGATGCGATGAGAGGACGAGGCGTCAGCAGGGAGGCACAAGAGATCTTCGATGCGTTGGCTAGAACGTGGGTTGCCTTATACTTCTTTCCTTGCCCCACACAACTACCCGCAGCCGTCCTCCTCAACCGTTGCTAATCATATCTCCGGCGATACAGTCTCCCATGCCGCTGGCACAATACCGACATCATTGTCAATGATGCTGTCAGGATCTCCAAGCCATACTCTCTTGAAGACTGCAAGGCGCCGCAGGAGAAGCAGCAGAGCATCCCGCACGTGAAGAAGGTGCTGGAGAACTTCTTCGCGAAGAAGCGGTCTGGAGCCGGACCGCAGCAGGGCCAGCAGCCTCAGGGCCAAGCTCAGAATCCAAGGGTGTCAGTTGCTACGCCGATTGCCCCGAGGAAAGGGGGATAAAGACTAAGTCTTGGGGATGAAGTGTTGGGTATGGAATATAGCCACACGTCACACTTCTCTTTTGAAGATTCTGGGTGGCATGGCTTATATTAGGCCTACTAGTATTCTGATTCTGAAGGATTGCTGGATATCATCGGAGCCAAACTGGGTAGTCAACTCATCCAGAGCAGATAACATCAATTGAAACTAAAATCTTCTGATACATTGGACCTTCGCACGTGTAATATGCTCAAGAGTTGCCTGATTTGATGTAGAACGCGCCAGCGATGTTACTACGTGAGGTTCTCATCACGTGATAGAGACCACCTTAGCGTGATTTCAACGCGACTTCAGACAGCACCGCAACATCGAAGCTCCTCACGCGCACCCACCATATCTCCTCCAACGCGCTGCCTGTGGCATTCTCGTGACGAGAATTCACCAAGATGATGACTCAGAACCATGTGGATGTCCGGACGGGACAAGATCCCAGCAGTAATGTTCCCCAGTTTGTAGTTAGTAGTATTCACTGAATCCAATGCCCCCAACGCAGATGCGCTGACTTTACTAGTTGCCTCATGTACATTTGGTATCCTCTTATCGATTCCCACATCAAAGCCAGCTGCCACCCAATATTGCCCTCGACTATCTTCTCAATGCTCCGAAAATTGTCAACGATGCGCAACCTGTCGCATGGACGTACTTCCAAGCTCCACCGCCCGACGGTACCGTTATTCTAACATGGCAGCCTCCCCATATGGGTCAAAGCTTCGCAAGTGATGGTTATACGTGGGCAGATTCGGAATCAACATACTCAGTGGACATCCGAGGCTACGTGAGTGACTTTTCTGGTTTGCGACAGCGCTAAGTTCTAACCTTAACCTGCGAACAGACCCTAGAAATCCTCGTTCACCGTAGTGGATGCCGCTACGGTGTCGAGCCTATAGCAAATCACTCTCGCCACAGATATCGCATCATCAACAAGAACCCGGCGGCTAACGCACCTTTCGACCTCAACCTCTGGATAGTACACTACACACAAGCTACGCCAGATTGCAGATATCCCGCAGCTCAAATCCAAATCCGGCCTGACGTTCAGCGAATAATGCAAGAGCGGGGATACCTCGAGAAGCAAGGACAACTGCAGCGGAAGGAGTTCATGCTTCGCGACAGGGGCAACTGGCCGGACGTCAAATTTGCCCCCAGTAGCCAGATGCACAACATGGCCGCCCAAGGACGCCCGATGTTCAATCCCATGCAGCCAATGGGCGGTGCTATGGCCAGACAGGCTCAATATTACCAACAGCCACAGGCTCCGGCGGCCGGAGGACCCCCAGCCAAGCGTATGCGCCAAGTACCACCCTCACAAATGCCCGGAATTGTCGGTGGTCCTGGAATGCCACCAACTGCAGTAAGTGCCGACACGACCATAGAGGATGAAGAAAATACCACCCTCGGAGATCTGCTCGATCACCTCACTCCTCGTGAGATTAGCACCATGCGATACAAGCAACATCACGAGTGGATGGAAGAAGTCTTTTCATCCCCCTACGCAGTCGGCCAGATACTGCCTGTTGACCTTGGTCTTGGGCTCATGGGAGAACTGGGATCTTTGACGACCGGGCTTCTCGATGCCCCGGCAGCGGACTCTCTCCCCAACGCACCGAACCAGACGAAGAGCTACCACAAACTTGACCCTGAGCAGCTCGCAGAGTTTGAAAAGCGCGTAGTAGAATACACCAAAAAGGAAGAGGCAGAGCTCGCAAAGATGCGCGCCGACCACGCCCGCAAACTTGCCAACCTCAGGCGCAGCAAAACGTACATCAAGGCGGAACGTAGGCTACAGGAAGCTGCGCACGGTCCCGGTTACAGCAGTTCTACCAATCTGCCGGAAGAGACAGGTGACGAGTTGAGTCCACAACCACCCCGAGTGGAAACACCAAAAGACGAGGAGAAGCCTGATGCAATTGTTGCAGAGATTGAAGCATCTCTGGGGATTGCCATTGGGACGAAAAAGAGCGTTGTCTGCGTAGACAAAGGTGGGTTTATCGAGGAGCAAGTCCAGCCTGTACAGGTCCAGCAGCCAGTTAACGGCACTGGAAATGGTAACGGCCTTACCAATGGACAGGGCACTGTATACGAGAACAATGGGAACGACGATAGCGCGCTGAATGGTTTGCTCGATGAGAGTGCTATGGACGCAGACAACACCGCCGCAAGCCTACTGGACCAGTATGGCGGCTCGACATCACTAGCCACCACACCCGCTAATCCCACCATCCAGCATGGTGCCCAGACTGGCAGCGGAGCCCTTTCTTCCGCAGGGACTCCAGGCGTAGGGAGCTCAACATTGATGGGGCAAAGCGACGGAGCAAACGATCTAATGGACTTGGACGTGGAAATGGCAGGGATGGGGGATGAAAAGGGAGGCGAGGGAGAGGGCGACTGGGTCATGGTGGACGAGGCGGCGAATGCTCCGCAAACCACCAGCGGGCAACCTAAAGTCGACAACTCCATAACGGCTTCTGCACAAGCCGGTGCACCAGCTTCCAATACCGAGACTAGTACAGGGTTGTTTGACACGGCCGACTCTTTCAGTTTCGACAATCTGGATACAGCTGGCGATGCCCTGGCTGACTACGCCAACGCGGACGATGATCTTGGCCTCGCCTTGGAGGACTCGGCTTTTGGGGATGCTTTTCATGGGACGGAAGTGCATGAGTCGGAGGAGGACTAGGAGGCTGGGAGGTTACACTAGCGATGTGTTGTCGTGAGCACAGCAGTGGTGGTAGATGGGACTGGATCAGAGAAATTGAGGGACTGGGTTCGTGGTCCCTGGCGTCTGCCGTGGTCGTTCTTTTTCGGGGTGTATAACTATACCGAGGCTGCTATGGCGTTCTGAAAGACCGGGACAGGTTTATGTATCATGGTTGGATTATGGAAACGTGTTGCACATTGTCACATTCTGGTCCACGTTTTGAAGTCTATCGTACGTGCGGTCGAGCGGTGGTGTCGTCGTGCATATGGCGAAGCGTGAGAGTGCACCCCTTACATCGCGAGTTGCCAGCCACGCAATATTGCCAGCGTTAGTCCATCTTGTCTCACGTGGTAGATGCTTGCAGGTAGGTTAGAATGGTGCAACTAGCCTCAAGAACCAAGCCAAAGCAGCAATAGTCTTGTTAGATATTTGTCTATGAATATACTGCTCATCTCGCGAGAATGATGACAGGACTGGGAAAGGCCAGCACAGCCTCGCTGAACTCCGCCTCTCCCAACAACCAACATCTACAGCGATGATTAGTGCGGCCGGAGAGGATTGAGAAATATGACAGTGCTGAGCGCGCCAGTGTTACACCCTGTCGGTCTGGTTGCACATGATGGTCCCTGGATGGGAGTCGACGGATGAGAACAGCCCTGCAGAGGACTGGATCGCGAATCCACCCAGGTCTTAGGGCACTGGATCGCGGGCTCAACATGCCGGAGCGGCCCCTGAAAGATGAACATGACGTCGCCCAGGATCCGCAAACGTTGTTGTGTTTCAGGAGCCATAGCAGGATGGACGTGCTGTTGATCCTATACGGGTCAGTTCTACGGTATGCCGTAGGAATACTTCCTGGAGGAACAAACACACCTACCACCTCGCTCCACCGCATGCCGCCTACTCCGAGTACGTCTGCAGGATATACGGTGTGCAGTCGTCGTGCCTGCAAAAATGCAAGACGGCGGGTAGAACGAGAGAGCCCGAGGCACACAAAATGCAGCACCGCATCTTGGGCGGGCCGGTGTCATCTTTCACTACCTGGCAGACACCAAGTATAGATCTGCAGCCCTGGTTATACACCTCATCCTCCACCTCGTGTTGGCTGATACAGCTTCTGGTCTACAGCAGCTGGATCCTGCTGATGCCATGTCTCCTCCCGCGGACGGAATCCCGCTGTCTGCAAACAGTTGGTGTCTCTCCGTCGCTACCCCAAACTAGGTAATTGGTAGGTGTGAAGGATCGTTGAAGGACCTATCCATACCTGGCATAAGGATCTTCGGCTGGATCCCAGTACTGCGGCTAGGATCTGTTAAATTGATGGGTTCCTATATTCATCGTCTGTCCGTCAATTGCTGTGCTGTCTGCATCATACTACCTCACGTCACACAGAGCGTCTCCACGTTCCTGCCTGCTTTTTCGGTTTCTTTTTTCATTCACTCGTTTTCTCTTCATGTTCGACATTTACGATCGTTCGCTCTCTCGTCCCCGCCTCCTGGTGTGACAAGCCTCCACTACTACTTGGAGCCTCTCGTTGATCGTCTCTGCTTAGTTCAGGGCACACTTATCTATCCCTCGTGGCCTCTTCACTGCATATACAAGTGTCCGAGTCGATCGGTGCTCTTGTGGCCGTTCCTAAAGACCGTGGAAGGGGCCTCTAGCTCTCCACATTGAAACCCCCTCCACATCTACGCAGGATGTCGCGCTATCTTCGCACTATCGCGGTCGTCCTCGCCGTACTATCTTCCGCTATCTGCAAGCCCATTGGCGGCTTGTTCCATTCGGCAGAGGAGCTAGCATACCGCCAGACGCCAGGAGTCGCACGCCGTGGCAATTATCACGCCATATCAACACCTGGAGGTGGTGTCTATCCTCGACTTGAGATTAGGGATCTGAAGAAGGACACGGATGCGTGGAATATTTTCATATTAGGCATGAGGCAGTGGCAGGAGGAGGTGGATCCAAACGATGCGTTCAGCTGGTACAAAATTATGGGTGAGTGAATCTTCCGGCTTGTTAACTATGCAAAGTTGCTGACAGTCTAGGAATTCATGGTATGCAACAACAATGGGATAGTGTTCCACAGGCAGACGGAGGGTATGGAGGTTATTGCGCTCACTCCTCTAATCTATTCCTCACGTGGCACAGGCCGTACTGCGCGCTCATCGAGGTGAGCATATATTACTCTATTGTAGCCATTTCATCGCTAAAAGCCATAGCAAACCCTTCTGGTCAACGCCAGAACTGCTGTCTCTAAGTTCCCAGATGGTGGCTTGAAAGACCGTTATAGCAAGGTACTGGAAACTCTTAGAGCACCGTACTTTGACTGGGCAAGAAAGCTCGCACCGGGAGATCCGATCTTGCCCGATTTCTTTCAGCGTCCTAAAGTGGACATCGTCACATCTACTGGGAATCAAACCATCGACAACCCCCTTTTCTCCTACAAGTTTCCCTCGAACAGCAGGAAAGATTTGTATGACCCTGTAAGTTTTTCCTCGTTCTCAATTGCAGCTGTATGCGGAAGGCCAGAATATAAACTAACCCTGTCAGAACCAACTATGGTGGTCAGAATACCCGAACACTGTCCGCATTCCTACTTCGCAAGACGCAAGCGCCGCGAGTCGCAATGACGTTGTAGAAAGTGAGCTCAACAAGACGAGTCTGAACTTGCGCGAGCGTGTCCACCATATTCTGACCTTGGAAACCAACTTCAGCAACGTCAGCAGCTCCTCATACGATGGCGACAGCCTAGAATCAGTTCATGATATTGTTCACATGACGATAGGAGGAGATGGTGGGCATATGTCGAATGTCCCATATTCGTCTTTTGATCCTATATTTATGTTCCATCACCTGTGAGTAGATTTAAATATCTACGGTAAATCCCCTTTAATCTTGAATATTGATGGACTAATTATGTCGTCTAGAAATATCGATCATGTAGCAGCTATGTGGCAGAAGGGACACCAGGACACTTGGGTACAGCCCCAATCTCAGGAATACACCACGTTTGCGAGACCGAATGACGCCGTTGCGGATGAAAATTCTGGTAGGCGGCATTGCCATCAGTCCCCTTTTAAGGCTAACACGGCTATCATAGCGCTTTACCCTTTCCATAAGACCATAGCCGGCGACTTCTTCAGTTCCAAAGACGTGAGAGATTACACGGTATTCGGATACACATACGATGACATCTCAGACGACCCAGCCATTCTCCTGCAGACCATCGAAGAACACTACGGTGATCCCGTGCCTTCGAATCAGAAGCGTGAAGCTAGCAAGGTCCCAAAAAATGGAACCGACGCAGACCAGGTCTACATAGCTCAAATCAAAGCTCCCAAGTTCGCATTGCCAGGTGGCTATTTTGTGTACGTTTTCGTGGGCGAAGCGCCAGGAGACGACTCGGACCCGTCATGCTGGAACAGCCACCCGAATTTTGCAGGTTCTACTGCGATCTGGTCGTCGGATAACATGAAGCACACTACGAATGGAACCGGCATGGTTAATACCGTTGTGCCGCTTACATGGACACTGCAGAAGCATAAGGCGGATGGAAAAGTAGCAGATCTATGTGAGAAAGATCTTGTTACAGAGTACTTGTTGAAGAACTTGAGTTGGCGTGTCTTATCTGTATGTTATCTTATACCCTCTTGATTCTTTCTTTCGAATGCATACTGATTCACGTGCATAGGTTCAAAAACATGACGTTCCCCTAGGGGCTATCCCGGGCATCGAGCTTTCGGTCATCACGGCTTCAGTAACGCTAGGGGACGCGACAAAGTTCCCAGTTGCAGGAGAATATGAGATTGTTTTCACTCAAAAGGTTGCAGGGAAAGATGGTGGTTACTGTTGATACATATAGTGGGTGTTTGGGGCGAAGGCCTGGTGATATCCCATAGACGGCTTTTGGTTCTTCTTGATGGTGTAAAGGCTTGGTGACAACCTAACCAGGCTGGCTTTCTTTGGTCTAATAGAAAATATGGTGGTTGATACTTTCAAGATACCACTCTGGCGAGTCTATAGGTTGGTATGAAATTGATTGACTATCAAGCAACTGTCCTTTAACTCAACATATCATACCCGCAGTTCAAACTTGTATATAAGTCGCGTTATGCCCTTCCCTCGCTGTCCTACTCGGCCCCTTCCTTTCTAGCAGGCTTACTCAGCACCCTATGCATGTATTTCCTCCTTCCGCTCAATAGCTAGCCTCCTCACCAGCATCAATACAACAGCTTTTGGTTACACACCTTGTCTTGATCCGCTTTCTCTCTGACTGTCGCTCATCGGTAAACCTTGCCGATCTTCACGCTTCACTAAACACGCCGCCCTCTTCTCCGCAACGCGACTCGCAAGCACCGACTCCGCATTGCCGCTCCACCCTAATTCCACGCGCCGAGGTGGACGACGCACGATGGACAGACTCAAGTGCAAGCTCCGAGGAGCTTCAAATCCACGTCCTTAGACATTAATAAGCCACTCAATCTCTAATTTCGTTTCCATTGCAGTCCTTCATTTCCATTTTTGTGCTATATTCTCAATTTCCTCTACTCCCTACTTCCTATACATCATCTCTATACTAAATCGCCCCCAAAAGCCCACAATGACAATTTTCAAATCCCACCAGCCCCCGATCGACATTCCCTCCTCCCTCACAGCCTGGGACTGGCTTTTCGACTCCCCCTACTCCCCCCTCAGCCCTTCCTCATCAGCTTCCTCAGGCCCATTAGGCGGCTACACTAATGCAGCCACGGGCGCGCGCGTCGACTACGCCCAAGTCCGCACCCTGAGCACACACCTCGCCACGGCCCTCGTCAAGCACCACGGCCTGCAACCAGGGGAGACCATCTCGCTCTTCTCGCAGAACATCATCTGGTACCCAATCGCCATGTTCGGGGGCTTGCGCGCTGGGGCGGTCATCAGCGGCGCGAGCCCGGCGTACGGGGTCGAGGAGATGGCATATGCGCTTACCTGCGCCAAGGCTCGGTTTCTAATGACCATGAAGGACAGTTTGCACGTGGCGGTTGAGGCAGCAGAGAGGGTGGGGTTGGGGAAGGATAGAGTGTTTTTGCTGGAGGGGAAATCACAGGGGTTCAAGACCGTGCAGGATCTCGTGGAGGAGGGAAAGATGGAGGTGGTGGAGAGTTGGAAAATTCCCCCGGGAAAGCGGAATGGCGATGTTTGTGGATATCTAAGTTTTAGTAGTGGGACTACTGGGTTGCCCAAGGCTGTGAGTTCACGATCCCATGTAGAATGCTGCGTGGAGTTGGAATCAATGCTGATGTTTGTGGAAAAAGGTCATGATATCCCACCAGAATGTAATAGCCCAGTGTCTCCAAATTTAGCAAATTACCCCCGTCACGCACCACAAGATCATGGCCGTCCTACCTCTCTTCCATATCACTGGCCTCGTGCACCAATTGCACCTCCCGGTCCTCCTCAACGCTGAAGTTATCATGCTCCCGCAGTTCACCATGCCTGAAATGCTGAAAATAATCGTCGACTACCAGCTCACCGAGCTCCTCCTCGTCCCACCTATCATCATTCGCCTAGTACGGGACAAGGAAGTCAACGACTATGATTTAAGCCACGTGACCAGGTTTTCGTCTGGCGCAGCGCCCCTGAGTGAGGAGATCATCCAGCTGCTGAAGAAAAAGTTCCCCGGGACGGGTTTCAAGCAGGGCTATGGGATGACGGAGTCCTGCTCGTGTATAACAGCGCATCCGCCGGAGAAGTATGACTACAAATACGCGCACACGGGCGGTGCGGTAGTCGCTAACACAGAAGTAAAAATTATCAAAGAAGACGGAACCGAAGCAGGTGTTGGAGAGGCTGGAGAAATTCCTGCACGCGGCCCGCAGGTTGTTATGGGGTATCTAGGAAACGAGAAGGCGACGCAGGAGACCTTTGTGGATGGGTGGTTGCGAACTGGTGACCAGGGAGCCATGAATGAGGAGGGCATGATTCATATCCTGGACCGAATCAAGGAGATGATCAAGGTCAAGGGGATTGGGGTTGCGCCGGCGGAGCTGGAAGATTTGCTGTTAGGGCATCCCCAGGTTGAAGATGTGGCGGTGATGGGAATCAAGGATGACTACTCGGGCGAGCTGCCTAAGGCGTTTGTGGTGCTAAAGGACGGAGTGAATGCGAGTGAAGAGGTCGGAAGGGCTTTGATGAAGTGGGTGAGAGAAAGGAAGACGAGGTATAAGTGGATTAAGGAGGTTGAGTTTGTGAATGAGATACCCAAATCGGCGAGTGGTAAGATATTGAGGCGGATGCTAAGGGATCGAAAGGCGGTAGAAAATGGGGTCAAGGTGAGGGATGCGGTGGGAGAGAAGGCGATGTTGTAGAAGGATATGAATATAGAATACCTTTTGTTCAGCCTGGAGACTGATACTGTAAGATACTAGCTACATATGCAGTAGTACCCATAATAGCCTCTTTACATGAGTATTTACCGTGTTATGAGAAGATATGGGGCTGAAGTGGTGGTGCTAATGCAGTAGAGCGTGGATGTCGTAGAGGAAATGCTAGAGGTAAGGCGCTAAAGTACTGGTGTCAAAGTGGTGCCGACGTAAGTAAGTGATGCCAGAGTAGTGCCAATGTAAACAATAAAACGGAACGCCAAGGACAGCTAACGGAGAGAGCCAGTAGTGCCCGATTTCAGCATGTCAATATACTTGCTGATTTTCTTAAGTTCATTGCTCCCCGTAGAAAGCCATGCGCGTCCATGCTTACCCACAATCTCCACGCTGAACGTGAAAACGGCACCATGTTTCGGTGTGGCGCGCTGTACGAGGCGATGTTCTGGGTCGTTAAAATTCCAGTTGAGTCGGACAGTGTCGTAATCGGCGATCTGGCAGGTTCTCATCACATCCGATGGGACATTGAAGGTAACGCCAAAGATACCTAACGCATTAATATGACTAGCACATGACCACTCCAAACGCCCTCATACCGGGTAGACGATGAACTCTTGAGTGACCGCGCGTTTAATGTCTTTACGCCTCTGTCCGACGCCGCCGCGCTGGATTGCTGGTTCGAAACGTTTGTGTCGCGCCCCTTCCACTGCCTCTGGTGACCAATCAGGCGAGACTTTTGCGGCCATGCTTGGTTTAGCTGGCGCCAGTTGGGAACACGAGCCGGAGTCCAGGTCGGTCGGCCCCTGACGGACTCGATGGCCGGGGCGTTCATTGTATGGAGAATTAGTATCATCAAAGTTTCGGTGAGCAACACAAGCTCGGGATGTGCTCTCCGTTGGAATACTGCAAGTAGCACGAAGTGTGGTTGTGCTTTCGTTCATCGCCAATATCTATAATGCTCGGAAGAAGATTCCTTTCTCCGGCGGTAGTTCTCATCGTTGTTTTCCGAAATTCGACGCGCAAGTTTGCCTGAACTGCCAACGTACAAGCCAAACAATGCGAATGCGATATTCCTAAGCAGATTGGCGTACACTCCTTGTCACTGATCCTCAAGGTCACTCTCGATCGTTTGTATGTCTTCCAGGGTGACCGTTTGACCCCGCATGATGAGTTCAATGACACAGATCATGCCCCTTGACAGTGACTCCACGATCAGGTCCACGGTATCGTCGGTGTCAATAGAGAGTAGCCATAGCATGGTGTTGCGACTAACAGGTCTTGTAAGAGGTAATCGAAGGTCCAGAATAATATTGATGTACCATATAAGGGCACTTAGTATGAAATAACCGACCGACCCTCGAATCTGTCTGTGCGACCCGCACACGAGTACACAGAGGCGAGAACAGGTATTACGGAATGTCTCATGAGCGTCAGGCGGGTCCAGATTGTCCTCATCTTCCAAGGTGAGGTCTATCGTAGCTAAGTCGTCGGCAACGAAGCGTCTCTTGTTGCGATGGATTGGTTCTTCGTCTTCGTCATCGTCATCGACGAAAGACAATCTGCTCGGGGCGTGGGGCTAGGTAGCAGTGGGCAAGCGGCTTAGAACGCGATGCTCGGTAGTAGTGAACTCCTAGCTGAAGTTGGCGTCAATCCCGTCATCGTCATCGATGAAAGACAATCTGCTCGGGGCGCGAGGCTGGGTAGAATTGAACTCCTGGTTGAAGTCGGCATCAATATCGTCCTCGTCATCGATGAAAGACAGGTGACTTGGGACGCGAGGCTGGGTAGCAGTGGACTCTTGCTGAAGTGGACCTTGGTGTCGTCTTCGTCTTCGTGAGACGACAGATATCCGCGTTGAGGAGTTTGGCGAGGTCAACGTCAGAGTCGTTGTCGCTTTCTTCATCCAATGCCAGATACCCCGGATCCTTGGACAGTGGTCCCCTTGCGGGCGTTGAGGGGTTTAGTAAGGTTGACATGATTGACCTTCGCTGGAACGAACTCCGTTGTCAGAAAACAAGCGTCAGACCGATTACCGGAATTTGCTGCAGTCCGAGATCGGACAACAGTGTCGTCAGAGGTATGCTCATCTTCTGGATTGGTAGTGATGGTTCTCTGGCATGATGACGTTTATTGCTGAGTGGGCATGAGTTGATTGAAAGATTTTTTGGTACTACTCCAGGCCCTATTTGTTGACTTGGCGACTGCTTTTCCTTGAGAGGCTTTGTTAGTAGTGGTGCACGAGTCCGTACTTGCGGTGACCTTACTGTATTGAGGAGGATGCTAAGGGATCGAAAGGGGGTGGAGAATAGGGTCAAGGGAGGGATGCGGTAGGAGAGAAGGCGGCGTTTTAAACAGATATAAATTTAGATGACCTTTTATTTAGCTTGGAAACTGATGCTGTCAAATACCAGACGCTGAGTCTGTTGTTAGGATTGACAAGTACCTAACGATCAAAGCTTCATATAAATTTTTCTTCTGTCCAGCCTACTGATAAGCATTTCCTCGCAATCCAGCGCCTACCAAGAAACCAGGTTGCAGGACCCCACTCACTTTCTTTTGATACAAGCTAATATCATTCCCAGTCACCTAAACTCCAGCCCTAGCCAAAGTAGGATTCAATGCTGCCAAACGCCTCGCTGCACGATCGTGCCTTTTCATATTGCCCACCGGTAACTGGCATACCTGCCTGCCGTCTCACTCCTCCGAATAATCTTGACCACCTGCCCTCTCCTCAGCCCCAAATACTTGGCCACCGGATCGGTGACCTGAATCCTAGGTAGCTGCGTCTCCTTCAACCGGTAGCGCTCTAGTAGCTGCGCCTTTTCCTCTTTGCTCAGAAGCACGTGCTTGGGCACAAGCTCGTGTTTTGTGATGTTCACCAGCAAGTGCTGCTCCTCGAACGTCTCGACGCCGCCGCGTGGGCCGTCCTCGAACTGGGTGCTGCCGCGCAACAGACGCAGGGCCATGCCGGTGATGGGCTTCGGGGTGATGAGAATGCCGGAGTAGTAGCTAGTGGAAACAAGGTGCTGCATGAAGTCGCGCAACTGCTTGAGGCCGACGTTCTCGTCGCCGCTGAAGTCGATCCAGATCTCGCCGATCTGGGGCTGAGGGTTGGGAACCTTGGGGGTGGGCGGGTCGGTGTATTTGATCAGCATGGCTTCGCTGGGTTTCGCGCTGAAGCCCATGCGAGAACGGCTACAAGAGGAGGTTTAGCTGTGCAAGGCCACATACAAGAAGCGGGCGTACTCACTCGGGTTCGTGGTCTCCCTCCTTTCCAAAGCGGTCGACAAACTCGGCCAGTGAGATGTTGATGTCTTCTTCCAGCATCTGGTAGCCCTGCAGAGCTGTTAGCAGGCCGAGTGGCAGCTCTGTTGCAGCGTCGCGCGTACTCTATCCATGCACATTTCTTTCGCGGTGCGGTAGATGCGCCACATCCGGATCATGGCCGGGTTATCCCTCCTGTCGGAATCCATACTGGGTCGGTCTCACAGTCTCTAGTGGTGGGTGGTGAGGTGAGGACGGCGAGGAGGGTCGTCGACAAAGTTAAAAGAAACCTTGAGAAGAGGAGCCTCGCGCCGGCACATCCTCGGTGAAGCGAGGAGCTTAATTCACGTGGTCGTCCAAAGCAGCCCATCGCTGCTAAAACACCAATGAATAAGCTACTAATTCCGGAACGCCCTGTTATAGATCAGAGGGATGCCTTCGTTCAGCTTCCATATCTAACGCATGTGTTCCTCCCTTGGGTCGCACCTTCAGGGCGAAATGGCATGGGCCCCTGCCCCTTTATGACGTGAGCCTAAAGTCCAACACCACCAACAGCTATCACCACAATGGCTGCGCCGGAGATCCCAAATCTAAAATCGCTGCTCGCCCAGCGCCGTGGAGGACTACACGCTCGAGGACGCGGTCCCAGAGCTCCCATCAGCCATGAAACAAGTGAGGCTGCCAAAGACGACGCCGTGAAAGGCACCGATCAAGATGCAGCGGGCTCGCGAGTGAGCTGCGTAGAGCTGGGCTATCTCGACGACCCATATGCGAAGGTATTCGCCGCACAGCAGACGGTGCGGCGTCTGCCTCTCCTAAACAGAGGTACAATTCCACCAACACTTTCTTAGTACACAGAGCGAAGCTCATGCCGAAGTATAGGCACATACGTTCGCACCACCGGGCTCGACCAGCTTATCCACCAATTCCTCACCACCGCGCCTGGCTCGCCCAAACAGATCATCTCCCTGGGTGCAGGGACAGACACACGCTACTTCCGCCTCCTCTCCGCGTACCCGTCTCTAAATCTAACCTACCACGAGATCGACTTCCCCTGTAACACCTCCTCCAAAATCGCGGCCATCCAACGCTCTCCCGCCATCCTCTCCCTACTCTCCCACCCCCCTACCATCTCTACAGACGGCACATCCCTCAGCACGCCCACCTACAACATCACGGCTCTCGACCTCCGCACCCTCGCCTCACCCACCCCACCACCGCTCCCAAACCTTAACCCCTCTACCCCCACCCTCCTCCTCTCCGAATGCTGCCTCGTCTACCTCCCGCCCACCACCGCCTCCGACATCCTCACTACTCTCACAACACACCACCTCTCCCCTACCACCCCCTGCGCCCTCGTCCTCTACGAGCCCGTCCGCCCGCATGATGCTTTTGGCCGTACCATGGTCTCGAACCTCAAATCCCGGAACATCCACCTGCACACCCTCGCCACGTACCCGGACCTCGCCTCGCAGATTACACGGCTAAAGACAGCGGGATTTGACGCGGGACAAGGGGGTGTGGATACCGGGTTTGTGTGGCGGGAGTGGGTGAGCGAGGCCGAGAAGGAGCGGGTTGGGGCGCTGGAGATGCTGGATGAGTTTGAGGAGCTAGGCTTGCTGTTGGGGCATTATTGTGTGTGCTGGGGTTGGCGGGATAGAGGTGGGGAGGAGAAGGATATGGTGTTTTCCGAGGCGTGGAGTGGGGTGAAGGCGCAGGTTGGTGGGCCTGCTGGAGAGGGGGCGTAGAAGAGTTGGGTAGTGCATAACAGGACAGAGCGGACGCCAGATATAAGGTTGGTCAGCTTGGCCGTTGAGAAGTGTGCATAGAGACTAGGACATAGACCACCCGTCTCATGATTCTTACGATATATTTTAGAACCCTTGAACGTAGCATGATGGGTCAACGACAAGCTTATGGGAGACTATTATCTTTTACTATCCAACACCTCATATCTCCTTTAGCTTTCCTATCCTACGCTTCATGACTCCAAACGCCCCAAGCGTTGTTTGAACACTGCAACACGAAGCAAAAATCTATTCGTGTCATACCAGACTTAATATTGGTTGATAACTCGCCCTAGTTCCCCCTGCAACCTGATCCCAAGATTTTCAGCTTATATGCAGCATAAACGCAAAACTCCCCTCCTCCGAGATATCCTTGATACCCTACCAGCCATACTGTACAATCTGGGTATGCTAGTAAGAAATAAAGTAGCAAAACCGAGGTGCAACCAACAGCACATGAGCGCCTTCCGAGCCCACTCATAGATAGTTGCCGTGAATGAAAATTCGCCCATAGCGCCTGAAATCTTGAAACTTTGGAATGCCTTGGCGGACCCCAAGCGGCACCTGGCCTCTAGGCCTCGGGAGATTTAGGTACTCATTGCCGATCATGCACCGAGTCCTTCCTCGCACTAGAAATGTTGTGATTGCCATGTTCAGTACCAATTCCGAACCCCTCGCTAGGACCGTCAACAGCCCTCGCATAATTCTTCGGCCTCTTCAGGCTCTGGATCGCCAGCTCCCTCCGCCTCTGCAGATCCCGCTTCTTCTCTTTCTCGCGCTCGCGTTCTTCTTTGGCGCGTTGATCAGCCACTACGACAAAGTGAAAAGTCAGTACACATTTGGGAAAACCGTAAATCAAGTACTAGATGTCAGTTTTCCCACCCATGACTTTAGCTGCCTGAACGGCGTTCATCTTCGCCGTCCATCCCTGTGCTGGGTGCAGCTTCTTCACGGTGCGGATCTCGTCGGACGCGTAGCCAGGAATGCGGATGTTGTAGTTGCGTTCGAGGATAAGCTGGAGGTCGCGGATGTCCAGCTGTGGCGACTCGCGCAGCTTGCTGAGCTTGCACGCTGAGCTGATGACCGAGTCGACAAAGTCGTCCGCAAGTTGGAGCATTGCCTGTGACGCATTGTTAGCTCGTGCTACGTGCTTATGAGGAAATATAATGAGACACACACCTCTTCAACTTCGGGAGTTAGTGACTCCCCGCCCGGCCCTTCACCACCACCAGTGACCTGCCGCACGAGCTCGTCCAACTTGCGCTTGCTGAGCACGCGATCACCTTCACCCTCAAGTTGGAATGTCGGCATCTTCTGCATGACGGGCTGGCCCATCATACCCGGCGCGCCGTTGCCGGGTCCGCCCATAGTAGGTCTGGCGGGGCCCATGGAGACGGGTTGCGGCTGCGCTACGTTGAGCGTTTTGGGGATGGGCATCTTGGTGTTGTTCATCTGGTCGCGATTCGGGATGCTGTGATAACCTCCTGCGCTAGTCGGCATCTGCTGCGGCGTGGAATTGCGGTTGGCGTCACCTTGTGAGTAAGAGCGCTGGGCGAGGCCGACCGCGTCTCGGTGAGAGAGAGGGACAGGCGGGCCAGTGAGGTTGTTACCGGTTGCGGACTGTGGGTGAGGTGAGTTTTGCTGCTGCTGCTGTTGTGCATGGGCGTTGGCTTGCGCGGGGTTGATCTGTGGGCGCTGTGCGTTTATGTTGTTGTGCTGCTGATTCATCTGGCCCGACGGATTTTGTCCCTGTGCAGACTGGGGAGTGAAAGGAAGCTGACCGGGTTGCTGTGGTCCTGAAGACATTGAGTTTCGAGCGGCGTTCGGATTGTGTGCTGGCCCCTGCGAGTTTGGTTGCTGCGTGCCCGGTTGACCGCCCATTTGCATGTTGGTGAATTGCTGTCCGCCTGGAGCTGTGTTGCCTCCCTCCGTCTTGATGGGCGCTTCGCTCTTCACTTGAGGGAAGCTCTGTTGGTTATGCGACTGCTGTTGCTGCTGCTGCGTCTGCTGGGCCCGTTGCTGCTGCTGCTGCTGCTGCTGCTGCTCTGTCTGCTGCTTCCACAGGCTTTGCTTTTTGCGAAACTCATCTATGAACTGCTTTCCCGAGTTGTACTCTTGCTCCGCGGCCGCCTTTCGTTGAATCAGCTCTGGCGATACATCCTGCCCGCTCTTCCTCCGGTCCTCCATTGCCTGTATAATACGTGCACTCGCCGTCTTCGCCTTTTCCTGCCTGGTCAACGCCACAATGTAGTTATTCTTAAACTCCTTCACCTTCGCATCGCCCTCAGGTGTGCCCAGGAGAGGCCCGCCAGGGGGCAGGTGGTAGGGAAAGTCCTGGACATGCTTCAAGATGCCAGGATCCACCTGTGGCCGTTGCTGGCCGCCTTGCGCTGGCTGCGATGGGGTGTTCTGTATCTGCGGTCGGGGTTGATTCATCGTCTGGCCTTGCGGAGGCTGCTGTCCGGGCTGGTTTGGCTGGCTCTGGGGCCTGTTTGCCGCCTGGGCTGCGGCGACCTTCTGTCGTTGGAGTCGCTCCTGACCGATCAGCTTCTGCGACCACTCGGCGAGCTTGGTGTGGGCGGATATGCGTTCTGGCGAGTCTTTCGGCTTGCCCTGTATCATGGCCCACAGGCTGGCGACGGCAGGCCTGTACTTGGTCTTCTGCTCGTCGTTCAGGCAGGTGAGCTTTAATACATCCTCTGGTTTCAGGAGTTGCGGATTCTGCTGCGGCGTGCCCTGTGGGCCTTGGGATTGTTGGCCTGGATTGCTCATGGTTGCGTTTGTTCTGATCCGACTTCCAGACTCTGTTGTTCCCACGGGAAGCTGCGTTTGTCGACAGGCCGACCCACGGGGCGACCAAACGGAATGCGCGCGTCAGTTCTAGCCAGCAGAAAAGGGGGTAACAACGATGGGGCACTTCGAGGGAGCGATGGCGTAGAGGGTGATGTTGGTGTGAATGCAGGTGGGCTACCTGCAGGTGGAAGTTGAAGTAGACTTTGGCTTGGCGGTGGGATAAACCCGACGGATGCATGTATTGTCACAGACCGAACAATACAGGGTAACGTGATCCTACGTACCCCATCAACACCAGACCATATCGCCGCTGGCTACACGTTCAGAGGTCAGGCTCTACATAGTAGTAATGCGCGAAGGAAGGAGGTGGATGTTCAAATGCTCGGATTTAGATACAGTGTAGGCTTCCAATGCCACAATGCTCTAGCCTTTCGTGGGCATGTAAGACAATACGCTAGAACGCTACAAAAATGCTAATCCAAACTCGCAATCTTATGCACCCATACAGGGCTGCATTACGTCATCTCTCTCCTCGTCTCCAGCGACAGCTTCGGAGAGTCTTTCGCGCTGAAATCGACAGCTCGAGCTCTTGTATTGCTGACTTCCCACTGGAACTCTTTAAGCGCTCTCAACTCGCTCCCTACGAACAAGCCACCCATGAGGCCATCAATCACACCCGTGCTCAGGCTCAAAGTGCTGACGAGCATCAGGATGAACGCAACATAGTTGTGCGGTACCCACCACACCCCGATCAGACAGCCAATGGAGAGGACGAGCTGGAATAAGCAGTGCCCAAGACGTAGTTGCCGCTGCACCTGCTCCCGCCTCATATACTTTGCAATGGTCGTCAGGATCTCATCGTATGTGGAGATCGGGAGGTAAGTTTCCGGCAGTGCCCACGGTCCATTGCTGCGGGACGGTTCAGTAGCGCTGGAAACGCTGCGCACCAGAGTCGCTTCGACAGAGAAGTGGTCGCTGAGGGAGCAATGCAAGGTCGGGTGCCTCCCCGTCATACCAACATTAGCAGACTCCAAAGTCCATTCCGAAGTTGCCTCGCCAGTCGTAGAGTCGTGATGGGATCCACTACTGAAGAAGATGTAGTCCAAACGTTTGGCGTTGGGGTCTGGGACATCGAGCTCTATCACCACATTCTCGCCCTTCCTGAGACGCCTTTTGTGAGCTTTATTCCAGCGCCAGCTGTTCAGCACACTGTCGCACGTTGCGCCATTGACTGTGAGGTTGAAATGGGCGTTGGGAATGGGAACCCCTCGCTGCTTCTCCACCTTGTCCTTCGCAGCGCCAATAGAAGACTCGGGGTGTAGTATTCGCCAGACGTCTCGCCCTGGGGACTGCGTTTCGATAATGCGATGTGCGAGCGATAGTGGGACCATGTTGAAATCCCCCAAAGCAATGACGAGATGTCCTCTTTCTGCAGCTCCGTGCATGAGCTTCGCAATCTCCCATGCTTGCGCTGTTCGGTGGCATATGTAGGAGTCGTGAGGTTCAGTTTCGTAGGGAGCATGAAGCTGCTAGAGTCAGTCACGTATGCTTTGCGTACGAGCTTGGACTGGGTACTAACATGTGTACAAAAGATCTCAGCAACGTCTCTCCTTTCTGGGCCCATCCGTATACGTGCACAGGCTACTCCTTTGCCCACATACCAGTCCCCACGGTAGAATGCAGCCGGCCGCCCGTTCAATGGGTACCTCATCATGCTGCTCTCCACGATGGGCCATCTCGACAGAATCACCAGACCACCCCCAAAGATACCGCTATGGTAGAACTTCCCATATGGCAAAAAACTGCGCGTCCTATCGCGAATGGCGTTGTAGTCCTGTTGTGTCCAGCATTCTTGGAGTCCGACAATATCTGGCTGCGGGCTCGCAGCGGCGATCTGGTTTCCGATCTCTATGAGGCGCTCGTTGCGGTATTTGGCTAGAAACTTCAGTCCCCAGCAGTTCAGGGAGAGGATACGAAGCTTGGAGGGCGGTGCTGACCCAGAATTGGCCATTTCCGGCAAATTGTAGCGGGATGTTGCTGCGACGGGGGAGTTGAGCATCGAGTGAATAGATGGGCAAGAACTAGCGAGGACGTCGCGTCAGTGCGCCCAACCCCTGACGGCAACCTTGACATCACTCCAGTTCCACGATTTTGCTTCAGTACTAAACAACTTTTACGCGCAGTCTCTAAACAAGTGGCTCATTTGGCTGTTATGTTGAAACGTATCGCAGCCTGTCAAGACAGTTACAAATAAGTACACATAGATCCATGAAAAGGCGCTGTAGAGCTGAAGTGAAAGACTCAGCACGTTTCCAACGTAGTAAAACATTCTAGCTAAAGTATTACAGTCTAGGACTGTAGGAAAGTTGTAGGGGAATCTCACACTACTATCATGATATCCCTCCGCCACCGCCCCGTTCCCTTTGTCTCCACTCAGTCTTTCACATTCCCTTCCTCCAGCAAAACTTTCACGAGCTCCTGCTCCCGCTTTACACTCTGTTGCACCCCCTTCAAAGATTCCACTACCATTCCCTTGCTCCTCGATACAGTCGGATATCCGAAAGTCCGATGCATCACGCTTGCAACCTCTCCCATCTCCTTCACCAGCTTCTCCAAGTCGTCGACCTGCTGCCTCGAGATCTCGCTCCCGCGACTCTGCTCGCAATCCCTAAGCGTTGACGCCAATGCCCTCATGACGCCGCGATGCACATCGAGATACGGCTTCAGCGTAGTCAACGTGGTGCGCACGTAGGCCTTGAAGTGCCGGTTCGGGTCGGGGTACGGCCGGGAATCTACTGCGTGGATCGCCGGCAGTCCTTCAAAGAATGAATCAATACCTGCGGTAAGGCTAGTAAGGGAAGTATTAAGCTCTGTGAATTGCTCGGTGAGAGGTGGAGTAGGATTGTTGGACTGCGGAATCGCCATCGCTTCAGCTTCGTTAATGGCAGCTAGGTGTGAGTCTGTAAGATCTCGTAGGTCGGCCAAGTGGAAGTTATAGAGGCTTGTATGGTACTTTGTGATTGCTGGTTGCACTGTGAACATGGTGGATCTTTCGGGACATAGGGGTTCGATGGATGTAGTCTTTTTTCCCGTGCTTGCTAAGTACTTCTGTTAGTCCTATTTCACAGAGTGAAGACACTCGTTTGTACGTGGCAAGCGTCGTAGCAACGGAGACTACAGCAGGTTGCTGGCATCTACTTGGGCATGGCCAATGGATAACCTCACATGACCTATCACATGGTACAGCGCCTGGGCAAAATTCTGTGTACTCCTGCTGACCACTGTCTGGGGTTCTTCGCTGCATTATCATGAATCCAGATAAGATGTAAAGATCAAGACAACGCAGACTGGGGCGGTCCCAAACGCTTTTGACCTACCTTTTACGGCATTTTCGTAACGGGGACCCAGCTTCTCATCAAATCTCTAGAAGTAAGGTTAGAAACAACTGTGAGAGGGTGTGCACTTTGAGCATTTCAACGCAGGCACCTTTCCCATGGCCCGTCCACGCGGTCTTCAAGATCGTTTCAAGTACATGAACTCATGAGTTGCACGCGCATCTTGGTTCTCAATATGACTGTACTCATTAGACTACAGCTATACCACTACAAACTCACGGAGCCTCCCATAACCATATACAGCCGCTGCACACTTTGCCGGCTCCCAATAACATGACCAGACACTACCAATGGCCAAGCCATACCGTTCCCCTAATCTAGACCTAATGGATGGGTCTCCGATGCACCTCTCAAGTTTCTACGTCCAAACGCCGTCCGAGAGTGCCCAAAGCATTTCCCTTCGTCTTACTAGAACGCCTAAACACCACACTCACAGAGTCTCCCACCCTCCATTGTTCACATCCCCCTCCAATCTCCTCGCTATCATGCTCGGGACGCCGTGATGGAGCCAGACCTGCCTCAGAAGATGGTCGTATCTCTTCTGGTTCAAGAACAGCTGGTGGTGCCGCCTCAACGTCGGATCTACCTCGCCATGCTTGTCTAGATATGGCGCCACGGCCCACGTGCCGTTCGACATATTCATGAAGAGCACCATGCACTTGCGGATATTGATAAAAAGGCCGATGTTGCCGCCGCACCTGTTGAGTATGTTAGTAAGTTGAACGAATTATCACTCCTTCGAGGAACTTCGGTTTGGACTTTACTTACTTTGTCTGGTGCTGGAAGCAGCCCCCTTTGTTCCGATCCTTCATGCAGCAAACGCCCTGGCTGCAGAAGATCTCGCCGCAGAACAAGCACACACAAGGATCTGTCAATTCCTTTCCAGTAGTGGGACACTTCCGCCGGACGGCTTCGTCGGTCAAAGTATCGTAGTTTCGAGGTAACCCCACAAGCTCAAAGATGGTTGGATGTGCGAGCGATATAGTCGGTCTAGCGGGGCGCTTGCCCTCCCGTGACCAGCACCAGTGCCGCAACCAGCCGCTCACAGTTGCTCGGGTGGCTTCGCCACCAGGGTTATCAGCTGAAAAGTCGCGGAACATTTCGTGCAGAGAAGGGAGTTTGAGAACGGACGTGAGCCGAACAATCTCACGCTCTTCAGAGACAGCATTAGGTGTAGGGGGAAATTCAACACCAAAGCGAACGTTCAAAAGGATCGCAGCTTTTCGGAGGAAAGGTAGGGCGTAAGACTCCATCATCGTATGCATGAAGTGGAAGAACTTCTCGTCCCCCAGGGTCTTAGCGGCTATGGCATCGGCATCGTTTCCTGAGAAAGCAGTGGAAGGATAGTCATGTGTCCGGGCAGTGTTGACAATGTGGCCAACAAACGAAGACAACTCTTCAATTTCTTGTCGAGAAGCGCTGCTTTTCTCGGGATTTATGAAAGGGCCTGGGCGCTGCCAGTGGCCGTGTACTGAGGGTATATCAGTTAAAGGCGCCTCCTCCGGACTTCCAAACGGATTACTTGAGTCGTCAGCCGCGTAGGCAATGACGACACGGACAAGTTCGGCAAGATAGCAAAGCCGAAGCATATGGAATATGTCCAAGTTGTGTGATGGCACACAACAGACTGCACACTCCGAGAGGAACACGAATGGATCCTGGTACAAAAGAGCAGATATTCCCTTCGCCTCGTAAGGAAGCGCATTTTGTGGAAAGACTTTTGGATGCCCCACGAAGAGCTGATGCAGTTGTCTGTCTCGGCTGTCCATGAATTCCTGGCACGTCTTGGATGCGCCTGAATTTCGAAGACCGCCAACTGCAAAGTACGACGATACGGTCTCCGAGAAAATTCTCAAATGTGCTATTGACTGTGGCGGGATTTTGTCCAAAAGCGTAGTTCTGGGATTAGGGGACTCCACTCCTCTCTGGGCAATCTCAACGGCAGAAATTGAGTACCCGAGCGCTCTAGCCAACGTATCAGTATAGGTCAGGTCGTCCAGCGCATTTGCTGAAGTATGAGGATATGCAAATCGGGTCTGAAGACCATTCGCACGCATTGAGTCCTTCAACCGCTGATAAATCTTATTCAGCTCGATCAGAGGCAGACTCTGGGCGGGATCCGGGTGACCTTCGGAGGGAATCACGATAGGGTCCCTATGGTCTTCTTGCGTAGGAAGAGGCAGAAAGGCCGGGACTTGGAATCGGTGGTGGTGTGCGGGCTGAGGCACAGGCGGGGTCGATATGAAGCTTGCCTTCATCAACTCAGGGAGGCGAGACGCCAGCTGTGGTATCATTTCTTCATTGCCATAGTCCATGAAAAGGCTCTGCTGTCGCTCGATGCGAGATTTCTCAGGAGTTTTATCCAACTTCGAAATCTGGACCGCAAGACTGGACCCGATCCAGTCGCTGAACGGTATCTCCGGTTCGAGAATTCCGGGATATTCGACGGTCTTGCCCTTCCAGATGATAGGCAAGAATACGTTGCCCAGAGCCTTACACAGAGGGCACAGGAACTCTTTGACATCTGGTCTCTCGGGATGGTTGCGAGCAATCTGATTGACATGTCGCCGCTTTGTAGCGTCAGTGTATGCATCAAAACAGTTGAAGTGCATGATATGGCCGCAGCCGGTTGTGACTGGGCCGCGTCTAGTATAAGCATGAGGAAACCCCTTCCCTAGCTCTTGTCGTTCTGTAATTATCACGTTCCCTTCTGAGGTCACCTTCTCTACCACCCGTCGGTTTTGACCGGCAACACCGAAAGGTCGAATCGAGTCAGCAGAACGATCGAGATTTGTGGGAGTACTTGACACCTCCGTGACCCAGTCTTCATCCTTAGTGTCTGTTTGTCGGAGAATTGTGCTTTCAGCAATGTAAGCAAACGTGCCGTACAGCCGATGCTCGTTTGTCTCTTCCTGACAGAGAATGCAATTTCCGCCAGGAAATTTGACGACGGTCTTCTCCGAGACAGGCGCAAAGTCATCGTCTAAATCATCTGAATCATCCGCACCCCAATCAATAGACTGGTTGGCTAAGAATTCCCCTTGCTGCGCTTTGAAAGCAGCCATGACTTTGTCCTTCCTCTCCTGCGCTTGTTTCTTTTTCAGATCCTTTTCGACCACAGCATCAACAAAAGAGGCAGGCGATGCGGTATCCATCCGGTCTATAGGGATGTTAAGTGCAGTCGACGCGGATTGGAACACTGTACGTTGATGTTGCTTGAGACGGTGAATGATGAGCTTGATCTTCGGCTCGCAGGCCGTGAACGCTTCGATACCTGTCAATGCATTCAAGACAGACAAAATTGTTGAATGGCCAGCAATTCCAACATTTGCGTGCTTTGTTAGAACATTAGCGACGAAGGATCCTGGAGCGGTATCGGACATCTCATCTTCGTGCACTTTGTCTTCTAAGATTGCCACCAATACTAATTGGAGGACGAATTGTAGGTACCCTTCAACTCTTGTAAGCGGGACCGTAGGCGTTGTAGCTTCGGCCTGGAGGCCATAACCGAGTAGGTAGTAGATGATCTGAGCAAATAGAGGCGTCTTGGTGAATGCTGCAAGATCCGTGAATACGCCTGATGGTATGTCCCTCAATTTAGGCTCGAAGACAATATCCTCGGCCTGTTTGCCGGTCTTCTTGGCCATGTAGTTTTTGTATATCGTTTCTGCTTCTTCCCGCTGATTACGATTGTACTGAGTGATGTATGGGTCAATCAGCGTAATGAACTCTTCCTTCAGCTCAAATGTTCCGGAGTCGGAAAGGCCCTCGGGAGGCTTGAATTTGGTCATGTCGGATAGCACCGTATTGAACTCGTTCATATCTTGAATCCTCTCGGAAATGCGAGCAGTAAGCTCTGAGAAGGACAGAGGCTTGAAGCAGAGAACGTGCGCAATGTCGCGGCGCATGGCAATGACGTGAGGCTCTGGTTCATCCTCGATAGGAAGAAGGGGCAGCCTATCACTCAAGAGAATGATTAAGAGGTGAACAAAGTCCTCAACAACATCGATGATCTGAGAGTCTTCAATGCCAGGTGTGTTGGCGTAGTGGCCCTTCGCCCAATGCATCAAACCAAACCTGTCAACCATAGATGCAAGAAAAGTCGCTGGGTTACAGATGACCAAAGCAGTCTGCAAGAGGAATATGTCTCTCTGGTAAGAGACATCCCGCTGTCCAACATTCCTGTAAGTAGACATTTGGTGGCGGAGGGTGATGCCATTTCTAACCCAAATGCCACCTCGCATTTGAGACAGCCAAGCGCAGACTCGGAGGGGAAAGTCGAACAGAGCGAGGAGATACTCGTCCGGTTGGTGTTCGGGAATCAATGCATTAAGAGGTATGGGTGGCTCTCTCAATTCTTGGACTGAGAACAGCAACAATCCCCAGAGCTGATCCCGAGACATGCTCTTGCCTCGATCGATGAGCCAAGACAAAGTGTAATGCAGAGCATGGTGGAAGCTCATTGGCTCTTTAGCCACAACGAAATCGACGATCCTATCAACCGGGCTGGATGCGGTTGTTGGATCTGAATCAAATTCGAACGCCTCCAAACTTCTGAATCTAGTTTCCGCTCTGATTTCAGCCTGGTCGAACCGTTTGCGTTCCGCGCCAATAGAGTTGGTGATGGCTACTTTTGCTGTCCTCCGGATGGCACGACAGATATTAGCAGCGTCTTCGTCTCTCCGCAACGTAAAAGCTTCGGAGAACTGTCTGCATAGCTTGTTGATTTCTCTGGTTATAAGAGATGCGCTTATCCAAGCGTCGGTCTCATACTCGAGATGCTCACCTACAGCTCGAACATTGGGGCATATGCCTTGATGAAGTTTTACCAGATCCAAGAATTGCATCAAGTAGCGCTCCTCATCGCAAAGTCTCTCCTTGACGTGATCCGATCCAATAAGGTACTTCATATCTAGGAAGAAGTGATACATGCGTCGATTTGTCACCGCGCCCTGTTCAAAAGCCAAGGTAGCTTTTGGATTTACGTCCCACGGATATCCTACTTGGCGGGTCGTGAGGAATGTATAGAGTATTGCCATGAGGTTCGTGAGGAAATTTCCTCGGTCGACGACCTCCGCAGTTATGGATGGTGTCGTGAGCATCTGAAGTGACAAATTGATAATGGAGTGGTCCGGCTCGCGATCTGCTATCAAGTAAAGCTGGGCCAGCGTCGTATACACACCAGCAAAGCGTAGACCTAGGAGTCGCTTGAAATGAGGAATGGTGACAACAGTGCTGATGAAGACATCGCGCATGTCGATCCTAATCTTCTTCCACATCCTCAAATCGTACAGAATCATGAAGTCTAGTCGAAGACGCTGCCAAAGATCCTCGTGTGGAGGCGTATCACTCTTCTTCCCATACCCTTCTGGCTTCTCTAACCAGTACTTTGGTGGTCTTGGAGGCCGCAGTGATCTTGGTCTCGCTCTCGGCGTCTTGGGGACCTCGATCGATGGCTCGGCCTGGGCAACGGCAAGGTGCGGGGCTATGTCCGTATCAGAGTCTGCGGGTGTACGGTCTTGCTCTTGCCGTGGCGCTAACGGAGCTCTTGTGTGGGCAGGTAGAGTTGGTGGCGGCGGAGGTGGCGGCGGCGGTGGAGGGTATCCTGCAATGGTTGCCTCAGAGACTTCGAGCTCATCGTCGGGGCCGTCGGATGCATCCATATCAACGTCACCGTCCCCATCGTTGGCCAAAAGATCATCGAGATCCATATCCTCAGCGGCGTCGCCAGCGCTTGTCTCATCATATTCTTCGTATGTATCGTCATCAGACGAATCGTCATCTTCTCCTTGTCTCTGTTGGTCACGAGTAGCAGCTCGCCTCTGAGCAACAAAGTAACGGTTTATGAAGGTAATTTCTTCATCCCGTTCCTCGACTTCGTGATCGTCGATGCCATCCCGCCCTATGTGCTGGTGGTGGGCCTCGCTTCCAATCCGCCATGGCTTTAGCATTTCCTCACACAGGGTACTACGGAGGACTTGGTGATCACTCCCAACACTACATCCAGCAATATCGGAGATCCACTCTATGATCGTGCCACACATCTGCTCTCGGAAGGTGTCCCTAGCCGATCGGATAGTGACAGTGAGCTTGATCTCCTCAATGATCTTGGCCATTCGTAGAAGCTCCTGGAGGTCCGTGCTATACACGATAACACTCCGACCGACATCACTAACCTCGTATGCCTTGGCAAGCCCGAAATTCTTCCGCTGCTTGCAAGCGCGAGAGATCTGATCGCGGATATCATAGACGGTATGCTTCTCGTCGTTCCAAAGCACCAATGCATATTCCTCGTTGGCATGAGTACGGTCCCCGCCGGCATACCATTTTGGCGTAAGGCGTGACTGCCGCTCGTCCTCCATGATGGACTGCTCCGTCTTAGGCAGCCTTAGCTGCTCCGGCGAACATGAAAAGACATCCATCAAGTAGTCCAGCGCCCTGGATATCGTGATTCTTATGTTTTCTAGTAGCTCTTCCGGAAGAGTGGAGCCTTCCTTTGCCTTCCCCGCAGCCTTAGATTGTGCCTCGAACGAGACAGAGTGAATATTGCAGTGGACAGGCCGGATCCAAGCCTCTTCGTCGCCGCAATCGCAGCATCCTGAGTTCCCGGGCGATACGCTGACATACACGATGTGGCCTTCGTGGTCCGAGGCGTCAAAGCAACGCGCGCATAGTACGCACGTATCGTCAACAGTGCATGTCTTGCATCGGTACGTAGCCTCGCCACTCTTGAATATATGTCCGCATGGTTGTCCTCGTGCGGCTTCAGTGTATTCTGCACCCTCTACGGCTCCCTGTGCCTTCCTCAGACTCCATGGCTCTTCTGATTTCGGAGGGGGTCCTTGCGGGAAGAAGAGGCGAAGGTATTCGTCGCGGTCAAGGGCGAGTGACTGGAAAAGCAGTCTGATAAGCTCATGGCTAGCTTCATCGGTATAGCGGAAGTCAAAACGGGCTGGAAACTCGCGGAGGGCTCGACAGAGCCTTTGCTCTTGAGGAGAGACCAGCATAGCGGGTGCTAGAGCGGAGGGTGTTGAGGGAAGGTGGGGGTGGTCCGAGAGATGTTGTAGGTACCGCGCGCCTGCGATTTGTATTTAGTGGTGCCTATAAACTTTGTTTTAGCTCATCGCTGCATTCACTACAAGTTGCGCGAATGAAGCTGTGACAGCGACTGGCGTGTGGTGTTGTTGAAAGAAGAGGCGCGATGAGACGAGGCGTCATAAGCTCGGAGGTCTCTGCAGATTGGCCGCATATGGAACAACAAAACGCCGCACCTACAATTGTGATTATACTACCATACTTTAGACAGAGACAGTGATGGACTGTGTGACTTAAGAGCTGTTTTTCTACGTTAGGGCTGTTTCTTTGTGGCGTGCTTGCTCACACGGCAACGGGCATTGCATCATGTTCAAACGACGGAAAGAGCATGGCCTCTCCTACATCAATCAAAGCAAGCTGTGTGTGAGAGTAAGTGAAAGGTAATGGGAGCGTGCATGTCGGGTTCAGTGCAAGTTCATTCCGCGAGTCCGCAAAGCTCGGTTTAGGTTGAGCAATCGTTGAAGCCCTAGTGTATACACCAATATACAACAATGCCAGCTGCGAACCATCCTCCGCTCCCTGTGAAAATCCACCCATTGGCACTACTATGTCCTTTTCAATACCGCAAGGGTATGATGCCGTCCAGTGTCGGCGGTGGCATTCTTACTCCTCCTCCTCGGCAGCCTCCATGTACTTTTGCTTGATGTCCTTCCATTGGCGCTATACCATTCATCAGTCTCAACATTTCGTGACAGGACCTGGGCACTGCTTACTCCTCTGTTCAAGGCATCCCACACCTTGGTGGAACCGGTGTCGAACCCACTGTTGCCCGGTTAGCAACCCGTCTGCCCGAAAAGCTCTCGGTAATTACCTACATCTCAATGACGAACGCTGAGAAGAACACCGCCCCTAGCATCGCCGTGTTCCTGCGGAAGAACGCACTGCGGAGAGGGTTAGCCCTTGGTCTCCCTGTAGCATTGGCAGACCCGGGAGACGTGCTTGTAGAGGCCGGATGATATCTATCGCGCGGCAGTCAGCTTCGAGAAACTAAATAGCCCATCCGATGAATGCACTTACGCCTGCCATTTCAAAGGAGATCTGGGGAGAGCGGAGTGGTGGGGTGGCTGGAATTGCTGTCGGCGTGAGGTGAGGTTGTGGTGTTGCCGCAAGCAATGGATCGACTTCGAAACGCAAACGCTCGGGGCTGCTTGGCGCGGGCTTCTTCGAGGTCCCGATCAGTTGCAGGCTGCGGAACAAAGTTTTCGAGCAGCATGCAGGGTACACGCTCTTTATATGCTTGTGTTCACTTGCATAGCACTTGCTGTGGCTCTCTGCTACACTATTGGAAATCGTAGAACCTGAGCGGCCGGATTCTTCATCTTGGCCAGCCGTATTAGATGGAAAATGTAGAGGCATATGTTGGGGGGCAGTCGCGATATAAAGCAGTGCCTGCATCTGTTTTGTTTTCATCTACTTAGTTCATGAAGGAACTATTGTATATAGCCCGAAGGAGGGGGCCAAGGTCGTACCTAGTGCAAAGCTCTCAGCCTCGCACAAAGTCAACCCCCCCCACACCCTCTCTTCGATGCACTCCCGCATTCCCAGCTTTGGCGCGTAGGCTCGACTAGGAGTGCAAAGGCCTAACTAGCTGCCTCACAATCACCGCGCCTTGCGACGTCAAGGCCCCCTCCAGTGTCGCCTGCTGGCCACGACCAGACTTATGCTCGCCGAAGCAAACCATCACGACCTGCTCTTACGCTCGCGAGGCCGGCGCTGTCTCCGATTGCTCTCCATACCATTCGATCTCTCATCCTACACTGTCTCCGCAGATCCCACCACCAGCCATGCCCACCGTCCCAACCACTCTATCCTCCTCTAAATCCGGCATTACGACCTCCGAGACAGGCGAGCGCCATATCCCTTCCAGCACTCGCCCCGACGGCTCTGTGCGCAAGGAAATTCGCGTACGTCCAGGCTACCGCCCGCCGGAAGACGTCGAGGTCTACAAGAACCGCACTGCTGAAGCATGGAAGACTCGCGGTAGCGAAGGCGTGCCCGGAGCAGAGCCACTTGTGAAGAAGGCCGCTCCGGTATCTGGCACGGTGAACAAGAATGCGAAGCGGAGGGAAGCGCGCAAGCGCGCTGCCGCAGATGGGATTGCCGGAGAGGGGAGCACAGATGGCGACGCGGCAAAGCCAGCAGACGGCAAAGGCGTCCAAGTGGAAGAACTGGAACCCCCAAAGGAGGTCGATCTCGAAGTAGAGAAGGAGAAGGAGGCGAGAAAGCTGATGAAAAAGCTTCGGCAAGCTCGTGAGCTAAAGGATAAGAAGGAGAAGGGGGATACCCTCCTCCCAGAGCAATTCGAAAAAGTTATCAAGATCAACGAGCTCATCAGGCTGCTAGACAATCTAGGGTTTGATGGCGAGGGAGTCCGGAAAGATGGACATGAGAGCAACCCAGATAGATGAGACATGACGAGAACCAGAGTATGAAGACGAAAACCAGCTCTCGATGCGCCTTTCGATCACTCGCGGAATCTCCAAGGGAGCACCCACGACTCGGCCCTGAAAGTGATCGTGTGGCATGGTGGACTAGCAAGCTGCTATCGGTACTTCACGGAGACGCATAGATTCCAAACTTCCATTCTCGAATATACAGAAAAGGCTCGACTATACAGAGAAAGCAGGCTTCGCAGCCGAAAAGGTTACCAGGACTCGAAGATGTTCGTTAGCTCACGTTTCACTATCGTCACAGCGTCGTGTAGTTCAAGCGCCTCAATTTCAACGTGTTCGCCAACATGCTGCCTGCTTCTAGACAAGCTCGTTGAAACCTGTCTTCTAGCCCGTCTTCATGGTGCTCACTGACTTCAAATATTTGCAGCGTCGTGTGCCGCATGGAAATAGACTAATGAATCATATGGGCAGTATGCTACTTGTTTCTTGTTTTTTTGGAATTGTTACATACCCGAACTACTTTCTTATGTCCATCCGTGCACCCCAGGCACACCAAAAAGAAAGGATTGTAATGCCACGATTTACGCCGGTCCTTCGCCACATTCTTTGCCACCCCTCGAAACTCCATTCAAAGTAGTCGTATACAAATGAACAAAGGAAATCATTCTTCTCTCTACTTGGCCCCATTGACACCATTCGGACCCTGCTTCACGATCTGCTGTTGCTCTTGGGGCATCTGTGCCAGCCACGAAGGTGGCTGAATGCCAGTCTGGTCATTTATCGTGCTCAGGAGTGGTGGTAAGCTCTGGAAGAGGTTCCTGATGGGTGCTGTGGGATCTGCCGCAGAACCTTCTCCTTGGGCTCCAGTGTTCCAAACGTTGATCTTAGGTGCCAGACCACGGATAGCATTGGCGTTGGCGTTCGCCAGCTTCTCGTACGTATCGTTTTGCAGCATGAGATACTGCATAAGACCTTGAGGACCCCCGAGGACATTGCTCATATCTCCATAGGCTTTCGCCATAGCAGACAGACCTTGGGCTTCACGCTGTCTGGACAAGAGAGCCGCCTCGGCATCCCGCTCGTGGCGGAAGTAGTCAGCTTCAGCAGCCCGCTTTGCGACAACATATGCAGCTTCGGCTTCACGCTCGCGGGCCTGAAAATTTGCCTCTGCGTCCTTCAAGCGTCGGTATGCCGCAGCTTCGGCGTCGGCCTGTTCTGCAAACTTCTGACCCTCGGCCTGCTGTTGCTGGGCGTATAGCCTTGCGTCCGCCTTTTGCTGTTCAGACTCCTTCGCGATCTTGGCAGCTGTGACGGTAGTTGCTCGGAGACGCTCCAGTTCCATGGCCGCGCGCTTCTTCTCGACGTCCGTGTTAAGCTCCGTATCACGCTGCTCGGCGGCGCGCTTAGCTTCAATACGCGCAAGGTTAAGCTCTTTCTCGATCTTGATCTCCTTGTCGGTGAGTTTAGCGTCTGCCAGTGCCTTTTCACCCTTGCGCTCGGTTTCAAGGACTGCAGTTGCCGCATGGATTTTTGCGACCTCCTGCTTTGTCTTGCCTTGCTTCTCTGCCTCGCCAACTTCACCACGCATGCGTGCGTCGGCAACATCAACCTTCGCCTGGTTCAGGGCTCCTTCGTGGGCTTTCCGAGACAGTGAGGTGAAGTACTCGGATCCAGGTGTGTCCTGTAGCTCTTTGACGTTTGCGTTGTAGATTCGAAGTCCGAATTGGTCGAGCTCGGATTGGACTCCCTGGATGACCTTGCCCTTGAACACCTGGCGCTCGCGAAAGAGCTCCTCCATCGTCATCGTTGAGACGATCGAGCGAGTCTCGCCCTCGATGACGCCTTTGACGATGTCCTGTACATGATTGCGGCCAGCGGCGACGGCGCCTTTTCCTGCAGCGATCGGTGCGCTTCCATCGGACTCGCCGGTAAGAAGCACGGCATACTTCTGTAGAGACTCGGACGCATCGTCGGGTCCGATAGTAAAGGTCGCAGGTAGGGAAAACTTGAGCTTCTCGACAGTCATAGCCTGGAGAGTGATGTTGAAGTCGAACGGCGTGAGGGAGATTTTGGACACTCGTTGGAAGGGTTTAACCCATGCCTGCAGCACGTTAAATGTATTGCAAACATGGCAAGAGCAGAGCAACACTGACCTTCTTCTTGATCAAGACTTTGTCGATACCTGCGCCAGTGACGACGAGGTACTCGTTCGCCTCAGCGACATGATACCATGGGATGAGCGCCATATTAGGCAAGTAATTTACGATACTCCTGAGAGAAGACTATGTGGAGGGCTCCCAGAAACAAACACTCTTAGCAAAAGAGTGAATGGGTCAAAAGATGTTATGAAGTGTAAATGTGTGGATGAGTACGCGCCATTGTGGCTTTATATACCTGCAGCCGGCGAGAACCCATGGTTTGGTCATACAAGTCTCCCGGTTCCTACCATGTGAATTAGGCACACTCCCAAACTCTAGAGCTCAAGGCGAATCATCAATGGAACCCTTGAGATCGTGGTTCGACTGGCTTGGAAGGCGCTCGGGCCGCTGTGGCGCTAAGCAACCGGGGGAATCAGCCTCGTTGCAGGGCTGCGCCTCCAGCTTGCACACCACAATACGAAGTACCTCCATGCGCTGCTTCCAGCGATTGCTGAGAACGTGAGACTGCGACAGCAGACCATTTCACAGACAACGGCCTCGTTCTGTCATCCAGCTGCTCAAAACGCTGACCGCCAGCCTCATTCTGATATTTGCCCAGGTGCCCGTCAGGATATTTTAGGGTGCCTAGATTGGAACCTTGGGGACAGCTTGAGCTGGCCCCAATTTTTAGGCCACATGAGCAGACCCCAAGGCGGCCAAGCCCGCACGATATAACGGACACGAGCAGGACGCGCTCATCGTACCGCCCTTGCCCGCATCATTTTATCATTCACGTGTCCTAGAGCCACATCGGCCATCATCCAAGGCAGACAGTGGCGGAATCTCACCCAGGCTCTCACATCAAGCACTCACCGGAGTCACATTTCTAGTCCCTACAGAGGATCCTAACTAGACAGTCAGGTGGACGCTGCTCGGCACAACTATCCGACTGAATCCTTCTATCCATACTTCCCAAAGCTCTGCCTCCCAAGACTTACAATGTCGAAAGAAGGCGCTCTTCCATCCTACGAGGAGAGTACCAATGCCCACCTCCAAGCCCAGTACTATACGAGCAGCACCTCCGATGGCCAGCGTATCCGCGACAGAGTCCGCGCAGTCCGAGAAGAGCAGATCGCGAGTGTGATCAATGAACACGTCTATCCCTTGATCTCACAACAGGCTATGTACGGCATTGGGAGCATCACCATCGCGCTCATGCCCTCAGATGTTGTGCTCGCGCAAGAAGAAAGAGTCAAGTCAGGTACAGACCTTCTTTGACTTAGACTGCTATCCCTCAAGAGTTCTAAGTGCCACTAACACCATGAGATACAGAATTTGATTTCGAGATCTCAGAGGAGTCTCGGGTGGAGATTATCGGCTTCCCGGAGCAGCTGCAGCAAATCCAACTTGATGGCCACATGAACCGTCTTGACTTCTGGAAGCAGCAGGGTGTAGTAGAAGAGCTGGAGCGAGCATTGAATGAAAATTTGGATGCATCATCGCAGTCTTCGATCACTGCGAGGAATCTCCAGCCACCATTGCCACAAAGGCCAACCACGAAAGGCTTTTTTGGCCGGAAGTCGAGTTCTGCAACGCCTGAGACGGCAGGACCTGGGAACAAGTCAGGCCTGCTTCAAAGAGAAAAGAACACATCAAAGTTGACTGCTAGGTTGGAAGATATCTGCTTACGGACTGTCTCCTCGTTTGGGCTGTACGAGACTACCACACGACAAAGTATCATAATCAAATTCAGTGCCGGATGTTAATAGGGATTGGTTTGGGAATGTCGTATCGGTCACTTCAGGACTGTTGTCTTTCAAGAACAGCTACAGGTATTCGGAGTACCGCATGTGGGCTTCCAATCTGCGTACACCCTGCTGACACTATTTGAGGTAGCCTCGCAAGTTTACTACTTGTCTAAAATGCCAAGTTTCTCTCTTATTTGGAATGCTTAAATTACTATGAAGCTCCTCACAGAGCGGTAAACAAGTGTCCAGAATTCCATGACGAGGCATTGTACTTTGTATGTACATACCTAGTTATGCTTTCATCTAGTCCCTGTCAGCGCTACTCGAATCCTACAAGGGGGCTACCTGAGCGGGCTGCCGGCGCTCCCTGCTAGCGCTGGCGTTGTTTTAGCCACAGTAAGCGTATTATAAATCTGCAGAAGCCACCAGAATAGCTAGATAATATAAAACAACGGCAGGGGCCCTTGTATTTTATATCATAAAAATGCCGAATCTTGTACGCCGGAACAATGGCCACCATCCACGGCCAATTCAATATCCTATTCTTCGAGATCCGGGCACCCGTCTCTCCTACCGAGAGCGTGATATTGCTTTCTCCCTCTCTCGATACGCTGGCTGGAATAACCGAAGGATCGGTTCCTCTCTTGGTGTGCCTTACAGAACTATATCCAATGCTCTCTCTCTCCAGAATCCGTGGACCCCTCAAAAACAGAGAGGGAGAAAACCGAATCTTGATACTCCAACTCGACAGCGCCTTATTGCCCGGGCTAAGCTTGATCGTATCCACCGAAGGAAGCCGTTAGAGGAGATTGCAATACTGGAGGGGGTCTCTGCCTGCAAGCGATCCCTATATAAGGCATTTGAAAAAGAGGGCTATTTCCGGCGTGTTGCAACAGAGAAGCCCCTTATCACGCCTGAGCAGCGAGAGGCCCGTCTTAAATGGGCCTATTCTTATCTGGAATGGACTCCCGAGATATAGGCAGCAGTAATTTGGACCGATAAAGCGTCCATTCGAACCGGAGGAGGCCAGATCTTTGTTACTAGGCGTGCTGAGGAGAAATACAATATTGATTGCTGTGTCCCTAAATTTAGGGGGTATTCTAGCTGGATGATTCATGGCAGCATCTCCCATGGGAATAAGGGGCCTTTGGTTGTTTTTGAAAAGGACTAGTCAATTGAGCTGGGATACAAGAGAAAGACGATAAACGGCGACGTCTACCGTACCTATATATGCCCCAATATCAAGACTTTTGCATGGGAATTATGGCAGACACTACAACACCAGCCTATTCTTGTAGAGGATAATGCCTCAATTCACTCAGCAAAAGCGACGCGCCTGGCCTGGGAACAGAACGGCATGCTTGTAATGGAATGGCCGGCGAATTCCCCTGATTTGAATCCAATTGAGAACGTTTGGCGGCTGTTGAAGGGGAGAATACAACGCCGGTTTCCTACAACAAAGGAGGAAGTACAGCAGTACGCTGAGGAGGAATGGGAGAAGCTTGAGCCCGAAGAATTTGAAAAGTATACGGGCAATATGAGGGAGCGTTGCCTTGCTGTAATTGCTGCTGATGGCGGCCCAACGAAATATTAGTTACTGAATAAGCACTGTTTTCATGTGGCGATGTGGCGATTGTAAGCACTAACAGAGACGCTTGCAGGGAGCACCGGCAGCCCGCTCAGGTAGCCCCCTTGTATCAAAGCACGCCATTCGACGGCATCCGCAGATCTCACTAGGCGCCTTCTTCCAGAAGAGCGTTTACCACTTACATGCAGGCAAGTTTTTCCATTGATGACACTAATTAGACATGTAGCTATTTACGTAAGCGCGGGTATTTGACCGCCCTTTCTCACTGCGGGGTCAATGACTCAACATACGCTTTTTCTCCAGATATAATTAATACAGATTGCGGTGGGTGCTCTCGTTCGAAATTCTCCGCGCCAATCTTCACCCTCTCAATATGGAACTTCAAATTACCAGCTTTTCCTCAACACATCCAAACAAAGCCAATGATGCAATCGCTGAAACTCCACTTTCCGCTTCTCATGGCCTTCATCCAGAGCCTGCGCAGGTAGCCTCAATTGACATTGAAGCATTCAGCATCAACGAGCCAGTAGCAGTCCCTCGAACTAAGTTCCGAATGTTTGCAATTTTAGTGGCCCTTTTTCTCTCGCTTTTCATAGCAGCTTTGGACGCGACAATTGTAGCGACAGCAATTCCGACTATATCTTCCGAACTGAACTCTGCATCTGGCTATACATGGATTGGCGGTGCATATCTTCTCGCAAATGCTGCCGGTTCGCCCATTTGGTCCAAGCTTTCGGATATTTGGGGACGGAAGCCAATCCTGCTAACAGCAGTCACCATATTCTTTGGTAGCTCCATCCTCTGTGCGCAAGCACCTTCAATGGGTCTGCTTATTGTAGGGAGATCTTTCCAAGGCACTGCCGGTGGTGGGCTCATACAGCTCGTGAACATCACTATTTCAGACTTGTTCAGCATGAGGTAGGTATTCATATATGGAGGAGTGATGGTCTCTTGTGCTTACTCTTGCCGTATAGGAGTCGTAGTCTGTACCTGGGTCTCCTAGAGTTCGTGTGGGCCCTGGCCGGAGGTATCGGTCCCATCATCGGGGGTGTTTTGGCTGAATATGTATCCTGGAGATGGATTTTCTGGATCAACTTGCCGGTTTCCGGGATAACCTTTTTTCTAATCCTTATATTTCTAGATGTACACAACCCGAAGACAAAGATACTGGATGGCATAAAGGCAATTGATTGGTGGGGAAGCATGTCCATCCTCGGCCTGACCCTGATGCTACTTCTGGGACTTGATTTCGGAGGTGTACTATTTGCTTGGAATTCTGCTACCGTCATCTGTCTCATCGTATTTGGAAGCCTCATGTCTATACTGTTTGTTTTCAGCGAGAAACGGCTTGCACGATATCCACTTATGCCTTTGGACCTCTTCCGAAACCGGTCCAATGTTGCAAGTCTAGTACTATGCTTCTTACACGGGATTGTAGGTTCAAAACATCGATCCGATTTCAAGCATTGATTGTGTACTAACCTTTCATGGTAGGTCTTCGTCGCTGGAGAATATTATATGCCCCTGTACTTTCAATCCGTCCACGGCGCATCACCGTCAAGGTCTGGTCTCCTCGTTCTCCCCATAACCTTCGGGGCAGCCCTCATGGGCATCACTGCTGGATTCGCGATACACCGCAGGTCAGTCAAGCAATCCAAGCATTTCTAAGCTAAAAGCGCTGAACCATTTTAGTGGACGATATTTAGAGATCGTTTGGGTCGGCACGGTCCTCCTTACCATCGGCACTGGGTTATACATCCACTTTGATGCCAGGTCTTCGATAGCCGAAATCATCATAGTCGAGACCATAGCAGGATTCGGCGGAGGTTTGCTTTTTGAGCCCCCGCTCATCGCACTTCAAGCTTTCGTGCCACAAAAAGACGTAGCGACGGCCACAGCAACCTTTGGCTTCATTCGGAATCTTGCAACGTCATTGTCCATCGTAATTGGTGGCGTCATCTTCCAGAACTGCATGGAGACCCGAGCACCATTCTTGAAGGCTGCTGGCGTACAAGACACGCTGGTCCAGAAATTCTCCGGTGGTGAGGCTGCTGCCAATATTCTGTTGATCGGGACTATAAAAGACGCGAACCAACAGCGCGCAGTCAAAGAGGCATTTGCGTGGAGTCTGAGATTTATCTGGATATTTTATGCATGTATTGCTGCGTGTGGAGTAGTTACGGGCTTCTTTATCGTACGGAAAGTGCTCAGCGAAGATCATGTCGAGACCAAGACGGGAATCGCTGATGTGAAAGACAACGCGACTCTTAGGGACGACATGATCGCTCCTTGAGAGCAGTCCGATAGATGCTCTTAATACGTACAAAATCTTAGCCGTCTTCGACACTCAGGTATCTTTCTCCAATTTCAATGCATGTAAGCACATACGTACCTGAGTACAGTTCCTTGCCACTGTTGAGGGCTGTCCAACACACTTTGGAAAGTTGAAAATATTTCAATTTGAATGATCTATAAAGTTGCTAGGCCACCTGAGACGGCGCCGTCTCGAAACATTATTACCTCGATGGGCAGTGCCTTACCCCACCTTGATTCCAAGGCTCGATTCACACTTTCCTCGTCTCAAATTCCACCTGCATCAAGCCAGTCCACTCCAAGACACACTACCTACAGCACATCCACTATGTCATCGACATTGTTGCCAACGTTCCAAAAATTCGAAGATGACGCTATTTCTAAGAATTATCAAGTCAGCAGCTGCGCTTTTCTCAGCGAATTATGGCATCTGGAGTCCGGAAGCAGAGTCGAATATAGGTGCATTCGCCAAGCCAGGTAAAACCATTTCGCTACTATTCGTCTAAATTATACTAAAGCCCTTGTTATTCTAGGACGACGCGTCCGCATGAGCGCCGCTAAATTAAGAGCAGAATGCTTGCCCACGGGTGCTCGGAACACATATGTGTGTGCAAAGATTGGGGACCAGCTACGTCTTTTCCTGCAGATGGATTACTCAGCTCGTTGTGAGCACCACCTATCGAAAACAAGGTAACTATCGCCACAAGAATGCTCTAAGCTCCAAGAAATGAGCGAGACGGCGGGTTCGGGATACTTAGCTCATCTCCGGCTGCGATATTGGCTACCCTTAGAGCATTTGGTCAAGGAATTGAGGACGTCAACTCAGCATGACTCAAAACCATGCATACGCGATCATGAAGCTATCGCCTGTAAGATACATTAAGACAGCCACTCTGAGGGGCTCGCTATTTGAGTCTGGCCAAGCTGGAGGAGCAACATCTAGCGCGAACACGAATTTTTAGGTCGATCATAAGGAACATTTGGAAGCATTAGAAGAAGTTAAGACACGGGAGGTGCGATGGCCATTGGGAGACCTACTCGACGGACACGAGTATTTGTTGATAGTTAAAAGTCAAGCCTGAAGAGAAATTACGTAAGTTGCCACGGAATGGTTGCTTACATTGCGTAGACACCAACGTGGAAAAAGCTTTACTTACTTGGTTGTATATAACCCAGAAGATAGATAGATAGATAGATAGATAGATAGATATAATACTAGATAGTAAGCTATCTGTTTTATTATTTATATAGCCTATAGCTATAACTTACTAGTAAATTTTTATCTAAATAGTTTATATATTCTATTACTACTCTAATATTAATAATATTATAAGGCTACTCTATACCCTTTATTATTAACTATAAGTTAACCTTAAATATATAATAAGTATATAAATTCTTATAGAGGTTAATACTATTATAAAGCTATATATTTAGCTTATACTAATAAGTAGACCTATAGAAAGCGCTTTTATATTTCTGTCTATCTATCTATCTATCTATCTATCTATCTATCTATCTATCTATCTATCTATCTATCTATCTATCTATCTATCTATCTATCTATTATTCTATCTATTCTATTCTCTTCTATCCTATTCTCTTCTATCCTATTCTCTTCTATTCTATTTTCTTCTATTCTATTTTCTTCTATTCTATTTTCTTCTATTCTCTTATATTAAGTAATAGTAGAGTTATAAGCGTGTAAAACTAGCAGTTTTAGCGGTAATTTTTTGTGGCTCGACCAGGGGTCTAGCTTAACCAGGGGATCTAAGACGTTATAGTATATATAGTATATATAGTACATTTAATATTATTATTAGTAAATAGCTTTTAGAAAAATTCTATTCCTTATAAATTAATCTAACTTCTTGCAGCTAGATACTATAGAAGAATATATTTAAATATCTCTACTAGTATAGTACTATAACGTACTTCACAAGCGAGTCGGCCACACAAGCGAGTCGGCCACCTCATCACGAAAACGCGACGCGTCAACCAACAAC